AACAGCGACGACAGGGTCTGGATGGCGGAGAGGCGGTGCTCCAGCATGCGCGTCAGATCAGCGCCGGGCAGACACGACTTGCGCGTGTGGCAGATGGTCAGGCCCAGCACGGCCTCGAGCACGCCGACGTGGGTGTAGGCCAGCGGTACGACGTGCACGCGGAAAGGGTTGGCCAGCGGCGGCGGCGCGATGGCGAGGTCTTCGCACACGCGCTCGTCGACTATCTCGCCGTTACTCCTGCCTGTACTACGGCAGCGGCGGGGGCGGGGGACGCCAAGGCATACGCACAGTAACGCAGCAGCTCATGTGTGCCCGGCAGGCTGAGCACATGCTGCATACGGACATCTTGAGGGGAGGCGACGCTCGTCTCGTCGATCGTGTTGCTCTCGTCGTGCGTCGACGGCGTGTAGATCAGGTCGTGCGGCGATGCGTCGTGCACTGCCCACTCGTGCTGCTGCTGCTGCTGCTGCTGCTGCTGCTGCTCCTCTTCCTCCTCCGCCACCTCCTCCGCCACGGCGGTGCTGCCTTCGTCAGTTGTTGACGACGGCTGGCGGACATGATGGAAGTGGAATTGGAAGCGCGGTGGATATTCACACCGCACGCCATGCTCCACGCATCGACCACACGTGGGCCGCTTCCGGTCACACTTGCGACACTTGGCGCGACACACGGCGCATGCGGGATCTGTAACATCACAGATTAGTCAAGACTGGCATTGCCATGCTGCGCGGACGTACTCTTGCGCGCGCCTCGCGATGGCGCTGGCGCTGGCATGAGATGGAGGAGAAGAGTGTGGTGCTCGCAATCGCGTCGGCAATCCGGAACGGGATATATAGCATCCGCCGTGCCAAGAAGCGCGGGGCGCAACTCTTGCTGGTCATTTCCGACTCCATACATCGAACTACATACACTCCCACGACGACGCGTCAAAATATCAACAGGCCACCGCTGCCGCTCACGACACTGCCCGTGACCCATCGGCTCTCTTCCGAGCACAAAAAGCTCACCAGCGGCGCAATGTCTCGCACCTCGCCGACGCGCGCTTCCGCCGGCGTGCTCTCGATCATGGGCTGCATCGAGTCGATGAACTCGGGCGTGCTGCTGTAGTACCCGTCCGTCGCAATCGGGCCCGGATTGACGCAGTTGACGGTGATGCCCTGCGACTGGCCCAGCTCCGTCGCCCACACGCGCGCGAACGCCTCATTGCCCGCCTTGGTCGCCGCATACACCGTCGTCTCCGCCACCCCCATCCGCGCCGCCGCGGAACTGATCAGCACGATCCTGCCGCCGCGCGCCATGTGCGGCACCACGGCCTGCGTGAGAAAAAGTGGCCCCCGCAGGTTCACCGACACCAGCTCGTCGAAGAAGGCCTCGTCCACGTTGGCCAGCAAGCGGTCGTCGCCATTGGCCGCGTTGTGCACCAGCAGGTCGATGTGCGCCGTGGAGCTCAGCGCGAGCGCCGCATCGACAAGCTTGCTGCGATCTGCGGCGTGCACGACACTGCCTTGCACCGCCACTGCTTTGCTTCCCGCCTTCTGGATCTCCGCAACGACTGCTGCTGCCTTGGCCTCGGACGTGGCGCTGGTGTAGTTCACCACCACGCTTGCACCTCGTCTGCCCAGCTCGATAGCGATCCCGGCGCCGATCCCTCTGCAAATGTAGCACATCAGTTCCTGTCACGCATCTCTCCCACCGCCGCTGCCTCACATACCTGGCAGACCCAGTCACAATGCCCGTCTTTCCCTTGAGATTCGCCGCAAATGAGGGTGATACTGTGGGCTGGCTACCGTTGGCACCCGTGCCACTCTGTTCGTTCTCCCCGGCGGCCATATCGAATGAAGTTGCGGATGCCTGGTTATAAGGCGATCAGGGATTCAATGTCAGGAGGGACGAGAAGAAAGCGATTGCACCAGAGTTGAGTGATCGCTTTTTTGCTTGAATGTCAGTCTGATATGTGTTTCCCATTCGCACGGCCATCTGAGCTTCGCCTGAATCTGATAATGCCGATCAGCTTGCACCAAGAACGTCTGCGCTGCTACGTTTCCGAAAAGAGCAGTACTCGCAGCGGACCTGCGCAGCCTGGGCGGTCTTTCCCGATCGGGTAATAATCGCAGCTCGCACCCGGCCTGGTCCCTTCGTATCTCCGTATGGCAGCTCCACGGCGGCGGTCCCATAACAAGTGCTTTCGCATCCCACAAGACCTTCCTGGGATGGCAAACCGCCGCGAAGTCCGGTCACAAACATGGCGACCACCTCGCCACACTACCACCGCATGTCAGATCAGGTGGTACAGACCATTGTCTACAAGCGAGTGGACGAACTGGAGCTACACCTGGACGTCATTTATCCTCGCGGGGCACGAGGCCTTCCAGTGGTGCTCTGGTTCCACATCGGTATGTGAAGCACATCTCGTTGTCGAGACATCTGTAGATCACATGATTGACGCCGTGTGTCATTAGGAGGCCTCGTTCAAGGCCATCGTGAGACTGCCGCACCCCACCAACTTCGCAATGCGTCCAGGTTGGGATACGCCTTGGTCACTGCAGACTATCGCCTTGCACCCCAGGTGGGAATGGATGACATTTTGGCAGATGTGACGGATTGCATCACGTTTGTCCGAACATCATTGATCTCCCACATCAAACCTGGAATCCTGGACACCACTCGCCTTGCTGTCACGGGGAGTTCAGCAGGTGGCTACCTGGCACTACTCGCAGGCTTATACGTCGAACCCAAACCTCTCGCCATCATTGCCATCTATCCCGTGACGGATCTTGCTGTCATCCTTCTACACCAATCCCCAACCTCATCCTTGGGATGAAGGCCCCGTGGCTCGCGATTCAGTTGCAGAACATCTGGATCCGCAAGCGCCCGCAATCGCCAATAATCACAGTGAGTCACCACGACAGCAACTCTACTTCTACGTAATCCAGGAAGCGCTGCTGCCCGAACTTCTTCGACTTCGACCGGGAGACGATACGTATCGCATCTGCAAGAACCTTCAAACCCGATCGATGCCTCCGACCTATGTGGTTCATGGAGACGCGGATCGATCCGTGCCAGTTACACATTCTGACGAAGTCGTTGGCGCAATGCTTGGGCTCGGTTATGAAGTCATGTATGATCGCCTGATTGGTGCGGACCATACATTCGATCTGGAAGATGACGTGGAATTGCCTCGATTGTACGCATTCTTGAAGAAACACCTGCGTATATAGATATAGAATGCAGCGCATGCGAAAGGACTTGATATTGAAGAAGATCCTAATGCCTTCCGAGTGGATGTTGATGTGCAACGTATCGATGACTGGACTCTATTAGATGCTGCGTGATAGCCCAAATGAATCCCAGCCTGCTCAAGATCTCTCAAGCATCGGTAACGTAGGAAGATAAGTGCCCACACTGAATGAACAAACGACTCTTATTGTCTTGGAAAATCAAACCCCAGCCAATCCACATATCCTACTCATCCCAAACCACCGCATCAGCCATCATCTCCACCACCATCCCCGGAAGCGCCAACTCCGCCGCCCCAATCGTAATCCAAGTCGGCCGATGCTCCGGCATCCTCTCCCTCCAAACCTCCGACACAAGCCCATCATCTTTCATATCCAGCAAAAACACCGTCATCTTATGCACAGCCGCCAAACCTTGTTCTACACCTGCCGCTTTGAGCGCGGATTCCACGCAGTTGAAGCACGCGGAGATTTGCTCGCGATGGGAAGGTGTTGAAGAAGAAGAAGATAATGGACCTGTGACGAGTTCGTTTTTGTCGAGGTGGAAACCTGGTTGGCCGGAGGTTGTGATCCAGGTGGTGGTTTTGGAGAGGGGGATACGGACGCTGTGGGAGACGCCGAGGGAGTGGAAGAGGGAGCCGAGGGGAGTTGGAGGTTGGTAGACTTGGGCTTTGGTCTTGTTGTTGTTATTGGCCATGGTTGTGGGAGCTTCGGCAGGTTTTGTGCGAGATGAGGGGTCCGAGATTTGGCTGTTGTTTATTTTGCTCTGTTGGGATTGGAGGTGGGACACGGCAGCAATGATAGGACTTCGATGATTCTGGTCGAGTGGTCAGGGTGAGTTATATGGAGGATGAGAGAAAAAGAAGGAAAGAGAAACGTGCGGGGACATGGCGGGCGTATGGTTTATATATGCAGATGCTTTGCAGTGTAGTCTACTACTGAAGCGCCGAGATCGCAAGGATGATTCTGACCTAGCAGACATGGGAGCGAGCGGACGGTCCTTCCTAAACCATTTCTCTCGTGCAGGCGACGCACGTGTTCCCGTTTCTGATCCTCGTTGAGGGTATGATTTGCCGGAGCATGCTTTGACAACTCTCAAACGACTGAGGTACTCTTGCGGATTGTAGAGTCCAGCATTCACGAGGATGGACGTTCTGTCTGCCGATTGCATGCATGAAGTCGTCATGACTGCTTGAGGAGTACATACGTGCATTATTTGTAGGGAATGGGAAAAATATCGAAACTCAGAATGTGTTCTGGCGACGCTGAATCTACAACTTTGGTTCGTATGCTTCGTTCGCTCCTCGAACTCCTAATTGTCGCATGACCGAGTCCGCAGCAAGCCCACCTTGCTCCATCGCGCCTTCAATAAAAGCCCTCCACCCGGAAGCCCAATCCGCATTCGCCATCAGAACATTTCCGTGGGGCGACTGCAGCTCCGCGAGATACTTGGTCAGGAAACCAGCCCGATACCAGGCAGGTCCGCCAAGCGAATAACGATCGCTAGTCCAGTCATGGAAGATGACTTTGCGAATTTCCATGGGATGAAACCTCTTCAGCGCCACTTCCAACCTCTCAGGCTCCTTGAGCGGATCGAGGATCCCGCGATTATCGCCTGCGAATGAGGTGATGCGGGTGGACTTTCCGTCTGCGCAGAATCCATCGCCGTAGACGTAGAGAAAATCGCCGGGCCATGTGCAGCCGCGCAGTCCACGGAGATCGCCTTCCGCGATGGCGTGGATCTTTGTGAGGTAGTTTTGATGGCCGATTTGAATGGCCTCGCGTCGGAGCATGGAGAGGGGAGGATCGAATTCCACTGTGGGTAGGACGTGGAGAGGCATTGTGTTGACCACGCGTTGAGCGCGGAAGACCTCGCCGCCTTCAGTGGTGAGAGACACGGTTCCGTTGCGGTCAACAACTTTTGTGACACCGTGCTGGAAAGCGTATTGCAGACCTAACCCCACAGCATCGTCGAAGATAGCTCTCGCGAGGCTGGATTGACCGGCCTTGACTTTGTAGAGCGTCCAGAATTCTTCAAAGGTTTCGGGAGTGAAGCCCTGCAGGGACTGCGAGCGAAGCAATTCAAGGAAACCCACATTCGCCGGAGTGCCTCCTGCCATGTGTGGGACCAGAGATTCAATCAGAGCAATCTCGTCTGGAGTCAAGAGATGTCGGACTTGTTCAATGCGATCCTGACATGAGAGCTGATCGACTTTCTTGACCTCTTCTGGACTGACGCGAAGATTCCCCAATGTCGAATATGGCAAGGGGCAAATATCTCTCCCGTCATTGCCATCATAGTTGACCAGTATTTTCCACGCCCGGTTTGTCATCGCCCCTGCCTCCTCCAGCGATAGCTTCCGCGAGCCCGATCCAGTATCAAGGGTGAAATACGATGCACCGCCACCCTGGGTCCGAGTCATGGAAACCTCATCTTTGAGGCCATACCGCTGCAACTCTGCCCAGAGTCGGCCATGCACATGTGAGATCCAGGTGCCACCCATCTCAAACGTCGTGCCGTCCACTTCGGCACTCCATGTGCGTCCTCCCACACGATCTCGTCCTTCCAGGAGCAGTGTCCTTTTGCCTAGTGGAGCGTAAGCTGAACAATTTCCATTTGCGAAATCTCGACGACTCATTTGTACCTGCTTTCACCAGATCTCGAGCGGCTACAAGTCCCGCATAGCCGGAACCGATCACGATCGCTTCCCACAGCTGATCTTTGGAACCTTCGTGTATCTTGCGTTGCGGCTTGATCACACAGTATGTGTGCAATCCTTTTGTGAGGCCCTCGATTTTTGTGTAAGTATAGCCATCATGAGATAGATTTGCCTGGTACGGCGCCATTCTGCCTTTGTCGGTGCTGTGGAGACTTTGTAAAATGGGGAAGAAACTTCAGGCAAGGTGCAGTCTTGAGGTTCGAGCTGAAAGACGTCAGAATAGCTTGTTATATCACTGGCGAACCTCACCCGCAGGATTCTGCGTGACACGCATGGTCGCTGCCGTTGCGGCAGAGCACGTTTTCGATGCCTGCCGCGCTCGGAGCTTGCCTGTCGTTCCCCGCTCAGCCCCGCCAAGTTCCAAATTTCCTAAAGCAGTACAAGTTTGAGCGCTACATCTTGTTTGGGAAGATCTTCCAGCTAATTAATCCAAGTTTTTCATAACGCTCTCGCAGCGACGTGTCCAAGTTCAGGCCTGATGGGCGAGGAACGGTGGAATGGTCATCTCATAGCGAGCGGCGGACTGATAGGAATCTTGTCATCTCATAGCGAGCGGCGGGCTGATAGGAATTTTGTCATCTCAGATTGCCACGCGACCACAGCCACCTCCGCACACAGGTTCCAAGATAGGCGGAAGCCTACCCCAGAACTTGGCGTCAATTGTATCTTTTGCATCTGCCTCTATAGAGCGAGGACGAGGTACAGTGGGATATTTTCTGTGGTTGAAGTTTTTCACCGTCTGTGGGCGAACGCAGCGATACTAAGAAGCGTCTTGGAACTGCGAGACAGAGAAGTTATCGTCAAAGTTGAGCAACAATCCGAGAGTTCAGCCTATCTGGAGAACCCCTGTCCGCCTCCTTTGGCTTAGGATGAACGAGATAGCTTCATTGATTCGATAGATCTAGAGTTCCACGGTGGCCTGGCATTTGTGGCACCCGGCAGCGACAGACAGGTACGCGAGTTTCTGTACCTCGTGCCCAACGCGCGTGGCGCGAGCATAAAAAGTCAGATCTCGCCCGGAAACGATAGGCCCGCGACACATTTGCAACAAGGGGATTGATTCTACAGCACCACATATCCAGCTGCGCTACACAATCTTTTGCTCATAAATCACGCATCGAGCCATACCACAATATGGGCTACGACATTCAAGTCAAACAGCCCCTCGACGAGGCAGTCGAACATGACTCGACGGTGCAGACAGGCACCATGGAAGATCTCAAAGGAGACCTAGACGACAACATCCTCCGAGCACAGGGTCACGAGGCGGTATTGATCCGACAGTTCAGTTGGATCGCAGCTCTCGGTCTGGGCTTTTCCATCACGAATTCTTGGGCAGGCTATCTCGTTCGTCACTCTCGCGCCGTCTCTCAAAATCATTGATATCGCTCCGACTAACGTTTCGCAGAGCTGTTTCGGTCAGAATCTCCATTACGGCGGACCCTTCTCTTGCATATTCGGACTCATCCTCGCATTCTTCGCCCAAGGCACCGTGACGACAGGTCTCGCGGAGCTTGCATCGGCGTTCCCCTCGAGCGGTGGGCAATACCACTTTTGCTACATTGTTGCCCCAGAGAAGTCGCGGAACTTCTTCGCCTTTGTCATCGGATGGATGTCAGTCCTGGCATGGTGGATCGTCACCTGTTCTGGTCTTTCGCTGATCGCAGTCACCGTCTCGGGCATCGCCAATTTCCGGTATCCATCCTTTGTCGCCTCGCAATGGCAGATTTACGTCATTTATCTGGGTGCATGTCTCATCACCATCATTCCCGTTTTCGCGATTCCCAAGAAGCTCTCGTGGGCCACACAGTTTGGCTTGTATTGCTCTATCTTGGGCTGCGTGGTATGGCTGGTCGTATCATCCGCTATGCACCAATCTACGAATTCCTCGGCTCTAGTACAGCAAAATCTTGGAGATAGCGGATGGGATGGTGGCTTTGCATTTGTGCTTGGGATCGCAAATTCCATGTATGCGTACGGAGGCACAGATGGAGGTCAGTATCCAGACCAACATGTCAATCGTCGAATTTCGCTCACGATACATTAGTGATTCACATCAGTGAGGAGATCCCTCGCCCCGGCCGCAAGGTCCCTCAGCTGATGGTCACTACCATGCTCATCGGTCTGCTAACATCCATGCCTTTGGTACGTTCCCGATGTGCAGAAGAACCTTCAGAGCGCTGACACTGAGTTCTCGATGCAGTTCATCGTCCTCAACATCTTTATGACTGATCTCGATGCCGTGAGAACCTCGGCATCGCCCGCCATTGAGATTCTCAACCAAGCGTAAGAGCACTTCCCAAAACACATGACCAGCGACACGAGGCTGAAGCAGAATTTGTTAGGACCGGCAATCGTGATGTGACTACCTTTCTCTCAGTCTGGCTGCTCATCGTCTTCATTGCTTCACTTCCCTCCCAGTGGATCGCGTCCGGTCGCATTGCGTGGGCCTTTGCTCGAGATGTATGCAAGCCTATAATAGTGCAAGTGTTCTTGCGCGTCGAATGCTGATCGCTTGCAGAATGGGTTGCCATTGTCTAACTTCTTCTCTCACATTGACACCAAGCTAGAATTTCCGGTTCGGACGACCATTGCTGCCCTCTGTTTCGCCTCACTCTATGGCCTGCTCTATCTCGCCAGCACGACAGCCTTCAACAGCATTGTCACATCTGCGGTCCTTTTTCTGAACGTCACATACGCCGTTCCCCAGGGACTCCTCCTGTGGCAAGGTCGGTCCAAAGTCCTGCCCGGCCGCTACTTTGACCTGGGGACTTTCGGCCTTTGCTGCAATATCTTTGCCGTGGTCTGGACAACTTTTCTGGTCGTCATCATTTGCTCCCCTCCAGCATTACCCGTGGCGGTCGGCAGCATGAACTACACGAGTGTCGTATTCGTGGGTTTAAGCAGCATTGTCCTGATTCTGTGGGTGACGTTAGGAAAGAAGAAGTTTCAAGGACCTACTATCGACTGGGCCGCCCTGCAAGCATCTAACGAGATATCCAAATAGAGGATTCAATTGTTCTACGTAGTTTGCAGAATCTATCTTCCATTCGCCGGCATAATACTTGTGACGGCTACCGCGAGAAAGTTTGATCTGTCCAATCGTTGATTGAAATGCATAATAAACATGGAAGAACAAGCCTAGACTGCTTCTGGAGGATAGCTGTCTACATTACACTAAGATGAGCGCAGACACAAACATTGCACTACCCAACAACACTATTCCTGCTCGCATGCTTTCTGCCTCGGACTCTCGAACCACACCAGACAAACAGTCTCCCGTTACATTCGCATCGTCTCCCGTGATGTAAAAACTAGCGACACTGAATGGCAGCTGCGTACATTCCTTCTCGATTGTATGTTCGCAGCCACTCCATTGATATGGAGCGTGATCGCTCTCCAGACAATCCTCGCCGTCGAATACCAATAGTGCAAGCTCTACAGGATCCACATCAGGTGATATATTCTCCGGTGTAGGCAAAAATTGGAAGTCCACCTGCGAATAATTTGCTGTGGTGGAGAAGTTCTCTTGTCCAAAGGCGCTGAAAGAAAGCCGACAGTCGGGTGCGTTGGGGTTGCAAGTTGTAGATGAGTTGATAAAGATCTCCGCAAAGTTGTAGCAACCTGACGTCGTAATGTTGGTATATAGACTGAACCCAACATATTCGGGTCTGAATTCGGTCTGTAGGCATTCGTAGTTCCCAGGTGTTGCGAAGCCTCTGGATCCTAGACCCCAGTGGTATACAGTGGGACCTTGACCCTGTATGAGAACGGGCCAGGTTTGAACAATAATGATGAGGGTGATGAGCCTCATGATATCGAGGTCGAAGCGATGTTCAAGACTGGGGAGACTATAGGCGAGAAGAGTGAAGTGATGTTTCGAGATTGTGTAATACACTCGCTTATGCCATGTCACTGTCATAATTTCGAAGGATCACTTAGTGCAACGTTGCACGTGAAACGCCTAGCTGCTAGGAGCTACGTATTCCACATGCTCGATAAATTGGCATTATCTTCTACCTCCGCGGAAGGGTGCTCATTGATCAGTGCAGCCTCCTTCTCGCCAACAACAATGCCAAGCCATGCCACGAACTGGCAACGACGGTGCCATGGAGAGCGCTGCGCGTCGAGGTGCTTGAGCGTGCACGAACCATATGCTCGGTATCTTGGCAATGACTTGACCAGTACAGCCTCCTCGATGACCATTCGAAGAAGACTATTATCGAGTGCACCATGGTCCAACACGCAATCCCCGCGATCATCAACAAACGTGGCAGAGAACTTCGCTAGCCCGTGGCCAGCTCTGTGTTCCCAACGATAGGCTGCATCAACAAGATTGAAATTGCGCAGGCTAGAGTTATCAATGATCTAGAAACCGTGGTCGACGTGGACGCCTCTACCATCAGGGCCCAAGAGTTCAACGCCGTGGATGGCCCTTCATCGTTCCCACCTCAGTTCACGGAGCTCCGGGACAATTTTCAGAGCGATTGCGGAGATGTGGGGGCCCCGTGCAACACTTCTAGTGTTGTGAGTGGCACATGGTACGTACCATGGTACATGTACCATGGTACGTCGTACCATGGCCTCCTATGGTGCATGGTACAATCATGTGATCCATCACCTGACCTAAAAGCTAGTCATGTGATAGCAAACCCTACCCTAAGGGGCGCCAGATGATAGCGGTAACAACATAAAGATCAGACCTATTATACGATAGGAGGCGCTGGCTAATCATGGTACATGTACCATGATGTACCAAGAATCGTCTATGGTACCTCGTATTCACAACACTAAACACTTCCCTGACCGTTCAGAACAACGTTGAGCCGCCCTTCTTATCTGAGGGCCTGATTTGTGTTGCTAGCGGTGCAATCTGACATAGTCTTGGTCATAGCGTCTTCTCCTCTTAAGCGTGTTCCTGCTTCGGCGACAGAGCAGCGATCATTTTCATATCGAAGGCTCGTGGGTCACGGCAACTCCGGAAGCGCTGCATTGCCGCGATCGCAGCAACAATTTCGAAGAGCAGCCTACGTGTATACAGTATTATATACCTCTAGTGTGTCTTATATTCACGGTTCTGTGTCGAATGAAGCTTTGCTAATACCCTTAAACAGGTAAATGATTGCCTGCGACCTTCTTGAAACTGACGCGCATTTCCGGGTCGATCAGTCGTATCGACTCCGTTTCTAGCCCATTCTCACCGACAGCGTCATCTCCTGGGCTCCAGTCATACTTCAGCAAGAGATGTGCAAGTGCAATCTTGACTACATTGGCAGCGAAGAACCTCCCTGAAGTTGCGATCAGCATCTCACTTCATACTGCAGCTGGATGACATACCTGGACAAGTGTGAATACCATATCCGAACGCAAGATCGCGTACACTTGTGGAAACATATTGCCAACTTTGTGCCTTGCCTTCTCGCTCGCGGAGACGTGCAAACCGGGTGAGGTCGAAGATCTCTGGCTGAGGATAGAGCGTGGGCTCTTGAAAATTTGCTTCGAGCATACAGCCAGCACCCTTGGGAACGACACTGCCGTCTGCAAAGACTGTCTCTGAAGTACAAACTCGAGCCATTGCCACTGGGATTCAGGTCAGCACGCCGAAAACACGCTACAAAGTTGAACGTTTTGCACGTACACCGCCCCTGCGTGATTCGCAACGACTCCTTCAGGAAATCGTCCATCAATTTAAGATTATACAGCCCAGCTTTGGTCCAGCCATGCTCGCCGATGACAGCAACAATCTCCTCACGAAGAGGCTCTATGAAGGTCTTGTGCTGACATATATGCTGAACAGCCTGGGAGATAGGTCAGCAAGCCAAGGCTCTCTGGTGATCCCAACGTATTACACACATGGCAGAGGATATGTGAAGTAGTCTGGATAGCCACCATCGATAGCTGCAACTGCGCTGCTACGACGTCGACTTTCACCTTCGAGATGTGAGCCTCTTGTTGAAGCCAAGATATTGCATCGTTGCTCTCCTTCCACACAGATCAGTCTAAGCTCTCTACAATGCATGAGCAACGCACATACCTTCTCCGATTGTCCTCTCCGCTTCAATTCTGCTGCCACCAAGATCCGGGCGTCTTGTACCAGTTGTCTCAACACAACACAAGATGGCAGAAACCAATGTTTGATGGGGCGCAGAAGTGCAATACACTTTCTCAACTCGGACGCTGCTGTAAAACTCAGTCCAGCGTACTGCTTTTGAATTCCAAGCCACTTGGAATCCTCGCAAAGATAATCACCAACGAATGGTCGTGACGACATCTTCGTGACGATATCAAGGACAAGTGGTTGGATCGGTACAGTCGCCCATGTGTCGTGGTCTCCAAAGTTGTGTGCGATCGAGTCCACGGCATCTTTCACTAAATTGGGTCGGAGGATATCGAGAGCTGGCGTCAATCGTCGCAACAGCGTATCTCGGATGACTGAGCTGTGGACCGAGACTCGTGCCGCTTCGAAACCTGGATAATCTGCAAATGAGTCCAGCCGTAGCGCTTCTGCAACGCTCATGGCCGGACTTTTGGCAAAGGCTTCAGTGTTGCAGTTCCTGACAATCACCTTCGCGCCCGTTCCGGTCTGGATCTGGAATGGTCCAGCATATCTTCTCAGTCCTTCTTCGATGAGTTTGTTGCCATCTTTGAACCAGCTTTCGAGTGGGTCCTGGCCTTCCAAAGTCGCGAAAGGAAGTCTTTGAGAGCTCAGCCGCTTTCGATACGAGTTCGCAAAGACGAGGAGCAGGATAGAAGCGGAGGCGCTAAGAATGACAAAACGATATGGAGCCAAGCTTGACCATAGGGCAGTCACATCCAGCTCTGGAAAGCTCATACTGTGTCAAGCTTCTGGCTATTGTTGACACAGACCGTTCTTCCTGCTACGTGTGGGCAGAGTGTGTGCATGGTCTTTGAGACAGGTTTCGCAAATATGATGAATCTTCGGTGAACCACGGAGGCTGTGGTGACAACGTATGCTGGCCGTCTTAGCCACTGAAGGCGATGCGAGGGTATGCATGTAAGTTCATCGACGCTCCCTACCAGGTCCAACTTCCACTACACGTGTACTCCACAGTCGATAATTCGGCTTGGCGAGCGGAGGAGTATTGGTCAAGCGTGGGCGAAGACCTCTCACGAGGATGTGGAATCCTTGCATGTCGAATGGTAAAAATACGGCCTCCGGTGTTGAGCCTGAACGACCGTTGTCCCGTTCTAGGGAGCAACTCCGCAAGCCTTCGGCGAAACCTCGGCTCCATTGTGAAGCCGAGCTGGTGGTCTGAGGTGTCTCCTGGCCGGCTCATTCTGCTATACATATCTTGCACTCAACTCATGCATACGCTCACCGATACCCGAGTGGGCAATCGCAGGCACCAGAGACTGGGAATCTATGCTAGACTGCTATGAATACAGGAGGTTTGCCCATCTTGTGCTTGTCAGACTCCTACCATTATACACGTCTCAGATTCTGTATAACTCGATAGAGTCAGTTGCTGCCTCGCAACACAAAGCCATCATGATTGGACTCACCGTTGAAGCAAGAGATGATCGCGGAATGTTCTCCCATGATCACAGGACGCACATTCGCATCAAGTCATCAAGTCAGCAACAGCATCGGCCTTCCTTACCGCAAGGATACGCAAAGCACCATATTGTATACCTGGACAGTATACATATGCCGCTCGCACAATTCGACTTTGACCACACGCTTGAAGTCCATCACAGTACACCTGCAAATCTGGTCGCCGAGCGCATACGAACAGCGACTATCGTTGTATCAGTTCTCACACCTGTGGGAGCATCGGATCTAGATCAAGCGCCCAACGTGCGACTGATCGCCGCGCTATGCAGCGGATGCTCTTGGATCGATAAGCCTTACTGTCAACGTCGTGGAATTGATGTTGTGCACGTACCTCATGCAAGCATTGAAGCAGTTGGAGAACATTTCCTCGGACTTTACTTCGCCTGTCGAAGGCGAATTCCTGCGGTCAATCAGTGTGTAAAGGATACTCAAACCTGGAAGATGAAGAAAACGTTGACCAAACATTTCTGGACCGACGGTCCTCCGCTGAGTTGCAAACAAGAGACCTTGGGCATCATAGGGTACGGCCGCCTCGGACAGAGAATTGAAGATCTTTGCAGAAATGTGGGCTTCGAGAAAGTGCTTGTAGCAGAGCGAAAGGATGCCAAGACAGTCAGAGAAGGCCGCCTGCGCTTCGAGCAAGTGCTTGAGCAGAGCACTGTGCTCGCTATTGCTTGTTCATTGACGGATGAAGCATGCGACATGATACACGAACCCGAGTTGAAGCGTATGCGGAAGGACGCAATTATTGTTAATATCGCCAGAGGTGGCATCATTAACGAAGCTGCTTTGGCCACCGCACTGAAAGAAGGCTGGATATACGGGGCCGCCCTGGATGTTCTCCAAAATGAACCCGCAGGACCTGGAAGTAGTCCACTTTTGCCGAGAACAGAGCATGGCGAGGCGGAGGTTCCAAACCTCGTTTTCACAGCACATCTTGCTTGGTTCGCTGGATCCACAATGCAGGCTATGCAAGAATGCAATCGCGACGGCATTGCTGCATTCATCGAAGATCGGATGACAGATCCATCAATTCAATCCAGTGTCATCGTGCACAATGGCAGGATCTGGAAGTAGCGGTCCTGTGAGCATGCCCAATCACGCCATTATCTTCCTGACTCTCATCCTCGCCTCGGGATGGAGTATCATCATAGACTCGATCTCCAAGGTCATAGGGTGGTCCTCAGATGGGTCGAGCTGCCAATCGTAATGAAGTACCAAATACGCGAGCAGCATCTTCATAATGTCTGCTGCAAGAAATCTCCCTACAAGAGATGAGTGTTCAAAGGCTTGTGGCATTCTCTCAGTAAAGGGAGCGGCTCACCAGGACATGTTCGCAACCCGAAACCTGAAACGCAGATCGTCAGCCAACCACTCAAGGCCGATTTACACGGCGTGGTAACTCACCGAATCCCAAATGCTCCACACTGGTTGCTACAAAGCTCGGCTTGGGGAGTGCAGGCTGTTGAGGCTTCGCATAAGTCTGCAGGAAGCGATTGGGGTCGAATTCGTTTGGAGATGGATATGTTTTATCATCGAGCAATTTCGATTCCAGCACACAGCAAGCGCCTTGGGCAATTTTTGTGCCATCGGAGAAAGTGACGTCGTGGATTGCCACACTGTTCATCGAGACTTTCGATCATGAGTAAATTCGTTGCTTAACGCCGATGGAGCAGAACCACTCACGATAGCCCATGCTTAGTCTTTGCGATTCATTCAGGAAGCTGTCGATTTGCTTCATCTCGTAAAGTGCCGTTTTTGTCCAGTCATGCTTGTCAATTGCTGCAACGACTTCAGATCGTAGAATGGGAGCCCATTGTGGATGCTCGCAGAGGAAACGCATTGTCTCAGAACCTTATCAGTAACGATTTCACTGACCGAAAGTTCAAAGTGTCTTACTTGGCTTAAAGCAAAGGTCGTGGTCTGGACGCCGATGAGAGAAAGATGCAGCACAGCTGCTGCAATATCGGCTTTGCTATTGCTTTCTTGGATCTCTTGCGATAGCCAATGCCTAAAGATGGGTCAGTGGCAAGGTTGATCCTGTCAAATGCCGTCACGGTCCTGAACCACAACTGCAGCGGCAGCTCAAAGTTTGAAACAGAAAGGCCTCGCGTTACTTACAGCCCATCTGATCTACATGCTGATGCTTCGGGCTTCTCGATAGGCTACGACAGTGTCAGCAAGTTCATGGCATAATGTGCGTGATGCTCCCAGCCATTGTGATCACTGAAGACGAGATTTGATTGACGTACTCCATTTTCCACAGTTCCGCGTCGCTCCAGCTCACTGGCGATTTGACTTCTCGCCTTCTTTGCTGTTCGTCGCAGTGACCTACAAGAGTCCATAAACCAGTGCAAGATCGGCCGTAACATCCAATGAGTTCTCCGAAGCTCGGACGCCGCAGTGAAACTAAGTAGTGTGTAATCATTGGTCACTTCCACCCATTGCTGATTATAACAAAGAGGTGTGCCAACCAGCACTCGCGAAATTAATCGCGCTGCCAAAGCTGAGAAGTCTGTGGAAACTTTCTTGCTGGCCCAGTTTGGACTGTCGCCCAAGATCTCCTGCGTAGCTACCTCGATTTCGTCACGGAGATCCTTTCTGATGATATCGAGGGATGGTGATAGTCTATGGACCAGCATGCTTCGTAGTAACGGACTGCTGATAGCTACTTGTGCTGCCTCGAAGCCTGGGTTATTGTTCAGCAATTCCTTCAACAAGAAAATGATAAGAGTGCAAAGCTCACCAGGATAGTCCGCAAACCCATCAATGCGAAGCGTCTCAACACCACTGATCAACTTGCTCCTCGTGAACTCTTCTGTGAGGCGATGGCGTACCACAATCTTGATACCAGTCGAAGTCATGATTCGAAACGGTCCAGAGTGCTCTCGAAGACCTTTTTCGATCACCGCTCGAGCGTTGGTTGCCCATGCTTGCTTGGGATCAACGCCATCTATGCTGACCAAGGGCAGGCTAGCGACATACTTTTGCGCCGCACTTCGTCGCCGAGACCAAAAGATGATAACGACAAGACACAAGCCAAAGAAGCTGACGTAAACGTAAAGTGGATGTCTCTGAAGCATCTTTTGTTGTTGCTTGCGGTCGCGCAGTTGTCGTTATGCAATGTATACTTTTTCCTTCTTGGTCAATAAAGAAGCGGTCTACAGAAATCGTAAGAGGTCAACCGAGTTGCAGGCCATTCTTCCTTGTAGAAGCATAATGTAGAGACCTGATCCTAGTAGAGGTCCAGCATGCAAAAAGTCAAAAGCACCGACTGAAGTCTCGCGGCTGTTACCACCTACCTTGTACTTGGCAGGGGGAGCCCTGCGGACATTCCTCCCTTCTTGGTTTGTCACGCGGGCTCCCGAGTCATGCAGGTCGGACTATGCACGGGAATAGATATGCCAGTAAGCCCTGACGAGGTAGGAGGGCTCGTATTCTCGTGAGGTCGGCATCCTGGTAACATGTGATATTCTCGGTGATGGGACCATGACCATGATGAGCCCGTTCAGGAACCGGACGAAGCAGATCGTAGAAACTCTAGCTACAGTATTCACGAGCCAGTAGTAAACGCAGCTTGCGCTTCGCACATCTCCCAGTAAACACCCTTGCGTCTGAGTAGATCATCATGCTTGCCCTCTTCCACGATGGCACCTTGATCCCCAACCACGAAAATGCGATGGCTATTTTGCACGGTCGCCAGTCGATGCGCGACGGCAATAATAGTCAACTTCCCGGTAGAAGCCATGCTTTCAATCGCTCGCTGAATTGCAGCCTCGTTCTGACTGTCCAGACTACTCGTAGCCTCATCAAGAAGCAGTAGACGTGGTCGCCTCAGAAGTGCGCGAGCAATACACATGCGCTGCTTCTGACCTCCCGACATGTTACCGTGGAGGACAGCTGAAAGCACAGTGTCGTAAGCGTGCGGGAGAGAGGTGATGAATTCGTGGATTTCCGCGGCCTTTGCGGCCTCCACGACTTCCGCGTCCGTGGCTGACCATGAGAGGCCGAGAGTGAGATTGTCGCGGACTGTACCCTCAAACAAAGCAGGTTCCTGGCTTACTAGAGCACACATGCGACGCAAGTCAGCGTCTGGCATGTCGCTGAGGTCTTTGCCATCGATAAGAATGCTGCCTCGGCTTGGTAGGTAGAAGTGTTGAATCAGAGACAGAATCGTCGTCTTCCCGCTCCCGGATGGGCCAACGAACGAAACGTATTCTCCAGCTGAGATATCCAGCGAAAGGTTCCGTAAGACCGGCCGATGTTGCGAAGAGTATGTGAAGTCCACGTTGCTGAACTTGATGCATGCTCCAGCCTCAGAGGAGGATGGCGTGGCATCAGTCCCACTGGAAGGAGTTACCAGGTCGGCCAGACGCACGCACATGTTCACAATGCGATTCAAGGCCGGGCTCGCTTGAGATAAATTAGGCCCGAGAGAAAGGAACAAGCCTGCTGTTTGTCCGCCTTGTACGATTGCCGTGTATACAACAATGAATTGCAGTACGTCGTATTCGCGTGTAGCCAGCAGCCGCCCGCCGTACCAGAACGTGAGGGCGATGCAACAGAATTCCAGACTGTTGGCAAGTGCGAAGACCAGCGCCACGAGACGTGCCCGCGACAACGCACGCCCAACATGGTCCTTCAGCAGCTCGTGATATTGCATGACGGTCGGCTTCTCCAGAGTCAATGAGATGACAGTGCGAAATGCCCGGATGCTCTCTGCCGCATGGCGTCCGGACTCAATGAAAACACGTGCGTTGAACGACTCGAAGTACTGCTCGTAACGGTTTCGTGTGATGGACGCGATGAGCACAATAGGAAGTGCAGCGACCATAGTGACCAGGGTCAACTTCCAACCGACTACCAAGGAAAGTATCATAGAGCCTGTTAAGGTGAAGACTCCCACAAGTGGTAAAACCATATTCTGTAGTAGACAGGCAACGATCAGCAAAGTGTTACTTACCGCACGAGAGCTCGACGCCTATTAGACGTCGAGCATGCACCACTTACCGGGCCTGAAACTTCCTGTAGTTGCTGGGGGTCATTGCTGAGCCTTGACACCAGGCTGTCCGACGACATCTCTTCGTTGTCGTGCCAAGGAATGCCTTGTCGCAGCATAGCTTCGTAATACTTTTGCCGATAGCTAGAGGAGACGTCAATAGAAAGCGAATTCGATCCGAATCCGAGGACAGCATAGCATGAGGTGACCACGATAGCAAGCACCAGAGCCATCAATGCCCATTTGTTGCCGTCCGAGAAGAGTTTGTGGCCCGTGTGCTGAAATGCGACAACGAAATTTGCGATGATCACTGATTGTGCGGACACCGCGCCTCCTGCGCCGACTGCACCAGCAAGCACGCATAGATACGACACGCGATGGTGGCGCATAGAGTGGATCAGTCGACCAAGAGAGCGGAGATAGCCTTTTGATCTTTGGCTGGGAGCTTTGCCGTCCTGACTTGAGCTGTGGACAGAACGAACAGCAATACTGGCAGACCGGTCCTTCGTCTTCTCATCGTAATCGCTCGCAGATGGCTGGGAGCCCTTCTCGGAGAGCTCTTCGACCACATTACCACCCAAGATTTCGTCTTCGATGATTGCATCTTCGCCATTGGCATTGGCATTCCGCACTTGTTGTGTGCTGACGAGCTCGTAAAATTTGCCGTCGACACGTTGAGCCAACTCCTCTCGTGGCCCTTGCTCTACGACGGTGCCACGATCGAGAACCACAATCTGATCCGCCCTTTGAATTGTGGAGAGGCGATGGGCGATGATGATGGTCGTCCTGCCCTTTGAGATCCGGTCGATCGCTTGATCAACAATCCTCTCGGAGTGTACGTCAATTGAGCTTGTTGCTTCGTCAAAGATCAAGATGGCCGGTCGCTTCACAATGCACCTCGCGATGGCAAGGCGTTGCCGCTGACCACCAGAAAGCTTGACTCCGCCCTCGCCTACGATCGTCTCGTAGCCTTTGGAAAGACGCGTGACAAAATTGTGGGCATAAGCATCTTTGCAAGCTTCCTCCACAAGCTCCCGCTTCTTGCTTTCCTCCGCATCTTGCCAAGTCGAGCCAGCTAATCCGCGCGCAACATTCTCGTAGATCGACTCGTCGAAGAGAATGGACTGCTGCTCAACGAGACCAATTTGCGAGCGCCACCAGCGTCGATCGAGCGTCTCGAGATTGTGGTGGCCTAGGCATATTGTGCCGGTGTTCTGCAAGACCGTAGCTACTGGTGTGTTCGCGGTTGCATTCTCATCGTCGTCCTGTGCCGAAGGCGGATGATTGCGTTCAGACAGATCGTACCAGCGCTCTAGAAGCGCAACGATGGTACTCTTGCCACATCCAGAAGATCCAACAATGGCTGTTGATTGGCCAGACGAAATGGTGAGGCATAAGTCTCGCAAAATTCTCGTATCCGGTCGTCCCGGGTAGGAGAAGCAGACATTTTTGAGATGGAGGTCGGCATTAACGTCCACTTCCGGTGCTGTAAGGCCCCCGGGCTTCAATGCTTCAGCATCGATCAGGTCGAAGAGAACTTTTGCACCCGCAACAGCGCGGTTGATGCCAATCATGAGAGGAGCGAGGCCTCCAACTGCCGGCATGATCGCGATGAGGGAGAAGAGGACACTGCGACAAGATCAGTCAGCCATAAGCAGAGCTTGTCTAGGCAGGGTACACTCACGTCACAATGTCTCCAATGTCATTTATCATGCCCCGAACATATAACTTCAAGCCCAACCAGAACGTCAATGCGATGTTGGCATATGCGCAGAAGAAGTATAGCCCAAACAATACGCCTACCCACGGCGACTTCTTCAATCCCTGACGACGACCCTCACGAGTCCATGCTGCGTATCGTGCCGTCATGGCATCTTCTGCACCCAGCGACTTGACCACCCTAATACCTCGATATGCATTGGAAGCTTCGGCAGCTGCTTTCGCGTCGACCTCGATGGCCGCAACATCGAGCTTGTTGATCGCAGGCCCAATGAACCCGTAGCTGATGAGTGCCAGTAGAGTGAGAGACGTCGAAGCCAGCGTCAGAGCCCATGAATGCCAGAAGCCCACCATGTATGCAGCAATGATCAAACCGAGAGACTCAATCAGCACCTCGAGCTTGTCAGCAAGCGCGTTCTGGATCGTGGTGACAACGGTAGTCAAGGCAAATGTGGCTGATCCGGGTTTGAGATTGTCGATTGCACGAACAGGTTGGTCGAATAGTGCCGTGAAGTAGGCTTTTCTCAGCGCTGCGCAAAGGACGATGCCGACGTGTCTGAAGACGTATTTTGATACGAAGCTCATCAACAGTTTTCCGATAAAGAGGTACACAATGTAGAGAGCTAGGCGATCGATCTCTCGGCGGAAGTGACGTTCGGAAAAGTCCGAGTTTGGCTCAAAGTAGCGATTGAACCTCTGCACTACGCGCCCGAACACAACGTTCATAAGTGGCAGCATCGATCCGTTGATCGCAGACAGAAGTGCTGTCGCAGCGAGCATCCATCGATGTGTTGGCGTCGCATAACTGAGGATTCGCCAGAGCCCTATCTGTCGTGGGCCTCGCTTCGTTTGTTGTGGTGAGGCGCTCGCCGATGGTGACAGGTTTGTGTCTCGTTGCTCCATGTTGGTGCGTCCTTGCGATGGCTTTCAGATGACCGTTCATGCACGCAATCGAATTACCTGCGCTGGCGTAGTTTTCAGATCAATGGGAGCTCTGTAGACGGCTTCAGCTTCCGGTCACGACTCGCTGTCCTTTGCGGTCGCACGCCGGATCTGCCATTGCACACCCGGCGCGGCTGAACTGATGGCATAGCGACAAGGCGCTGACAGCGTGCCCGACAGCCTTTACTGCCAAGGTGACATGGCATTGAAAAGTCTTCCGCCATTTCTGCGGCCGGCGACTATACCTAAAGCGTGCGTGGATGAGGGATGAACCGGCAAGATCATGTTATGAGTTCAGCCGTCGCTGCTGGTTGCGCGATTATGTACCTAGCAGCTTTCATCAGTCAGCGAGGTACTTTGACTTTTGTTCTCCCGCGGGTGCCATGGGGAGTCTGTAGATGTCCTTGCTCTCGTCACCATCGCCGAAGACACGTCTTTCCAGGGCCTTGAGAGTATTTGTAGCGACTGATGCCCTTGACCCCGAAATAACGACAGACGGGCCATTCCGGAACGGTTATCACCAGTGTAATTAATATCGTGAAAACAGCACACACTCGCAGCGATCAAGCGTTCTTCCGGGGAGCCAAAGGTAGATTCAAAAATAATTTGTAGTGATACGCTGGATGCGCGAAAAATGTCACGGTCGTGACGTCCGGGTCAGCACCCGACTTTTCTGAAGCTGCGATATTTGAGCTCTTTCCTGCGACTCCTCGATACATTCATTCCGTAACGCGCTATACAGAGCGGGGCAAGATTGCCTGTAGTCCGTAATTTCTGAGGGGAGCATTTCAAGGGAATTCGCACTGGGGTTACAAATCAATAGCCAGGTCGATAAAGTTTCACAACCTGGTAGCCCATCAAGACCTTCCTGGTTCCATAACAAGCTGAGCAAGGGAGGTTTTCAATGCCGCTTCAAGCATGGGGCGCCCGCACAGATCAGGAGGCTGCGCACACACAAGCTTTGGTGATGGATGTAGCTTCAGAGGTGAAGCTAGGATCCAGGCCATCGCAGAGGGATAGTCCGAGTAAACGGCGATGCGTTCGGGAAGCGCTGTGAGCTGAGTCTATGCACAGAGGCTAGAGCAATGGCGGTTCGAAGGTGATATTGCGCGAGGTCGTGGAAAGATATCGTAGAGCAACAAGAGCTGCTGGGAAGCCCGCAACGAGAAAGGAGAATTTGACGCAATTTTGGCTGGCCAGAGCGCAGCCAACGGAGAAAGAAGCATCATGACAGGATCCGCGGAACAGGTAGACGCCGAAGCGAAAGCCCACGGGAGCAAGCAGGCGGCGGGCGTGGATGTTGCGGTGTGGCCGCCACTCCCTTCGCCGTCCCATCAGCCGCGGCCGGCGGAGCGCATCGACGCAGCGCAGCTGNCGCCGGCGGTGTTGGTGTTGGGTGCGTGGGCGGTGGTGGTGTCGCAGTGGACGAACAACGACGATGTGCGCTTTGGGCGGAGGTTGAGCGGATGCGGGGTGCCGACGGCGGTGCACATCACGCTCAATTGGGCATGGTCCGTGGGCGAATTGGTGACGCGTTTGGCCGCTGCGACGCGTCTGCGCGGCAACAACAACGACGACAACGACGCGGAGAGCGGCATCGATGGCGGCTTTCAGTCTGTCGTCGCTGTCCACTCCGCCGGCGGGGGACCGGATCCAGCGGACTCCGCCCTTCCCGTCCTCTTGCATGTGGTGGCCTCCGCTGGCGACGACCACGTCCTCCAGCTCAGCCTTCGCTACGACGCCCACGGAATATCCCACGAGCACGCTGCCCGTCTCCTCCGCCATGCACGACACGTGCTGGAGCAGATCGATCGCGCCGCGGCATCCACGCCCATCGCCGCCCTGTCCGGCGTCGACGCCGAGGAACAGGCGCGTCTCGTGCAGCAAAATGCGCAACAAACGCTCACCGTGAGCGATGAATGCATCCACGACGTGATCTCCGCGCAGGCCCGGGCAGCTCCGTCTCGCCCCGCCGTGGCTTCATGGGACGGTGACCTTTCCTACCTCGAATTGGACCAGCTCAGCAGTCGCCTCGCCCAACATCTCGCAGGGCTTGGCGTCGGGTCAGGCGAGAGTATTCCGCTATGCTTCGAGAAGTCCTTGCTCACACTGGTATGTATGCTCGCTGTCCTCAAAGCAGGAGCGAACCTGGTCCTACTAGACGCGACACACCCACGTGCCAGACTCCAAGACCAATGCGAGCGCGTTGCAGCCAAGATCGCCCTCGTCTCGACAGCTCATCGAAGCACACTCCACGGCATCGTATGGCATTGCCTGGCGATCGATCTCGACTTCCTCGAGACTCTTGCCGAGATAAACCATACAGCCATCCTTCACACGCGTTCGTCGGAAGTGGCATATCATGTCTTCACCTCCGGATCCACCAATAAGCCCAAGTGCATCGCCGTAGAGCACGCAGCCTTCGTCGCCAGTGCGAGGTGCTTTGGTACCTCACTATTATTTTCGCAGTCGACGCGCGCTCTTCAATTCGCCTCTTACTCATTCGGTGCTTGTCTGGTTGAGACGCTGACTGTGCTCATGTTCGGTGGCTGCGTAGTCGTGCCAAGCGAGCACGATCGTGCGAACCGGATTGCTGACTTCATGCGAGAATATGCCGTCAACTGGGCGCTCTTTACGCCTTCTGCAATAGCTGCTGTCCAACCAGAGCAGGTGCCAGACCTCGAGACGCTCGTCCTTGGAGGGGAACCCATCACACCGGCCATGCGTGGCACCTGGGCGAGTTGCGTCAAGCTTTTCTGTGCCTATGGCCAGTCCGAAACGTCGACCATTTGCAGTACTACCAGAGTGTACCCCGATAGCCATGTGCAAAGCATCGGCTATGGTGTCGGTGCTCGACTCTGGCTTGTGGATTCTCATAACATCGATTCATTGGTATGGCCCGGATGCGTTGGCGAGATTATCGTTGAAAGTGCTGGGGTCGCGCGTGGTTATTTGGATGACGACCAGCAGACGGCACATGCGTTTGTTTCAATACCCAAGTGGGCAGTGCAAATGGCTCGCCCGAAGGGCATTGCCTTCTTCAGAACCGGAGACCTCGGGCAGCTTGGCAGCGACGGTCAAACCATTCTTTGTCTTGGCAGAAAAGATTCACAGGTTAAGATTCGTAAGTTGAGCACTTCAACGCTACTATCGAGGCTGCACGCTGATACGTGATCAAGGTGGCCAAAGGATCGAACTTGGTGAAGTGCAACATCATGTGTCGCAGCTTCTGCCCTCCGACTGCATGGTCGTTGCGGAAGCCGTGACCGTAGACAATGCTTCTGGATCGAACAATTATTTGGTCATCTTCTTCACCCCATTCGCTCCACATCCCGATGTTGATCTCGGAGATGCAAGCTGCGAAGACGGCTACGACGAATGTATTCGCGACAATGTGGTGCCAGCGCTCTCTGCTAGAGTTCCAAATTACATGATACCCTCGTTCTGGCTCCAAATACCACGCCTGCCATGTACGGGAACAGGCAAGACAGACCGCAAAGAGCTTAGACGCCTCGGGCGAGCTTACATTTTGGACCGTGCTGCACGTAGGAAGACCCGGGCCCGGAGCATCTCTGGATATAGCCCCAAGGAGCAGATCTTGCATCAACTCATAACACGTGTTTTCTGCGTCCCAGCGAATGCAATCGGCATGGAGGACAACTTCTTTAGCCTGGGCGGTGAATCGATCAAGGCCATGAAGCTGGTCTCGGCGGCGAGAGCGAAAGGGTTCTGCATCACTGTGGGCGACATATTCCGCCTTGCAACTCTCGGAGATGTCGCCAAGTGCATGGAGCCGATTCGATGGACAAACGATGAGATTTACGTCCCTCCCTTTTCTCTTCTGTCAGATACATGTCGCAAATTTGCGAGCAAGGCCGCTTCATCAGCATCGAGCATCTCGGAAGCTGACATCGAAGACATCTATCCGTGTACTCCTTTGCAGGCCGGCATGTTTGCTCTGTCACTGGAAACCAACGGAGGTGGGTACGTTAACCAGTACGTTCTCGAACTAGCAAGTACGACAAGCACATGCAAATGGCGGGCAGCTCTCGATGCTACCATCCAGTCCCTCCCAATCTTGCGGACTCGTATCGTGAGCATCGAGGACTCCGGCAAACAACACTTCATGCAAACTGTCACCTCGGCTTCGCGTGTTCCCCTGCAGGTGTGCTGCGCCGAAAGTTTGGCAGAGTATATGGCTCAGGGTTGCAACTCTGTCAATCTTGGGTCTCCATTGTCCGAACATACTATTGTTGAGACTCCCTCGAGCCGATATTGGGTCTTCAAGATTCATCATGCCCTGTTCGACGCATGGTCATTGCCTATGATACTAAAGGCTATATCTGACCGATACCTCAATGTGTCACCTTTGCAGGCCACACCTTTCAATCTTTTTATCAAGCACTTTCAGGCTGTGTCCAGAGACAATTGGCAGGAATACTGGCGCAAGTACTTGCATGGCGCGGTCTGCACTCATTTTCCTCCAGCCACGGCAGCATCCAGCGATGCGAAATCGGACTCGCTCGAATATTTCGAGCAATTCTGCCCAACCCAACAGATACCTCGGTCGGCCTCGACGCACAACACTACAGCTTCGGTGGTGCAGACAGCCTTGGCTATTGTCCTGAGTAGCTTCGCTGCTTCGAAGGATGTAGTGTTCGGCTGCACGGTCTCTGGTAGATCGGCACCTGTCCCGGGCATCGAGCGTGTCGTGGGCCCAACGATTGCCACAGTCCCCATCCGCATACTGCTAGAAGGCAAGGAAAATCAACCAGCAAAGCACTTGTTGGCAGAGGTGCAGCAAGAAACCGCTTCCATGATGCCTTTCGAGCAGGCTGGCCTTCGAAACATTGCGAGTGTCAGCACAGAGGCAGACACAGCTTGCAATTTTCGCACCTTGCTTGTGATCTTGCCCGAAGAGGACGAGACGTTTCGCATGGAAGCTGTCGGAACGTGGCTTCGCGACTACATGACCGATCCTTGGACATATCCCTTGCTGCTTCAATGCGAGCTACGGGAAAACGGCGTAAACATTAGAGCAATGTTCGTCGAGGCTCTCGTACAGCGTGACGTGGTCGCTTCAGTGGTCGATTCCCTCTCCTACATAATACAGCAATTAATCGATCCCGGAGACAAGACTGTCGGTGATATTTCTATCACTACTGATCGTAACGTGCAGCAATTGCGGACTATGGCGGGGGATGTTCAGGAAGAGTGCCAACGTCTGGTGCACGAAATGCTTTCAGAACAAGCTACACTACATCTACAGTCCCCTGCGATTTGTGCATGGGATGGAGAACTGACATATGCGGAGCTTGAGCAACTGACGAGCAACCTTGCTCGGCGCCTGCATCAGCTTGGGCTTGATCTCGGCCCAGAGAGTATCGTTCCGCTCTGCTTCCAGAAGTCGATGTGGATGCCTGTTGCCATGCTGGGTGTAATGAAGGCATCATCTGCATCGGTTGCAATGGATATCGCTCAGCCGTTGACACGACTGCATGCCATTGTACAGCAAGCACAGCCGAAACTCATACTGTGTACAAAACACTCTGAAGACCTTGCGAATTCTCTGGTGGCTGCGTGCCGTCAGGAGGGATTTCACACGACTGTCTTTGTCGTCGGTCACGACACCATTGGCGGCAAATCCCAAAATACCGATCAAGGCCTACTCACGGTGCCAACAATCCACCCCGAAAACAGCTTGTACAACGTGCTCACCAGCGGCAGCACTGGCATCCCAAAGATGATAACCATCACCCACTCAAACTTCAGTAGCGCGTTGGTGCACCAGAAAGCACGTCTCGGGCTCACCAACAGCTCTCGTGTTTACGATTTCTCTTCGTATGCTTTCGACATGGCATGGCATAACCTACTGCATTGCTTGTACGTCGGCGGCTGTTTCTGCATTCCTTCCGAAACAGACAGGATGAACGATCTGTCAGGCAGTCTCCTGCGCTTCAAGGCCAACTTCGCAAATCTTACACCCAAAGTAGCAGACCTTCTTACTACTTCCGCGTTGGACTCACTGGATGCACTCGAAGTCGGTGGCGAACTGACGACTCAGAGTCAAGCCGAGCGGTGGAGACGGCATACCCGAGTGAGATGGTTCTACGGGCCTGCAGAGTGCTCTGCTATCTCGACGATGTCTGATGATGATGTGCCGCCGACTAACATCGGGCGCGGAGGTGTAGGTCTTTGTACCTGGATAGTCGATCCAGATGACCCGAATCGGCTGTGTCCGGTATATGCTGTCGGAGAGCTGGTTCTGGAAGGTCCTCTTGTAGCGCGCGGATACCACGGACGACCAGACCTCACAAGTGCGAGTTTTCTGTCCGATCCTCCTTGGCTGATCCAGGCTGGTCGTCGTGGACGAGTTTACAGTAAGTAATCTGGAATAGGGAGAGGGAGAGGGCATTCCAATGCCTTAAGTGCGTCACTGACATAACACTAGGGACTGGCGACCTGGTACGTTATAACTCTGCAGGAGATCTTATCTTCTTAGGCCGCAAGGATGGCCAAGTCAAAATCCGCGGTCAACGTGTTGAGCTGGAAGAGATCGATCACCACGTTGGAAACGCGCTTCGTGTTACTGCGACCTTCTTCGACGCTCGGGTAGCCTCTGCTGTGGTCAACCTAAAAGACGCCAGCGGAGTGCTCATCTGCTTCCTTGCTCGGTCCGGAACATCAGCATCGGTCGCAGATAGCGAATCACGACTCGCTGGAAAGGCGGAAAAGGTCACGAAAAGGCTGGCGGACGATGTGCCATCGTACATGGTCCCTTCTGGATATGTCATTCTCCCACAACTTCCGTTGTCGACCACCGGGAAGACTGATCGCAAGAGATTGCATGAGCTTGCTGCTGGTATGCTGTACAAGGATTTAATCGGCATCGAGATCGAAGGACAGCATGAGCGAAGACAGCCTACGACTGAGTTGGAGAAAACTGTTCAAGGCTTGTTCGCACGTGCTGTACGCCGCACCGTGAAGCAAGTGGGCGCGGACGACAGCTTTTTCCGCCTGGGAGGCGACTCCATATCCGCAATGGGCTTGATCTCGAGCTGCCGAGCTGCCGGTCTCAAGCTCACCGTTCAAGATGTGTGGAAGCACAAGACTGTTGCGAACCTTGCGGCGGTGATACAAGCAAGAGACGGTCTCTCTTCACAGCAAGCCGGGAACAGTGAAGGCAGTCATCAAGAGGGCACGCCATTCGCCCTGTCGCCAGTGCAGCAGATGTATCTGGCCTTGAATTCGCAGGCACGACCTAATTTTCACCAATCGCAGTACCTTGAACTGGGTCAGAGGCTCACACGAACTCAGCTCGATGGGGCAGTATCGCTGCTAGTCCGGCGGCATCCAATGCTGCGCGCACGCTTCCGAAAGACAGACCTTGACAACGGCGAAAAGACATGGAGCCAGGTGGTTCTGAGTGCAGCTTCGGAGGCCTACATCGTAGAGCATCGCGCCATTATCTCGGGCCAGGAAACCTTGGCAATGGTCACCAGCCAGAAGGTACTGGACGTGGAACAGGGTCCATTGCTCTCCGCATTGTTGCTGGACGTTGGCGAGAGACAACGACTTCTCCTTACGATCCATCATCTGGTTGTTGATTATGTGTCTTGGTCGATCATTCTCCGAGACCTCGAGACGCTAATCACTTCGCCGCAGAAGTCTCTGCCTTCGGTTGCGTCGACGAGCTTCCAAGAGTGGTGCATAGCGCTAGCAGAACATGCACGCCTGCACCTGGAGCCACGTGCGGCCCTGCCATTCACCTTGCGCCCGCGCCAGCTGAGCTATTGGGGCGAGAAAGACATGCTCTTGTCGTCAAATACTTGGGACAATGCTGCGATCAGAACCTTCGCTCTGCCAAAGCTGTCCACTGCGGCGCTACTCGGCTCGGAATGCAATGAAGCCTTCAGCACCCGACCAGTAGAGCTCTTGATTGCTGCGTTGATTCACTCGTTCGGCTCAATCTTCACCGATCGCGAGGATCCTCTGCAGATTTTCAACGAAGGCCATGGCCGAGAGCCTTTTGACGACAAGTTTGACATCTCTGAGACCGTGGGTTGGTTCACGACTCTGAGTCCTGTCCAGGTCGACCAGCCCGCAGGCTCAGACTTGGTTACAGCAATCATGCAGGTGAAAGACTGCATGCGCAGTCTCCCTCGCAATGGCTGGGCGTATTTCACTTCTCGCATGGGAAATCCGAAAGGCCGTACAACATTCGGATCGTCATCAATTGAGGAACTAGTATTTAACAACGGCATTGGGATTGTGCAACATGCAACCGACAGCCTTTTTCACCCGGTCGAGCACGATATTGGGGAGCCTTGGAAGACGTTCGCGAGCGAAAAGCGCTTTGCTCTGTTTGATGTCGTCGCCAGTATGCGGAACGAGTGCTTACACATCATGTTTGTGTACAACACACGCACCCACTGCCAGGACAAGATCATGGATTGGATATCGGCTTACGAACAGTCCTTGAACCAGCTGCCCACTGCTCTTCCAGCGCTTTCTCAAAAATGGACACTCACGGACTTCATACTGCCGTTTGGGGACTACGCCACCCTTGAAGCATTTGAGAATGGCTTGCTCGCATCGATGAAAATCTCACGATCCAACGTCCAAGATGTATATCCGTGTGCCGCAATCCAGAAAGGAATACTTGTCAGTCAGGCCGTGAACCCTGCGATGTATCGGGTCTGCTTCGAAATTGACATCCTTCCTGACACAGTGGACTTCGGTCGATTGCAGACAGCTTGGCGTCAAGTGGTGCGAAGACATGATATCTTACGCACGATTCTGGTCGATAACATGCCTGGAACTGGTTTCGCTCAGATTGTCCTCAAAGAAGTCGACGCTGATGTGCGAAACTTGCTTGATGCCCACGATCACTCTGCTTCACTGTGTCAGCGATCCGCACAAGCTGCTCCAGACCATAGTTTTGTCATTACTCGTGGCGACGAAGATCGACCACTCTTGAAGCTGACAGTCAACCACGCCCTGGTGGACGCTCATGCTTACAATCTGATCTTGCGGGACCTACAACTGGCATACAAGGGCTGTCTTCCTACCGCTGCGCCAGTTGCGACTTTCAGAGACTACGTCTCCTATGCTGAGTCGAGGCCTACTGCGGAAGCCCGAGACTATTGGGCCAAGCGTTTCGAGGGCATAGAGCCCTGCCAATTCCCATCGCTCGATGGATCACGAGACAATGACAGTATCAATCATATTGACGCGCCGGCTGTCGACCATACTCAACTGCAAGAATTCTGTCAAAAACACGAGATCACTGTCTCCAGTGTCTGCCAAGTGGCCTGGGCATTGGTACTACAGGCTTACGTTGGCTGCGCGTCGCCGTGCTTCGGCTACGTATCGTCCGGCAGAGATCATCCCATTGCGGGAGTGGACGAGATTGTTGGTCCACTCATCGTGACTTTGCCATCTATGATCAACTTGGCAGACGACATAGCTCTCATCGACATTATTCGACAAGCACAATCCGAGCATGTCAACTCCATGGCGCACAACCTCTTACCACTCCATGAGATTCTTCATAGCCTTGATCTTCGCGCAAAGCCTTTCAATACAGCTGTCTCTGTCACTCCGGGACAAGGAAATGCTGCGACCGCTCAAGACCCAGAAATTACACTCAAGACGCGAGGCGGTCAAGATCCCACAGAATTTGACATCGCCGTTCAGGTGGCATCCAACAGCGAAAGCACTCGCATCTCCATCATGTACGCTGCTTCTCTCATGTCACCGGAGACGGCTACCAGCGTAGCATCTGCCCTCAGCACAGCAATCTCTAGCGTTGCCTCCGACCCTCAGGTGACAGCCCGCAACGTTGCTTTGATCAGCCACATCGATCTCAAACAACTCTGGGATTGGAATCACACTCCGCCCGAGACTTCGCAACGCTGCTGCCTCCATGACCTCGTTGAGCAACAAGCCGAAGAGAGCCCTCAAGATACAGCGGTCGAGGCATGGGACGGGAAGTTGTCCTACCTGGAGCTCAAGAAGCTTTCGGACAAGCTTGCACTTCACTTACATAGCAAGGGCGTCGGACCTGAAGTTCTTGTTCCATTCTGCTTCAAAAAGTCTATGTGGACAGTGGTTGCAACTCTGGCTACACTCAAAGCAGGAGGAGCATTTGTACCTTTGGCTCCAGACCATCCCGTCTCGCGACAACAGGAGATCCTCGAGCAGACGAAAGCCGAAATAGTTCTTGCATCACGGAGCTGTGCGAAGTTACCTGCACTGGCCGACTGCCATGTTGTGATCGTCGATGCTGAAAGTATTCGCGGTCTCCCTTCAGCTGATGTGAGAGAGCTCGAGACTCATGCAACACAGAGCAACGCGGCGTACGTACTTTTTACCAGTGGCAGCACCGGTAAGAGTAAAGGCGTCGTCGTGCCACACAGCGCCATAAGCACGAGCTGCCTCGAGCATGGCAGAGCGATGGGGTTCATTGGGAAACAGCGAGTGCTACAATTCTCCGCCCACGTCTTCGACGCTAGCGTCCAGGAAATCTTCACAACACTCATCTTCGGCGGATGTGTCTGTATTCCAAGCGATGAGGCTAGGGTTTCGCATCTTGGGCCTACGATCCGGGACTTTGGCATCACCTGGGCTTGCCTCACGCCTTCGATGTCAAGCACGTTATCGCCTGCACATTTGTATTCATTGGAGACTTTGATCTTGTGCGGCGAGCGAGTAACGCCTAGCGCGCTGCAAGACTGGAATTGCGTGCGTAATGTCATGGTCGGGTACGGTCCCACAGAGTGCTCGATCGTGTGTGTTGCAGGCACAGTGCAAGCAGCCGAGCTTGCCTCGAGGAGCAGAATCGGAACACCGATCGGATCTCGAGCGTGGGTGGTCAGCGGAACCAACCACGACAAACTCATGCCCGTAGGCGCTGTTGGCGAGCTCGTAGTCCAGGGCGGCATTCTCGCGAGAGGCTATCTCCACGATCCAGACAAGACAGCAGCGTCCTTCATCTCCAACTCTGCCTGGCTGGAAGAGGCTTCGAGCGGCATCCTTAACAGAATCTACAAAACAGGCGACCTTGTAAGATACAATCATGATGGCACTCTTGACTTCATTGGCCGACGAGAGGATAACCAGACCAAGATCAACGGCCAGAGAGTGGAGCTGGGCGAGATAGAGAACCACGTCCGGGCGTGTCTACCACTTGTGGACAAAGTCGTCGTTACCACTCTTATTCTGCCAGATCGCCAGACGCCAAGTGTTGTGGCTTTCGTTCAAATCGACGAAGGAGCTGTGCCGTACGCAGATCAGCGTTGCTGCCTGCTTCTCAACAAATCCGATATCGACCTCGTTGCCACAATCACTGCTGGTGCTGATGAAAAGCTCGCCAAGCATTTACCTGGATACATGTGCCCCAAGTTGTACATCAGAGTGAACCACATCCCGCTCACACTTTCCGGCAAGACTGATAGAAGGATGCTTGAACAGCTGGCCGGAGATCTATCGCAGGATCAAATCCAATTCGCGCTTCGTGGACGCGACAGACAGCACGTCCAGGCACCTCGCAATACCGTGGAGCATCGGCTTCGCGACCTTTTCGCACGAGCACTGGAGATTGCAGCAGAATCTATTAGTGTCTCAGACAGTTTCTTCAGGCTGGGTGGAGACTCTTTGTCGGCAATCAAGCTTGCATCACAGGCGCTCGAGTTGGAGCTAGACGTGTCCGTCAGCGACGTCTTCCTCAAGCCAAAGCTTTCTGATCTGGCAGAGTATCTCCAAGCGGCTGGCAAAGCAACAAGTCAGCCAAGAGTAGGTGCAATCAATGTTCCCGCCTTCTCGATGCTTCCTTCTTCTCTGGGTGCCGAGTTAGCACAGCAGCTTGCTGCAGAGTCGTGCGGCGTCGCGGAAGACAGGATCAGCAATGTGTACCCTTGCACGGAACTCCAGGCTGGCATGATGGCGTTATCTGTCAAGCATCCAGGCGAATACATTATATGCTATGCGCTTGATCTAGGCGACCACGTCGACGAGGACCGCTGGTGTGCAGCCTGGGGGTCGACTTTTGCTAAACTGTCCATCATGCGCACAAGGATCGCTGAGCTAGGTGACTTTGGCCTCTTCCAAATTGTGGTCGACGACGCTCTCAGCTGGAGGGAGTTTGATATCCCCTTGGATGCATATGTCGAACGCGAGAAGACAGATTCAATGGGCCTTGGGCAGCCGCTCATACGGCTCGCAATGTCTAAGCATAAGCAAAAGCAATTCGTGTTGACAATGCATCATTCTGTGTTCGACGGCTTTTCTCTGGCCTTGATGTTGGAAGCAGTCTCGGAAACCTACCGCAGCTCAATGACGAAGCCCACGTACCTGGGCCACGATGTGTTCATACACTACTTGGGAACACTGCCCGAAACGGCAGGACGGCAATTCTGGCAGTCGTATCTTGAAGGCGTAGACTGCACGCACTTCCCGCAGCCTTCTCCAGGGGCTAGTATGCGAGTGCAGAGAGAAGTCGTCGAAGATGTTTGCAGTCTTGGCACCAACCAGAGATCGGACATTACGCTGGCTACGTTGATGAAGGTAGGGTGGGCGCTTGTGGTAGCCGGCCATACTGCTTCACGCGATGTCGTGTTCGGATGCACCGTTTCTGGACGCAACGCTCCGGTTCAGAGCATCGATCGAGTTACAGGACCAACTGTAGCAACCATACCGGTCCGAATACAGCTCACGCAAGGCCCTCACATGATCGCAGATCTCCTCTCAAGCACACAGGAAATGAGCGCTACCATGATCCCTCATGAGCAGATGGGTCTCGCAAAGATTGCCGCATGCAGCGCGGATGCCAGCGCAGCTTGCGACTTTCAGACTCTGATAATGCTACAACCCGACGGTGATGGCAGGCTCCAAATGTCATCGTTCGGTACTTGGCTTCCTGATCATGGTGGCGCCAGTGTGCGAACATATCCTTTGGTCCTACGAGTGGAGTTGCGCCGCCAGGGTTTCAGCATCAGCGCAGATTTCAACCCGCAATGTATCAAGAGAGACGAGATATCGCGTCTGCTGCGCCAGCTCGTGTACATTGTTCCGCAGCTGGCCGATGCTCATCAAACGATGACAACAGAGGATCTCAGCATCACCACGCCCGAGGATCTAGCCCAGATTAAGAGCTGGAACTCAAGTAAGCTGCAGAGCATCAATGCGTGTGTGCACGAGTTGATTGCAGAGCAAGTGGCTACCCAGCCCGATGCCATTGCTGTTTGCTCATGGGACGGCTCATTGACGTACGGAGAGCTGGACTCTCTGTCGAATCAGCTGGCCATCCGCCTATGCAACATTGGCGAGATTCACAAAGCGGTGATTCCATTGTTCTTCGAGAAATCGAAATGGACCTCAATCGCCATCATGGCAGTTATGAAAGCAGGAGGTGCTTGCTTGAACGTGGACATCAGCTCCCCGCCTGGAAGACTGCAGGCCATTGTGAAGCAGGTTGCTCCACCTGTGATCTTATGCTCTAAGGCTACAGAGCACCTCGCAACGGCTTCTTCGACTGTGCGCTCGATCAAATTGGACAAGCAGTTGTTTTCGAATCTACCTCTGACCTCTTCTGAGGGCACATTGCCAGTAGTCGATCCATCGCATGGCTTGTACTGCGTCTACACGAGCGGTTCCACGGGGACACCAAAAGGTAGGTCACGTCGCTATGCCCATTTTCTTCCTCTCCGGTCTCTTCTACTTCATACTGTCTGCCACAATGCTAACTATCGATCGCTCAAGGTATCATAATTACCCATGCGAATTTCAGTACTGCCGCACACTACCAGCACGAGGCCCTACGGTTCGACAGTACCTCTCGCGTTTTCGACTTCGTCTCGTATGCATTCGATGTTTCGTGGTCCAATATGCTGCACACCTGGATCGCCGGAGGCTGCCTATGCGTGCCCAGTGCTTACGAGCGTTGGAACAATGTGCCTGGAGCAATCGAACGCATGCAAGTCAACTACGCCCATCTGACTCCTTCGCTCGCTCGCATGCTCGATCCTTCCCAAGTTCCGAGCCTGAAGATTCTATCACTGATCGGTGAGCCAATGACGGCCTCGGCTGTCGCTCGTTGGGCGCTTTCCGGAGTCGAATTGATCAACACTTATGGACCTGCTGAGTGTACTGTCACAAGCACCATCCAGCACATCAACAAGAGTGACACTGACTGTGATCCTTCTATCGGCGTGGGCGTTGGGCTTCATGCGTGGATAGCAGATCCATTCGATAGCCACCGCCTCGCTCCAATCGGCGCCATTGGTGAACTGGTGCTCACTGGGCCGCTGGTTGGAGCTGGCTACTTGCACGATCCGGTGAAAACGGCAGCAGCCTTCATCGAGCCGCCGAAGTGGATGATTGATGATGCTGAGCTCGTCAAGAGAAGCCATGATATGCAGCTCTACCGCACAGGAGACCTTGTCAGGTATGCACCTGAACTCGATGGAAGATTGAGCTTCATTGGGCGCAGAGACGGCCAAGTAAAAGTTCGCGGGCAACGCGTGGAGCTCGGAGAAGTTGAGCACCAAGTGACTCAAGCTGTGCGAACATGCCTTGGGACCAGTACTGTGCATGTGGCGGCCGAGCTGGTCAAACCAAAAGATAGCTACGGGCGCTCCTTACTCGTTGCATTCTGTGCTACGTCTAACGAGACCAATACGCATGTGCTTCATCTTAGACCCGAGCAGGCTCAACAGATCAGCGAGCTGCTTTCAAATCAGGTGCCTTCCTACATGGTGCCAGACGCATACCTCATGATAGAGACCATCCCTCTCGCGCCAACGGGAAAGACTGACAGGCGTCGTCTACGGGAGATCGGATCCGAATTGACCATTTCCGAGTTGGTCAAGCACCAGACAGAGTCAGAGCAAACCACCGCTGTCGATACTCAAGAGGCGAAGACGCTACAATCCATCTGGGCACGGGTGCTTGGTTGCCCGGAGGCCGAACTCCACGCAGAGACAAACTTCTTCCAGCTTGGAGGAGACTCAATCACGGCAATGCGAGTTATCGCTGCTTGTCGCAAAGACGGCTTGAGCTGCCTCCGCATGGAAGATATCTTCAGACAAAAGACGATTGGCAATCTGGCTCTCCTGGTCTCAGAACGGCTGTCTCCAAGGGCCAAGATCAACGGTAATGACAAAGAAGAGCAGAAGGTTACTTCCACCTCCTCGCTGTTGTTCCCACTGGCGTTTGAGGATTATGTCAGTCTGCAGACTTTCCTCGACAACACTCTGCCTCGTCTCGGACTTTCATTGACAGAGGTCGAAGATGTGTACCCCTGTTCTCCTGTACAGGAGGGGATGCTGCTGGGTCAAGCTAACGCACCACACATGTACTACCCTCGCTTTGAGTTCAATGTCATCGCTCCTGAAGGCAAGCCAGTCAACATTGGTCGTCTGCAAGCTACGTGGCAAAAGGTGGTAGAGCGCCATGCAATACTTCGAACCGTTTTTGTGGACAGCTTACCCGGCCATACTGGATTCGCGCAGATTGTGCTGCGTCAAAGCAAGCAGACCGCTCAGATCATTGCGCAAAATGAGAAACTGAAGCCACCGCACCAGATCTGTGGCTCGGTATGGCAGGGCGGGGATCAGCCCGCGCTACCGACTCATCGAGTCGACATCAGAGCAGGTTCCAAGACGCAGTTCATCCTCACAATCCATCATGCGTGCATAGATGCGCAATCTATGCATATCCTGATGCGCGATATGCTTCAGATTTACAGCTCTTCATCTACTAACCAGGAGATCGGCCTGTACAGTGATTACATCGCCTACACCCTTCGCCAGCCGAAGGAAGAGACGCAGCGCTTTTGGGCAGACCATCTAAAAGGAGTGGAATCGTGCATATTTCCGATTGGAGAAGTGGCGTCGGATTGTGAACTGAAGCCATTGACTGTGAAGGCTCCTTCTCTCGACGCCAGTAAGCTTAGGCTCTTCTGCGAGTCCTTCGATGTCACATTGTCCAGCATTTGTCAACTGGCATTGGCGCTGGTCTTACGAGCATTCACCGGCAGTGACCGTCCATGTTTCGGATTCGTTGCTTCTGGTCGAGATCAAGACGTGCAAGGTGAGCAGATCTCCCACAGTCCGAGTCAAGCTGTAGGACTCTGTGGCAGTAGATAATTCATGGTTCTCGAAAGAGCAGCTGACCATTCATGCACTTGTACAGGAATCGAATCGATAGTTGGCCCGTTGGTGACTACACTGCCATGCACTATCTCGCTGGAGGACTCCTCGTCGATTGTTCAACTCGTACGAAATATCCAGGACAGGACACTAGATGCTCTTCGTCACCAGACCATTTCCCTCATTGAGCTTCATCGCACGCTCGGCTTAGAGACAGCGAGGCTCTTCAATACTGTCTTATCGGTCACGCCCATGGTTACCTCTGCTGCTCGACTTTGTGAAGACCAAATAGCATTCGAATTTTCCGCAGGGCAGGATCTTACAGAGGTAAGTAAACCCCTCAGCGAGACTGGGCCACTCAACTTTTGACTTCATGCTGACTATCTTGAAGTACGACATTGCAGTGCAGATCCAGAGCGGCCCATCTACAGTGGACATTTCACTCAACTATACCTCATCACTTCCGACAGAGATTGCATCAAGCGTTGCGGAGTCGCTCAGGACTGCGATCTCATCCATTGTGTCGAGTTCAGCAGAATCATCGATTGACAGTGTCCAGCTTGTTGGCCAGCAGGCAATTGATACTATACTGCAGTGGAACTCGACCGCGCCAGTTCCGCTCACGCCCATGCGTTGCGTTCACGAGCTCATCACAGACAGGGCCTGCCGTAGTCCCAGTTCTCCGGCCCTTTCTGCCTGGGACGGCGATCTCAGTTACGCAGAACTGGACCGATTGTCTACTCGGCTCGCATTCCTTCTTGTCGCTTCTGGCGTCACCCCACAGTCCATGGTTCCCTTATGTTTCGACAAATCGCTCTGGGCCATAGTCTCTATGCTCGCTGTCCTGAAAGCCGGCGCGACATATGTACCGCTCGATGCAAAGTGGCCAGCCATGAGACATCATCAGGTTCTGGCACAAACGCAAGCAAACGTAGTACTGGTTTCGGTCCAGTATGCCAATCAGTTCTCGTCCGACTATTTGCCAATCATAGTGAACGATAAGACTCTGACCGAGGCGGCATCTCTGACTATCGATCTTCCGGCTGTCAGTTCTTGTGATGCTGCCTACATCCTCTTTACCAGCGGTACCTCTACCGGGAAACCCAAAGGCGTTGTGCTGGAGCACGGGGCTGTTAGCAGCGCTTGTATGCAGTTCGGACCGACCATGGGCATTGGTTCCAGTTCGCGGGTCCTACAGTTCTCGTAAGTGAGCCCAAGCCCCGCAACCTTTCTTCTTCAATCTGCACAGTCAGTGTGATGGCAATGTCACAATCTGCTAGGTGAGGGTTCTGCGTTCGTGTGCTGACACGGTTCTCACAGCTCGTACGTCTTTGATGCCAGCATCATTGAGATCCTCACGACTCTGTTCCATGGCGGCTGCGTATGCATACCTTCGGAAGCCGACAGGACCGACAACCTGGAGCGCTTCATGGTCGACCAAGGAGTCAATTGGGCTTTCTTTACACCCTCCCGAGCTCGTCTACTCGATTTTGACCGGCTGAATGGTACTCTCGACGTTCTTGCCGTAGGCGGCGAAGCTGTTCTGAACTCTGATCGCACATTCTGGAGGACAAAAGTACCGAGATTCATGATCGGATATGGTCCTACGGAAACATGCGTCTTTTGTGTCACGGCGGATTATGCATGCGACTCCAGCAAAACACGACAGACACACGCGAAGGACACAATTGGAAAGTCTATCACGCCTACCAGCCGAAGTTGGATCACGATCCCCAATGATCCGACGAAGCTTGCACCCATTGGAGCTGTTGGTGAACTTCTGGTAGAAGGGCCTACACTTGCACGTGGCTATCTACATGATGATATCAAAACGACTTCGGCATTCATTCGTTCACTAGAGTGGCTAATTGGCTCCAAGAGACTGTACCGCACAGGAGACTTGGTCAAATACCATCACGATGGCTCAATCATCTACCTCTCGCGCAAAGACGACCAAATCAAGATCAATGGTCAGAGGGTGGAAATTGGTGAAATCGAGAACACCATCCGCGAGTGTCTCACAGGCGCTTCTGTTGCTGTTGACTTTGTGCAAGTGACCACGCAGACTCCTGCAGCGGTGGTAGCTTTCTTGCAGTCAGCTCATTGCAATGCCGAGGACATTGTAGTCGACGACTCTTTCGATGCCGCTTCGCTCGATCAACAACTCAGCGAGCGACTCCCGTCTTACATGGTCCCGAAGCTTTACATACCGCTGAGCCGCTTCCCTTTGACAGTGGTTGGAAAGGCAGACCGTCGTCATCTCCGGGAGCTTCTCCAAGCTTTGAGCGCGCAGCAACTAGCGAGTCTCAGAGCACGTCATGCCACTCAAAATCAAGGTGCTGTCGAGCTGCCAAGGACGGAGAAGGAGAAGAGGCTTCGTACAATCTACGCCAAAGTGCTGAGTGTTGAAGAGGCCTCGATCGGACGCCAGTCGCACTTCCTCAAGCTTGGAGGAGACTCGCTTTCTGCGCTCAAGCTATCTGCTGGGGCTCGGGAGGCGCAGCTTATTCTGACAGTCTCTGACGTCCTTCGACATCCTGTGCTTCAGCACATGGCGAATGCAGCCTCGTTGCAATTGGAGTCTCCGAGCAGTGTCGGCCCACCACAATTCTCAATTTTGCCCGAGCGTCTGAAGCCAGAATCTGCTCGCGAGCTAGCAGCAGGTGCTTGCGGGGTGTCACAAGATCTGGTTGAAGATGTGTACCAATGCACACCATTACAGGAAGGCATGTTGGCCCTCTCCGCAAACTTGCAGAGCGACTATCTTGCCTGCTATGCATTGGAGCTGCTGCCATCTGTAGACATGGCCCGGTGGCAACAGGCATGGCAAAACGCAGTACAAGCTATTCCCATCCTGCGAACCAGAATCGCACAACTCGGCACCCACGGACTTTTCCAGGTCGTGCTACAGCATCAGGATATCACATGGAAGACCATCAAAACGTCACAACGGCACGAATACATACAAGCACGAAAGTCTTCCCCTCCCGGGTTGGGCGAACCTTTGGTCGACTTTGCGATCGCCAGTGACAATGACCAGAACGAGAGGAATGGCAAACGCTACTTCATTTGGTCAATTCATCACGCTCTGTTTGATGCCTGGTCTCTGTCACTGGTTCTTGACACAGTAGCTGGACACTACGAAAATGCTGGATCCGCACCTGCGCGTTCGCTGGTCAAGTTTAACGTCTTCATCGAGCACCTGGTGAAGTCCAAAGAAAATAGCAGTTGGCAAAAATTCTGGACCTCCTATCTTGGAGACTTCTGCTCCCAGCACTTCCCAGCTCCTAGACCTTCGCCACTTGTTCCAAACAACGGCACGGAACTGCAGGCAGTGCAAAAGAGCGACATTGGACGTGCCGAGCGGTTCAGTGCCTTCAAAGCGGCAAGCGAGACGGGCTTCACTGTTGCAACGATGATCAAAGCAGCGTGGGCAGTAGTTGTGGGCCGACACATCAACTCCGACGACGTTGTCTTTGGCTGCACACAATATGGTCGCAGTGCTCCGATTGTTGGCGTCGAAAATTGTGTCGGTCCGACAATAGCCACAGTTCCTGTTCGTGTACGCATCAACGAGCGCTCAACGGCGTCCACACTACTGGCCGAGGTTCAAGCGCAAGACGCTAGCATGATACCATTCGAACAGGCCGGCTTGCAACAAATACGAAGTCTCAAAGGAGGCGCTGCTCTTGCATCCCAGTTCCGCACCTTGATTATTGTACAGCCAAAAGAGCAGACTTCGATTTCAAGCTCAACCGATTGCTTTGGCAAATGGCACACCGACGGCCAAGCTCAAATACAAACCTACCCACTGATGCTCCAGTGCGAAGTCGCACACGATGGCGTGGTTTTGTCTGCGAAGTTCGATCGACGTTCTATCTCGCAGAGTGCAGTGAATGAATTGCTATCCGCACTGGCTTGTGTATTACCGCAAATGGCCGAGGCGCCTTCTGTCGCAGTTGGCGATCTTTTGACGATGCCGCCCGAAACACTCGAGCAGATCTGGGGTCAACAACGAAGATTCATAGACATTGCAGCGCCACTCCGGCTCCGGCTCAAGGCAGAGACAGCTGCACTGAATGTTTTCCAAGATCATGAAGCGCGGGCTTGGGTCGTAGACCCCGGAAATCATGGTCGCATATGTGCTCCCGGCAGCGTAGGTCAGCTGGTACTGGAGCTTTCACCACATGAAGAAAGCTTTGCCATAGAGAGCTCAGCACTATTCATGGACAGCACAGCATGGTTGTCTCATGGCAGTCGCAGTCAACCCGGACGAAAGAGACGTGTCATCATCACCAATGAGCTGGTTCGGCAGGACAAATCCGGAGACCTCATCAGTGTTGGCAGCGTGGAGACTCATGCGAAAATATCCGGCCAGTGGGTCGACTTGATTGAGGTCGCACACTGCTTCAAAGAGGGACTTCAGACCGCGCTTCGGAACCCTGATTCTTCACTTTTCGGTTTCGATACAGTTGTTACGCCAGCGAAACCACAAGACAGGAACGGGCAAATACTGGTGGCATTCGTTGCTGCCAATGGTGACGCTGAAGCTCTTCCCTCTTTGCGCACACTGCTTGCTCAAAGAGCAGATCAATTGAACAAGCAGCTCAGGTCCACGATGTCCTATCACTGCATTCCTTCGGCCATTGTGTGTTTAGAAGCATTACCTTTGACTGCGGACGGGCGAGTTGATACTGCTGAGCTTGTGAAGGTCGGAGCCGGCATGACTTTCGAACAGCTCGCGTCCTACGAGCCGATTGCTCAATCCAGGGTGTCGCAGCAGCCGATTACTACAAGTGAAAAGACAATGCGTCGTCTCATGGCCGAAGTGCTGCAGCGTCCAGAGGACAGCATTGGGCTCGCCGATAGCTTCTTCGCCCTTGGAGGGGACTCTATTACAGCGATGCAGTTGGCTGCAGCCTGCCGAGCCTCGAAACTTGCAATCCAAGTCAGCGACATCTTCAGGGAGAAAACTTGTGTCCAACTGGCACTACTGTCTGGACGCAACTCGGCACCTCTGGTCAACGAAACCTACGCGGGTGACAACGTGGCAGCTGGCGACTCCGACTGCTCCTTCGACAAGTTCCCATTTGCATTCGAGAGTCCAGAAGACTTTGAGCACTTCCAGCTAAATACCCTGCCACGTCTCGGCCTGGAACTCGACGATCTCGAGGATGTGTACCCTTGTGCGCCAGTCCAGCGAGGGATTCTAATCAATCAACTCAAAGACCCGCGTTCTTACTTCGTCCGCTACACCTTCCACATCCATCCCCGATGTGAGCAGAGCAGCAAAGTCGATGTTGAACGCGTGGCCGAGGCCTGGAAACAGACGGTACAGCGACATGCCATACTGCGCACCGTCTTCACGGGAGAGGTGCCAGGCATGGAATTCGCACAAGTTGTACTACGGCGGTCTGACCCTATCATCCGTCTCCATCCCGAAAACGGTGCCGCACAGAGCGCCCTACTCGATGCAGGCAAAGTTTCTGCTACAGGTCCTCAGCACGTGGTCGACTTATCGCCCGGCGAGAAGGATTGGGTATCGTTCACTCTCATCATCAATCACGCCTTGGTCGACGCCTATACTTTCAATCTTATACTTCGCGATTTTAGCCACGCCTATGATGGCACACCACTACCTGAGAGCATATCCTACCGGAGCTACGTCGAATATGGAAACAATCGCGACAACGAGGAGAGTTCGAAACTCTTCTGGACGGAACACCTCATTGACGTTGAGCCGTGCCATTTCCCGATTGATGCAGATCGCACACACAATGAACCTCTGGAAACTGCAGCACCAGAAATCGATCACATCAAGCTGCGACAATTCTGCCGAGAGAATGATGTGTCCGCATCCAGTGTCTTCTATACTGCTTGGGCTCTTGTTCTGCAAGCATACACTCGGAGTGCTCGGCCATGCTTTGGCTGGATCGCGTCAGGTCGTGATCTTCCGATTCATGGAATTGAACACATTGCAGGGCCTTTGATTGCCACATTGCCTCTCGCTATAGCACTTCCGCCGGCCAGAGAAGGATCTCTGCGGGAATTGGTTCGGACAACGCAAAATGCAGCCACGAAAGCTTTGCAACACCAACTTTACCCTCTGGCAGACATATTCCATGGACTGGCACTGGGCTCTGATAAATTATTCAACACTGGAATCTCTGTTCGTGGCGACAACAGCATAGCTTTGGACGGTACGCAAAGCGACATTCGTATTGAGATGCGTGAGGCCAGTGACCCTTCTGAGGTAAGCATGTACTGATCGTGAGCCCGTAATTTTACACAAAGCTAACATCCACAGTTCGATATCGCCGTGCAGGTGCATCATGGAGCTAGCGGCGTCGACATCAGCTTGGTGCATAAATCGTCGGTGGCACAGCACATTTCCAGTGTTGCTGCAGCATTTAGTGCCGCAGTTTCTGGCATCATCACAAGTCCGGAGCTCACCATCTCAGACCTCGAGCTCATTGGGTCACAAGATCTCGATCGAGTTCGACACTGGAACTCTACCGAGCCACAAAAGGTCGATGCATGTCTTCACGAGCTGGTGGCGCAAAGAGTGTTGCAACAGCCTACAGCTTCTGCTGTATCAGCTTGGGACGGTGACCTAACCTATGCAGAACTTGACGCACTATCGACAAAGCTGGCGCAGCGCATCTTCCAACATGTATCTCCGACGCAGGGCAACTCTGCTGGAGGCTCGAACCAATTCATCCCAATCTGCTTCGAGAAATCCATGTGGGCTATCGTTGCAATGCTCGGTATCCTCAAAGCTGGCTGCTCTTTCGTACCTCTGGACTCAAAGCACCCGAAGTCCCGAATTGACCACATCTTGAAACAGACAAAGGCCAAGGTAGTCGTCACCTCTGGCGAACTGTCCGCTTCTTTGGAACTGCCTAAAACGATCACCCCAATAATCTTGGGAGGCGACTCGGCGACAGATTCTACTTCTAGCGCCGTCTGGATATCCGTGGATTGTAGGTCGTCCGATATTGCCTATCTGATCTTTACCTCTGGAAGTACAGGCACACCAAAAGGCGTCGTGCTAGAGCACGGAGCAGCCAGTAAGTCTTTTTCCTCCTTCCGAACATAGCGATGCCTGAGCATGCTACTGACCTGTCACTTTGCCACATAGGCACGAGCTGCCTAGCTCATGGCAAGGCCATGTGCTTCAAAAGCAAGCCAAGGGTGCTTCAATTCAGCTCGTACGTGTTCGATGGTTGTATTATGGAAATCTTCACCACCTTGATCTACGGTGGATGCATAGTAGTGCCTTCGGAAGCCCACAGAAGCGACTACGAGCTCTTGACGAGATTCATGACAGAACGTCAAGTAAACTGGGCGTTCTTGACTCCCTCGCTGGCGCGATGCATTCCTCTGGTCGATCTTCAGAAACTTGATGTACTCATTGTCGGAGGCGAAGTCCTTACCGAATCGGACCGAAAGGCTTGGAGTACATTGCGCAAGTTCATAGTCGCATACGGCCCCACTGAAACTTGCGTAATTTGCTTCACTGCAGACTACTCGTCTGGACCACAAGCAAAAGCGACTATCGGGAAGGCAATCACGCCGGGCTGGCGAAGCTGGATAGTTGACCCAGGGTCCCAGCGACACAGATTATTGCCCGTGGGAGCAGTCGGCGAGCTGGTCGTGGAAGGCCATCCCTTGAGCAGAGGATATCTTCACGACCAGGCGAAGACAGACGCAGCCTTCATCGAGTCTCCCGACTGGCTGACTGGTTCCAGACTGTACAAAACGGGTGATCTGGTCAAATACAACTCGGATGGAACCATAAGCTTTGTTGGCAGGAAAGACCAGCAGGTCAAGGTCAATGGCCAGAGGGTTGAAGTCGGGGAAATCGAGCAGCATCTAGCGGCATTCCTTCCGGAGGCAGAGGCCGTCATCGTTGAGCCGGTAAAGCTGCAAGGAAATCCGTCTATTGCTCTCGCCGCTTTCGTGCAAATGAACAAGGCTGGGCCTGATGTGGTTGTTGCATTGGATGAGAGCGCCATCGCTACGGCAACTACCATCGCACGCCGCATGGAGCTCGTCTTGAGCGAGAGCCTGCCTGTGTATATGTTGCCACGGCTTCTGGTTCCTTTGACCAAAATGCCACTGACGGTCTCTGGGAAGGCAGATCGACGACTCCTGCAGCAACTGGGCGTCAATCTGACCTCCCAGCAAATAGCTGACCTTCGCGGTCAGAGCGAGTTGCAGAAACCGCAAACGGCGTCCGAGCGTATTCTGGCTCAGCTGTGGGCACAGGTGCTCGCTGTCGAGGAAAAGCACATTGGAGTACATCTGAACTTCTTCCGCAGCGGCGGTGACTCTATCTTGGCCATGAAGCTTGCCAGTGCAGCACGAAAGCACGGATTGACCTTACAAGTCAAGGACATATTTCAGCATCCCACCATCGCAGATCTTGCACGCCTTTGTGACAGCAATGCTGATGTCCAGGTCAAAAGCCAGGACGACCAGTACAAGCCTTTCAATATGGTGCCAGCTGCAACTTCACAGGTGGTGGCGAAGCAACTTGATCTCGGTTTCGGTGATATTGCAGACATCCTCCCAGCGACATACATCCAGAAAGAGTTCGTCACGGAAGCTGTCTGTGGCAATATGCCTGCGTTCAACTACCTCTCCCTCGAATTCCGGAATGGCGACTACCTCCAGCACTTGCAGACCTGTTGTCAGCAGATTGTTGACAAATACGATACCCTTCGCACTGTCTTCGTGCAAGACGTGGACGAGAGGTCACTGTTCCAGGTGATACTCAAAGCACAGCCGGTGCAAATCGCCTTTCACACACCAGAGACCCAACGAAGCGACGATTTTGTCAAGCAACTTTGCATCACGGATCAGCGACAAAGATTTCACCCCGATCAGCCACTCACAAAGTTTCTCGTCGCTCATCTGCCGGGCTCCGATTGCTTCAGTTTGATTATCAGGCTATCCCATGCTCAATATGACGGCGTGGCGATCAATATGCTCTGCAGCGCTTTCCAAGCCTTGCTGACTAACAACGAGATTCCTAGTGCTGTTCCATTCTCACGTTTCGTGGACCACACTGCCAGGCACAATACTCACAGCTACGATTTCTGGCGACGACGGCTCGCTGGCTCGACCATGTCGACGCTCAGTTCTACGACCGATCAGACTCCAGGAAACGCAATTGTCCAAACCGCTCGGAAGCTGCATCTTCCTGTGATAGAAGGCTTCACTCCAGCTACAATCTTTGGAGCAGCTTGGGCTCTGGTGCTGGCTCAATTGTGCGGCAAATCCGACGTGGTCTACGGCCAAGTGGTGGCAGGCCGTGGTGGCTCGCTTCAGGACATCCATAACGTCTTTGGCCCATGCGTCAACAAAGTCCCGATGCGAGTTCAAACTGGAATACATAGCACAGTGACGGATTTCTTGCGCTACGTACAAGACCAGCAAGCGTCGCTTGGGGGAGCCGATTCGGTCAGCCTTCCTGAAATCGTCGAACATTGCACAGATTGGCCATCCGATACCACATTTGGCTCGATCATCCAATATCAGAATCCCGATATCGATGCAACTGCGAATATGCGACATCAAAGTAGCACTGCGATGTTCAAGGCGCGTTGGATCGACACCGGGGATTTGCCAGGGACCGGTCTGTTCCTTCTGTGCAGCCCTGTGGGAGATGGCTCTGAACATGTTGTCGACTTGGCTTCGAGCAATGTTGGTCTCTGCAAGTCAGCAGCGGAGAGTCTCCTCGATATGCTCCTCCAGAAACTTGGAGAATTCAGCTGAATTTTGCCCGACAAGAGTCGCGCGGCCTGGGAGATGTGGTGAGTGGACAAAGCAAGCTCAGTCCTCGGACCATGCCTGCGCCCCTGAGGATGAGTGAACTATATTTCATTGCGAGCGGGGTACGCCATCACCCAATGCAAATACACCTGAACCACTTCCATGCAGCTGCACACCTGCACATCTGCACACCTGCAAGGCCGATTGCATCTGACCAAGCTCATCTTAGCCGAACGCCCACGGTGACGGACTCTCCTCCAGCAGACGAACATGGTCTCTGGCGAGAGAGGTACACGGTGCATGCCGGCGGTCTTGAGTGCAATGCAAGAAAAAACATGTGCCAAAGAAGGGCTTCCCGAAGCCAGCGGCAGAGGACTTGACGCTATCGACAGTCTGTTCCAGATGGCTAATTGTCAGAAAACACAGGGCATTGCTCTGAGCTCACTCACTGCCCAGACAAGAGCTGATCCAGGCACATCCGTTCACAGCATGGCGAGCGTGTCGAGCGCGACAGCCAAACTCAACTCCCAGCCTGCCTCCAACCCCCGTCGAGTGACCAACCCTCAGCAGATACCAAGCGAGCTATCAGAGAATGAAGCAGTACCGACAGAACATGAAATCTTGTCCGAGTTTCCATTGCAAGAGCCACCTGTGTGTCGACACTGCGGGTCTCAAGGAATCCGAAAGATGGTGGTACACGGGTCTCCAAACGGTAATGGAGGCCGATGGTATTGGAAATGCACCCAGATGCAAACCCACCGTGATAGCTTCATGTGTTGGGATGACAGTCGAGGCATACGCAAGGAAAATCCTCAGTGTCGTCGCGGTCGTCCTTCTCGGCAGCAAGCCTATGGTCGCTCCAACTGCCCCGCGTGCAAAGCAGGAATTCCTCACGATCACTCAAGAGGATATTGGAATTGTGCCAAGGGGATATGTTGGTATCATTCTGACAGACTCGATGGTAAGATGGTCCAGGCGGCTCTCGGTCAGGGCTTCCGGGCCACAACTGTGGAAGAGGATACGCACCGAGGCCTCAAGGGTCATTGAGGTGATCATGGTGCATCGACCTCGAGGCAATATGGTTTTGTCCGCATTGTTATATTACATGAGCCTCTCGCACACGAGCACAGGCTTGACAGGTGGCAACTTGCGAAGTTGGCTGGTCCGACTCGCAGTCAGCTAAAATAAATGTCCCCCGACTGGTGGGATCCCCATAATACTCGCCCATGAGGAATTACGTTAGTCACCACCTTCCACATTTGTCTCGAGGCCCAAGCAAGACGTCAGGCACATGGAATCGGTCACCTAAAAGGGTACTCTGACTCGTGCGACCAGAGGATACCTGCATCACGTCAACCAAAAATCTGTCGTACCTTTCGAGCCCTGGAAAAAACAAATAGCAGTACATGATCCACATATTTCGTACTCGCAAAAAGAAGCAAAAAGAAGCAACTGAGACGGACAGACAGACAACGCACGAACTGCTTCCTCCAAAGTCAAGCAAGCAGATACAACATGGTCGCTCCAGCTGTGCAACGCAGCGAGGCTTGCGAGATCGGGCAAAGCGACGTGGATCACAAACCTGTTGCAAAGGAGAGTGGTAAGTCTTCCCACTCTGACCTCAGCTCGTACGTTTCGCCCTCAATGACCCGTGCTCATACCTCCGTCTCAGTCATAGACGTCACCTGGAAAGAGATTCGAATTCACGACGTACCCGCTTCCCTGGCCTCGGTAACCCAAGGCTATCAAGTTCTCTGCACACGCTGCGCTCGGCCTACCATCGAGAAGACCTTGCTCCAATACGGCGCATCATTCAAGTGCTCGAATCAGTCGTGTACGAATCGCCATCAACGAGCGGCCGTGGCCTTTCCCGGAGACGATCAGCAGGGCGTCGATCCCGCCAAAAATCCACTCTGCCACTGCAATGTCGTCTCGAGGTTCAAGAGGATCTACGTGGATGAGACTGACTTGAAGAAAGGCTCTGAGAAAGTCTTCGAGTGTGCGGCGCTGAGGTGCGATTTTGGCGAGGAGCACGAGCAGAGGCCGAGTGTGAAATTCCGTTGATCTGGTCGTGTGGGAATTTGACTTGCTTGGTAATCCATGTCAGCAGGTGCTTCTAGAAGGTCTTGACAGTGAGTCACGATAGCTTCTTGGGCTGCGCCGCCACATCGTCTTTGATAGACTTAGAACCAATCTTGATGGAACTCATCTCTCAGAATATCTCTTTTACCTTGCCACTGGATCAGGCCCAGCACACCACGAAGAACGTAACGGATTCGAAGAGATATCCGCAGAGCACTCGAGCTTTCTGTGCAAGATTTTCCGCCACGACGCCGCCTGATGTGATCCAGCACGCGATAGGAGAGGGCACAGAGGCTCGAGTGGAGAAGGGTACCGCCACTGCTTCCAACATCTCCGCAGCTGCGAGCCACTGGAAGGCAAAACTGCTCGGATTGAGCAGCTATCTCGGATACCAGACTACAGCTCGAAGCTGAAATCACAGCGAGTGGCGACGAAGAATGTGCGCAATGGCAAGCACAGCTTGACTTGAGGATGTCGCTCCCTCATGCAGCACTTGGCACAACGGGCTATAAGGGCAAGGAGGACAAAGATCGGCGGGCTGAACGGGCTCTTGAAGCTGCTGCAGGCGATCACTTCCTGATCCGCAACTGATGTCATGTGCCATGGCCTCCTGAAGCATGCTTAACTCGGGACAATCCCACTCACACTCAGCTTGGACGCTGTCAGATCCTCACTGTCATTCGAAGCTGAGCAGGCAGGTGACTTCTATCATACTCCTCGTATCTCTACTCCAAATCCTGGTGATCTATGCTTCACTTACCGAATCTAAATTGACCCTTATCCAGAAGGTATCGGCATAATGCCTCCCACCCAACCGCTCACTAACTTTCTTGCTAGCTTCATTCCCGCTAATAACATAATCATGCGCCAGCCTCCTCGCCTTCTCCTTCTGACCACTTCTTGGCTCCTCTTTTTCCCAGAAGACTTCCATTTTCTCCCTCCATATTTTCACTGCAATCATCTTGGCTAGCCCCTTTCCTCTCCATTCTTCCTCAACATGCAGCGTCGTCAGACTCCCATCCAGGCCAACGAAAACCCATGCAATCGGCTTCCCAATTTGACTCTCGAAGATTGCAACGTTAGGTAGCACAGCCAGCGTTCGATCCTGCCTTGGAATCTGTGTCCGTGATCTCACAAGAACGAAATGCTGTTGTTCCAACTCTCCCCAATGCAGACCTGCGGGCAGCTCCAAGGATGTAGCAGATTCTGGCAAATCATCGATGTCGAATACAAAGGTCCAATTGGCTACGAGACCCGAATCGAAGACGTGTTTGATCACATGGTTGCGAGTGAGGATCTGTGTCGTTGAAGAATGTGTCGCGCCGAAGAGAATCAGGTTTGGGTTGAGGAGGTGGGCAGTGTAGTCTTTACGCGAAACGCCAGAATGGTCTTGGAGGTCGTCGTTGTCGCTGGAGGAAGTGTGCTTGTCGGCAGAGGCTCTGGCTGCAGCTTTGGCTAGTATGTCCTGATGAATCGACTTTGGAGCCGGTCCAAGAGCCTTGATCGATCGGATGAGCGACAAGATCAAAGCGTCTTGCTGCTGTTGCTGCTGATGTGCACTCGGAACCCCATGTTCGCCAATCCCCCCTCCCTCCCAGCTCCCGTACATCCAGACCTCAGTCTCGGGCCTACAACTCCGATCCACAAAGGCCATAATCCATTCTTCATCTTCAGGCCCAGGCCCAGGCCCGGCTTCAAAGCATGCCAAGCTTGTTAGAAGCGTCGTCGCTTCAAAGAATCTTCCGAATTGAAGTCTCCTGTGTAATGGTATCGAGACAGGCGAATGAGGTTCGAGTATTTTGAGAGCACTCTTCACGTTCGAGTCATCCTTGGCGTTGGTCAAAGCATGCACATGTATGGGATGTGGAGGCGGCGGCGGCATAATGATCTGAGATTGCTCTTCGCCAATCCCATATATACTTAGTAGGCTGATATGTCTTCAATGAGGGAGAAGTCAAGTGTGATGATTGTGATAAAGTGGCAAAGGCGAGGACAAATGTCTTGGCGTCAACCACCCTACATTCCAAAACAGGAAGGAGGGAACAGCATCGGCTCCACTGTCCAACAAAATCTTGAACTTCTCGACCTCAACATCAACATTCTGGAAGTCCATCATCTGATTCTGTCATAACACATGAAGCTTGCATCTATACACAGTAGAATCTTCTTGCTTGTGTTCTCCATCGGCTCGACGACGGGCTAGTATTCCTATTTGAGGCAAAGATCTGCTCACTTAGAAAGCACCTGTGCATAGCCAAAGATTACTAATTTATGCAAGGGCCGAGGCCATTTCTAGCTCAGACATAAATTACGTTCTACCAACACGAGCCTCCGATACGCCGTCGAAAGACTGCCGAGCCACAGGCATTTTCACAAGAGGGATGCGAACGAGCACATGTGGGATAGCGAACTCGCTTGCAAGCTGAGTAACCATTATTAATAAGCAGCTTTCCTGGTGCGCGGCAAGTGTATGATCCTTGTGGCTTGGAGCCATTCCCCGTCCGCTTCTCTGGGCATGCATACATCGTCGTCATCAGGTCGGTGGTTCGTTCATATTCTTGCATAAGGATGGCTGCTTCATAAGCATTCCGCAGTTGTCAATCGTACAGCACAGCATTGAGAGACTGGGTCAGGCTACAAATACCGGCTGGCTCACCCTGCGATTCCCAGAATGCATCGCATCAATCATCATGGCGCTTCCTACAACGTACCGGGCCTTCAGGCGTACTGAAGGTGATCTACCACATACCATCAAGCTCTCAGAGGAGACACTTCCGCAGAACATCGGATCCCACGATGTGCTGATCAAGATCCACGCCGTCTCTCTCAACTACCGCGATGTGGCAATGCTGAATGGGAAATATCCTGTCGAGGTCGAGGATCGCGGCATGCCTGCTTCTGATTGCGCTGCTGAAGTTGTGGCTGTCGGGTCCGAGGTGACCAACTTCAAGAAAGGGGACCACGTCGCGCCAATTTTCAATCTCTCCGTCCTTACTGGCCACGAGGACGATGCCATGCGAGCACTGGGGGGAGATGTTCCGGGCGTGTTGCGGGAATACGCTGTCTTTGATGATAGTGTTCTTGTGCACTTGCCCCCACATCTCTCCTGGGAAGAGGTAGGTCATCCATCCCAGACATTGGGAATGATCGACGGCTAACAGCGTGCCAGGCCTCCACTCTGACCTGCGCTGGGGTAACTGCATGGTCGGCGCTCAATTGGCCGCAATCGTTGGAGAGTACTCGTAGTGTTCTATTGCAGGGTATGTTTGTGCACATGCCCATCACGCCGTCATCCACGGGCTCATTCTCATCGCAGGCACCGGAGGTGTGAGCTTGTTCGCTTTGATTCTTTGTGAAGCCGCTGATATCACATCTATTATCACATCTTCCTCTGATGAGAAGATCGCGAATCTCAAGAAAGCTTGGTCCAAAGTCGAGGGCATCAATTACAAGACGAGTCCGGATCAGGAGAGCGAAGTTGCCCGTCTGACTAACGGTAGAGGCGTTGACGTAGTTGTTAACAACACAGGAGTCGGTTCGTTGATTACCGACCTCAAATCTTTGCGCCAGAGAGGAGGTGTGGTCTCCTTGGTCGGCTTCCTGGCAGGCTTGGACGGACAATGGAACCCCAGTGAGCTCATGTCCATCATGTACAAGACTGCAATCTTGAAGTAAGTCACTTCCTTTGGAGAGGTACGCTGCCGCGTGAGGAACAATTCTGACGTTCGCAGGGGCATTGCCGTTGGATCCAAGATCGACTACGAAAGAATGAACCAGTTCTTATCAGAACGAAAAGTCAGCCTGGAACCGGTGATCGACAAAGTGTTCTCTTTTGAGCAGTCGCCTGAGGCATTCGACTACTTATACTCGGGGAAGCATGTTGGAAAGGTGGTCATCAAATTGTGACCGTGCGTGCATGGGACTTAGGTATAAGGCGAACCATCAGGTGATTACAGCAAGTACATGAAACGCCTATGAATGCACGCACGCGCCCTCGAACTTGATCCTCCTCAGGCCATGCACTCGTTGTGCATAATGATTTCAAGTAAATCAACCCTTCGAAATGTACGTTTCAAAAGACGCTATCATCATAATCTTTGTTCTTCATACAGCCAGACGATCCGATGGTCGGCCGGAATGTAGCATGGTAGCCGCGTTCGATCAACAAAGAAACCCGGTCGCCGGATCCGTCCACTGAGGTATTTTTCTTTCACGCGATCCTGAAAAGCACGACCAACCCATTCTTTGTCCGACAATACGCAGCTGAAGATGGCGATGATATGTTACGCTCATTCAGCAAAACTTGAACAGCTGCGACTAACACCAATCCATCTACTCACGTAGCTTCTCTTTTGGCACAACCATGTCTGAGGTTCCAAGCATTGCTGCGCTGAGCATTGCAACGCCCGTGGAAGGGCAGCCGATCCCTACACCTGAAGAGATTGCCGCTTGTAGAGACTTCATCTATGAAGAGGATCCAGGCAAGAATAGAGGCAGCAAAGTGTTACGATTTGGAAAATATGCGGTCAAATACGGAGGTCGCACCGAGTTCCGTGAAGTCGAGAACATGAAGTTTCTGACCAAATACCCCAAAATCGCCGCTCCAAAATACCGCGCCCATGGTTATCTCCCAGGCGCGAAAGGCGGTGACAGCAAAGGCGAACTCTACATTGTGACCGACTACATCGAAGGCGAAACGGTCGAAGCAGCATTCAACAAACTCTCCCCAGTAGACAAAGAAGGAGTCATCCGGCTGATCCGCGAACAAATCAATGAAATTCGAAAGATCCCCGATGAAGGCTACCTCGGAGGCGTGGGAGGCACGCACTATGTCAATAACAGTCTCACAATCTTCAAAAACCAATTGAAACTTCCACCTGGTGCCGACGCCTCACCCGAACGTCTCGGCCCCTTCGCCACCTACGACGCCTTCGTCGATTCGTGGATGCAGCGTCTCACAGACGAGCCGACACAAGAACCCTTTAAGCCCGTATCAACAATCTGCAACAAAATGGCGCGTGAAATATGGGGGACCAACACCCGCACCGTCTTCACGCACGGCGATCTTGCGCCCAAAAATATCATGCTCACGAGACTGGGTACAAACCCCGACGGCAGCGGCATCTTTCGAGTGACGATCATTGATTGGGACGTTGCAGGATTCTATCCCGAGTGGTGGGAATTTGCTGATGCTCCTCTATGGTGGGGCTCGACACCTGCATGGTGGGTAGAGTCGATCGAAAAAATCATGCCGACGTATTTCAGTGAACGTTGGGTTTATGCCTTTTACTGGCAATATCTCGTATTTTATTAGATATCCTTGAAAGAAAAAACAGAGGGCGTTTCCATTGCGTTGATGTCAGGCAAATAGTCCCGATCGTAGGACTCAGATTCATCTTCTTTTGGTTTTCTACTCTTTTAATGGATCAGATTCATCCGCTGCTCGATCTTCTCTCTTTCCATACTTTGATTCCTCTCCTGTGCGTCCCTTGCCTGCAAAGTAAACGCATTCACCTCTCACCTCTTCACCGACAAATACCCTTCGCAATCGCCCTCTGCATCAATTCTGTCGCCCACAGAATACTTCCATCATCCATTTTCGTCCACTTAGCATCCACTTCCCTACAAATGGTCTCCAATTCGCTCAAGTCCGTCGACCAAATTCTTGAAACGTTAGTCTCGTATTGAAACAACATTTTCGACTACCGTGGATGCAAGGAGGTCACGACTTCAAGCTCCATAATCCTCGTCTCTACGGCCGTAGTATGTCCAAAGTGGACTTCTTTCATGCGGTAGCGGGTGCCTTCGCCTTCCGACTTGTCGATGAAGATGATTGCGTGCTCAGCTCTGGTACCTGAGGTTACGCAAATTGACGCAGTGAATTCTTGTGGCATTTCTTCCGTTGTTTGTGCCATGTTGTCGCTCTGTATGCAAGGTCGTTTGTATTATGGCGGGCTTGAAGAGGCAGAACTGGCTCTTTCACAAATCAGGTGTTAGCTTGTTTGCTGCTCTCTTCCCTGAACGTGGGTGTCGAATGTCGGTGCTGCTCTGCCTTAGAGCTGTTAATTGTAGTGGTCCGGATCTGCCGCATAATCAGGTCGGAGAACGTATAATTATACAAAGAGGTAAAGATAGAACAACTAATCGCTACTACCTATTAGTCCTGGCTAGAATTGCTCAATCTGATGCTTTTGCCTTTCGATGCCCCTCTTCCACCATTCAGCCTTCCTCTTCCTATCTCCGTTCCCCTCACTCATTCACTTAACAACTCCGCCTTCTGCCCCTCTTGTCGACAAAGTCGTTGCTGGATCGCCGGCTTTATCACACTCTCCGCCCATGCATGACTTCCATCATCCATCCTCACCACCTCAACATCCCGTATAGTACGTTGACAAATGTTCCTCAATTCCTTCAGATGCTTGCCTAATATTCCTCCGACGTATGCTTCGGAAACGAAACCTGGCGACCGCTTGGGATTGTAACAAGGTGTGGTTTCGAACTCGACTGTTCCTGCATCTCCATGGACGGGTTTTTTGATGTGATATCGATGTCCTGTCGGGGCCTTCTCGGATTTGCGAATGTAGATGACTGTGTGGTGGTGAATTTGCCCCTTGCTCGTGCATATCGATGCATGGTACACGTGGAACGGATCCTCTTCTCCTATGTTCTCCATTGTTCTTTCTCCTTCTTGATCGCCACAAGCTTTTGTGTTATCGTACTTTGTGGGTGGGACGTCGGTATTGTTGGTGTCTGGTAGCGATCGATTGTAAAGGGGGTATCTGCCTCACAACACTTTCGAAGACTCGGCCTTTTATGTAGAGCGCTGAGTACGCCGTAGCTTTCCTTTACGACGAAGCCGTGTTTGAACATGAACCGAGACATATTCGAAGTTGTGTACAATAGCTCGATTTCAGAGTAGAACCAAACCACAGAGGCCTGGGCTGAGACGACGAATCACTCCTCTGTCTTTGGCTAGTACAATGAACGGAGCGGCTTGTGCCAGACAATGTCCGGACTCGCGAGCCATGAAGAGAAGGTAATGCAAGAAGCAAAGGGCAAGTTCCGTAACAACACAAGGCTGCGGCTGAAGGATCAACATTGACCACCACACTAATTGACAGCCTGAGAAGAAGGAAACAGAGAACACTTGACCCAGGATTGCCCTAAAACAGATCTGAATCAGTTCTTGCCTTCAATCGAAGATCCAACAACAATTCGAAAAGAAGAAGAATACCATGCCCGATCCAATTCTGCTCGAAGTCGTTGCGAGAGCAACGTATGCGTCGATCTCGTGCAACAGCATCTCGCCATATGGGACTTGTTGGGAGCTGAGCCTGCTCCGCGAAGTCAAGCTCCCACCTGGTCTTTGAATTTCACGAAGCTTCTGGACAGCAGTCTGTTGAGGACCATAGGCCAAAACGGTACAGATACACCATGGAAGGGATGGGGTGGGAATATCTCGGAGCAGGCCGTGGTGAAGCTCAGCGAGGACGGAAAGCAATTAACGGTCAAGGGCGCCCGTTTCGACACCATTGAAGCGACAGCCTTGCTGAGAGGAAGAATGTTTGATGCGCCGAAGCCAGCATTGAAGGCGCAGCTCATGGCAGCCATCGAGGCAGTACCCTCACGCAAGCCGTACTCTGCGTTCGGCACTTCCAGCGAATGTCCACCTATGCCAGAAGACTTGGGCAGCTCGCAGTGGCGACAAGATTTGGAAGATTTCAGACAGAGCAAGCGGGCCTTCGATCCTTACAAAAGGTGGGCAGCGCGAAGCACGCTGTCAAAAGTTCACCACATCCAAGATACGCTGAGCGAGGCGTTCCAGCTATGGTGGCGAGCTGCCGGCATTCCAACTGAGGTCACTGAGAGGGTGGAATATGGGATGCAATTTGACATTGGAAAGTACGCCATGTATGCTACTGCCGTGATTGGAGATGTAGACATCTGCACGACCGCGTCTGGATTCGTTGCCCTTGGGCCGGCGAGATCGCTTGAGGAAGGCGACGTGATTGCGTTGCTGGCCGGGGCCAAATTTCCGGTGGCGCTGAGCCCGAATGGCAGCGGAGGCCACCACTTCCGTGGACTGCTTTACGCCCACGTGATTATGTACGACGAGCTCAGAGCTTGTGGTCTGAGTGAGAGCTTGAAGGAAGAGAGCTTTGTTTTGGCTTGAATCGACTCCGGTCGCATGTGGGCCGCTGAATCATTGTGTTGCCACCCATGACAAGCCTGCAAGAAAGCGGTTAGCATAAGCAGCATTTGCATCTCCAACCTGCCGAATGTCATAGAAAATGTGTCTCGTTTTCACACCTTCCCATCAGACATAGATCTTGACACACCAAAAATGTAATTGTGCAAAGAGGTAAAGATAGAACAGCTAATCGCTACTACCCATTTAGTCCTGGCTAGAGAGAATCATCTTTCTATGACGCCGTACTCCCAGAGCCACAAACTGTAATGGCTATGCTCTCCATCAGAAGTCTCGCAGATGAATGCTCGTTTCACTGAAGCAAAGCAAAAATCTCTATGCAATTGGTGTGCTAGAGCGTGCCGAGTCCATCAGCCACAACTTCCGAGTCTACAGCTCGGAGGCGCAGCGTCATCGACTACGATCTATCGTGTCCGGCGCTCCGTGTGCATCATGAAAACTTCGTCTCTATCCTGCTCGGCTCGTCATCCACTTCATGGGTATCGTGTCCATATTTCCGTTTACTGCGACGCGCATTGCACTCTTTCACCACCGGCGTGCATCTCATCGTCGTCTTCGTCTGTGACGCCTCTTGCAACACGCTCGCCTTCTCGCGTGGGGTCGACCTTCTCGAGTGGGTAGTCCTCGGTCATGGCATCTGGAGGTGGGATGTTTTGCGGTAGGCGTGGCGGAAGAACACTTTCGAGAGCTTTGATCTGCTCTGGTGCAAGCGGGGTTGGGTAGCCGTCGGCATCCGGCGGCCCAGAAAGTCGCTCTGGGAATTTGACATCGAACTGGACGTACATGTTGCCGTAGTCGTGGTGCCTGTATGATGGCATGCCTTGGCCTCGGATGACCTTGACCTCGCCTGTGAGATGTGTTAGCTGGGGCGCGGCTGAAAATCATGTACTGCCACTGCATACCTGGTGAGATGACCTCGCCGGGGAGAATCTCCACGGTCAACCATCTGTCATCGAGGTGCTCAATGTAAATGGCACCACCCGCGAGGGCAGTCAAAAGATCGATCTCAGCGTGGTAGAAGAGATCGTCACCCTTGCGCTGGAATCGTGCATGTGGCTTCTGCTCGATCTCGAACTGGACGTCACCGGGCTGTACGCCTGGCATCTGGTCACCCTCGCCACGGAAGTCAATCTTGGTGCCGCTCTGCACACCGCGGTCGACGTGCACGTGGAGGACCTTTCGCTCGATGACAGTTTTCTTGCCGTTGCATTGCTTGCACTTATCCTTCTCCCGGATCTGTTCACCCTCACCGTTACAGTCTGGGCAGACAGTCTGGAAGCGCTGAATCATGGGACCCATTTGGCGCATCATTGTCTTCATGCCCTGGCCGTTGCAGCCCGCACATGTCTTGACAGCGCCCTCCTTACCACCTCGTCCATCGCACTTGGCGCAGATGACGGACTTTTGCAGTGCGAGCTTCGAGACCTTTCCGCGGTAAATGTCCTCGAGTGAAACTTTGTGTACGTGGTGGATGGTGCGTGCCTTCTTTGGCCCTTGATCTCTCATGCCACCGCCGAACATGCCACCGAAACCACCACCACCACCGCCGAAGAACTGGGCGAACAGGTCCTCAGCAGCCATGCCTCCTGCACCACCGCCGCCCTGCTCGAGACCTTCCTCGCCATACTGGTCATAGATTTGGCGCTTCTGGGGATCTGAAAGGACCTCGTATGCGTGTGAGATTTCCTTGAATTTTTCTGCGGCTCCCGGATCGTGGGCGTTCTTGTCTGGGTGGTGCTTCAGAGCGCCTTTCCGGTAGGCGGTCTTGAGCTTCGATTCGTCGGCATCGGGTGAGACGCCGAGGACGTCGTAGAATTTGGTGTCTCTCACCATGGTGAAGAGGGGCGCGGGTGTCGGTGGTTGAGGCTGGGGTTGTCGGCAATCAGGCTGCTATCGGGTTGGAAGATGGCTGGTGGATGTTTGTTCAGCTGTGCGGAGAAGTTTGACACACTCGTGGAAACGGCAGCTGCTGGGGGACTTCTGTCAGTACATGCTCCTGGCGGAAAAATTGCGGAGGCTGTGGTGGTGTGTGCGAGTGGTTCGGTGATCGAGAAGAGAAGAGGGCGACAGGAAGGCGGGCGAGGCAGGCGGCGCTGGCGGGCGATCACTCACCAAACTTTCGTTGGTCTCGTCGTTGCGCAATCGGTGCACGGTGCGTCGGATTCGACAGACAGTTGAGGTATGCTCACACAGAGGTGAAGATGCTGGGAATTAGCGGACAGCAAACAGTGAAAGACATCAACTTCGTCCGTTCAGCGCTGCACCTCAAAATAATGCGCCGGCTGACAGGCATTTGGACGGGCCCATCCGGCTTCTGCATAGTTCTCTCCTCTTCCACGCCCATTCCTTCCTGGGCATCGCATGAACGAACCTTTCCACGAGGCCGACGTGGTGACCAGAGGCGTGTCAGAGCATCGCCGACCTGCTGCCCAACTTTTCCGGCCGAAATACATGGTGGAATGGCCGCTATGTCGACTGTGATGGAAGGCTTGGCGACGTTGGATCGCCCGCTCGGAAGGCCGATCCGACGTGCATGACGAAGCCTAAATTTCTCTTCTGTCAGCACCTCCAGCGGCGGAAGGGAGTCCGGCTTCTCTTTTCTCCCGACCGACCAGCAACGAGCTCACTCCTCCCACCGCCAGCATGCGTCATCCATTTCAGTGCATCGTGCATGGTCGAGACCCCACCGACCTCACCAGCAATGGCTTCTTGGTCGCTGCCTGTGGGCCGAAGCTGATCTCGCTGAGCCTGACCTCCAACGAGATCATTTCCGAATGGCCTCAGACGCAACAGGTAGGTGTAGCAGTGGTCAATCGACTTCTCTTCGCTTCGTAGTCTCAGCCCGTCTCCGTCAGGGTGTCAAGTCCGACTGATAGCCAACAGGAAGAAGACGCCCCTGCCGAGGTCATCAACGAAGTCGAGAATGGCGAGCGTCCGACCAAGAGACAAAAGACGAGCAGCGATACTCCGAAATTGCCAACCAAGGCTCCCAATGTGATCAAGCTCACTGTCACTCCAAATCAACGCTATGTGGTAGCAGTGACAGACGACAAGTTTGTACGCGTGTTTGAAGCTCCCGAAGGACGCCTCACCGAGATCAGCTCCAGGCCAATGCCCAAGCGACCATGTGCTATCCAGGTCCCTCCAGACAACGAAACGATCCTCGTGGCAGACAAGTTCGGCGATGTCTATTCCATGCCTCTGATAGCGGCGACGGTAGACGACGTACAGACCGAGGAGCGAGCACTCAATCCTCCCACCGAGACCCCTTTCAAGATTTCTGCAAGCGAATCAACTGTACATTCTCAACGGAATCGCAAGGCGTTGGCCGCCCAGATGAATCAGAAAAATTTCACGCCACGAAAGGAAGTGCTCAAGTTCGAACATAAGCTCGAGCTGGGCCACGTCTCGATGCTGACAGATATGAAATATCTTACACGGGAAATCGATGGCCGACAAAGAGGCTACATCCTGACTGCCGACAGAGACGAGCATATCCGCATCTCGAGAGGGCCACCCCAGGCGCATATCATCGAAGGCTTCTGTCTAGGACACAAGGAATTTGTGAGCAAGATCTGCCAAGTGGGAACTAGTGATCTTCTTGTTAGTGGCGGCGGTGACGATTGGCTAGGTGTCTGGAACTGGGAGTCGTTCAAGCTGCTGAAGAAGGTCGACCTGAAAGCTCTTGTCAAGGGTGTCACTGGAGATGCTGAGGCGAAATGCGCTGTCTCGGGCATCTGGAGCTTTGACGTGCAGACAGGGCAAGGGACCGACTGGGTTATTGCCGTGGCGTGCGAGAGAGTCCCAGCCCTCTTCCTGATCTCACGTCCAGCATTGGAATCGACACCTCAGGAAGCCTTGGAGGACAGCGAAGTGGCTTCCACCACCTTGTCTCTACCGGCGATACCACTCGACGTAACAGCGCTTGGCGACCATCTACTCGTATCTCTCGACGCTCGTGCTGACGGGTCCAAGCGTTTGGGCACCGTCCTCTGCAGCGTGCACGATTCTCCCGAACTGCCAGTGCGTTGCGGCTCGTGGAAGCCGATCGCGGAGACCTTCAACCTGGACTTGCTCAACGAGCACCCATCACTCACGACAGACGCCAGCGAGAAAGAATTGGACGACTTTTTGTATACTGTAGCGAACTTGCGAAAACGAAGAGATCAGGAAGCACAGGACGAGCCAGAGCAGGACTGACAAAATTGGCTTATTATTGGATATCAATATCAAAAACTCCGCCCAACGCCTTGCGCTTGCCCGGGTATCTCAAAAACAATCAAGAACCGCTCCAAGACTGAACACAACAAACTCTTACTGCAGCCTGTCGTGCAGCATTCACCTCCCGTTCAGCAGCCATGGAATGAACCTCTCGACATCCTTGGCCTTCACCTCTCCCTTCTCCACACTCCTCCCCTTACGGTCTCGACTGCGATACTTGCAGCTCCCGAATGCACACTCCCAGATCCCATAGCCGGGAAACAAGTCTCCAGGCTCCTGTCGACCCTGCTTACTCGGCAACCCGCAATCGCATTTTGGGTTCTCGCCGTGCACTTGCCAGGCGTGCCATTCGCGATCGAGAGTATTGGCTCGGCCGCGACGACAGCGACTGTTGGTGCATGGGTGGTAGGTGCGACCTGCGTATGAGGGTTCGACCTTTGGGTCCGAGACCATGGAGACGCGTCGCGAGCGTTGTCCGCCGCACGAGGTGCAGGGGTGTTCAGCGTCGGTGGCGAGAATGGGCGAGGGAGAGCTGGTGGGTGAGGAGAGGCCGCTGTTGGTCTCTTCTTGTTGAGACGAGAGCATCTCTGGGACGATGTCTATGAGGCCAGTCAGTTCAATGCGCAGAAACGTGGACGAGGTCAACAACATACCCAAATAGCTGTTTATCGCCGTCGACTCGAGACATGATGCGATAGTTTCCATCTCGATTCTTTTTTTTGATCACTCTTTCCCTTTCTTGGCGTTTTCCTCGGACTCGTTCCTTCCAACCAAGCAACCCAAACGAATGACAGCGTCGCAATGCTTTTGACTTTCCCTCACGCGTGCACCTCAGATATGTATCCCTCCAAACGAATGTCCTTATCGCAACGTTCTTTCCCAACCCCTTCCAACGTCCTCTTCAACCGCCGCCCGTGGTATCGTAAATCGCAAGAAACGTGATCTGCGAAACGTTTCGCTGGAAACCCGTCCACTTTTAAACTAACCGGGCGACCCAAGCGTCTCACCCTCCAAGAACAGCAGGCGTGGAAAAAAATTCTCAGAATGAAACGAGACGTCCAAGCGCATGCGAAGCGAAGGGTAAGCCAACCTCGTTTTCCTTGGATTGGGCTTGAATTCCGAATCAAAGTTGGGTTGGTTGGGTATCAATGAACGAACAGTAAACAAAAGCGAACAGCCAGGAAATCAGTTCACAGATCACCATGAGAGCCGCAAAGACTCTATGTCTAGCTAACGACACACTTGCATACCCAAGTAACTCCACTGTCGCACATCTCCCTTATCTGTGCTGCCGTGAAACCGCGAAACCAGTGCTGTTGCTTAGACTATGTCTGGGTGTGCAAGGTGCTCCTAGACGGAGATCTCGCGTCTTTGCCAAGCGGAGCTGTCCGGGTTGCGCGACAGGAGATGCCCGAACTCCTACCACATTATGGTCTTGTCGGAAGATGTTGAGATGAAAGGTGTCATTGGCTTATCGGGACTTCATGCTTGCGAAAGAAAAAAATCTGCGACGCACGACGCGACGTGGAGAATGCATTGGGGCTTTCGAAGAAACAGCGAACATGCGGAGGGGTAGGGTTGGGGCTTGTTCTCGGAAATCAAAATGGTGATGGTTGCGAAAGGAGAAAGACGGCGAGACATCGGAGATCCTAAGTCAACATCCGTATCCGTGCTTTCGAGTCTTGCGAGTTCAGCACGTTTTCGCAACTGTCTCATGCGATACGAGCATGTTCACGTTCGTGCGTGCGTGACGTATGGAAGCCGGAAGATGCGAAGCCCTCAGTTTGTGGTCACTGCGTGGATGTGTAGGAAAGCTACGGAACTCGGTGATCATCACCAACAACGATATCGTCATCGTCTTCACTGATACAGTAGTGTGTCAAACTACCGCCAGAGCCGCACTTAAGGCGTGTTGCTTAGCACGTTTCACCGTTTGAGACGTTTCAAGAGACGCGTCGCGCGTGTAGTTAAGTGGTTCGAGGGTTATGGATTTCAAGTGCTGTACCTAGCACATCATGGCGAGAGAATGCCTGTTGGATGATAGTACGTCTTCCTTGGAAGTGTCAAAGCCGTCTGTTGCCGCGACACGATAGTCAGATGTCTATTCATTAGTCTGACTGCGGCCACAATTGCGTCGCAGAAATCTGTCTGCGGCCGAATGTCCTCTGGTGCAGATGTTGCTGGTGCAGCCGAATACACGGGAACCAGGGAATTGGAGAAGACCCTTGCGCTGCGTGAAGAGGGGGTATGCTGGCTTCCTAGAGATATCGTGAGACTATGCTAGACATTGGACAGATGGTGGTGTTTCTTCTGCTTGTTTCACAAGTGGACGTCTCCACATTGTCGCCGAGACTAGTATGGAGTTGCGCTTCATGCTTCCCAGGCTGTCGAGTAATGTCTTGGATGTGAGAGTGTCGAAAGCGGGGGAGCTGCGCGGGTTGCAGTTTGCGGCATGCGCATGATGCCGCCATTGTGGTGCTGCTGATGTGGTGGATGTGTGTTGAGGTGTGGAGGAGTCGTTAATGGGACGCAGTTGAATGCGCCGCGCGTTGTTTACCAGATCTACACGGCATGAGTGCCATCATTGGCGTCGCCTTTAGCCGGGCTCACAACGATGCTACCGAGCTCCACGACAACGACGAGCTGAGAGGCATGGATCGAAAAAGCCAACGAACTGCTCGACGGCAACGCTGCTCCTCGATGCCACCGCATGAAGTGCTGAATCTTACTTGGAGACTGGAGAGGCCAATGAGTGCTTCATCGAGGCCCAATCAGTGTGGCAAATTGTCTGGCGTTACCATCCTGTCGGCGAAGATGAGGCGGTCGATGCATCTTTGGAAGAGCTTCGAGCCTCACTCGACAAACTGAAGGAAGCGCTGGCTGCAGACAAGCCGACTGTGCCCGATCCTGATACGGCTGTGGTGGACCAAGACACTGTGCGCGATGCGGCTGTTGACGAGGAAAAAGCCAGCAACGAACACGTGAACGAAACAGCACTCTTCATGGTGCAGACACCGCCACCAGAATGCAGCTTGCGCATTGAGATCCCAGTATGTCGTCGGCGATGATGCCGTCAGTCATTGCGATTTCTTCCCAGGCGCCCACTCAAGGCTCGGGAGGTGCGGGAGGCTTTTCGTTCTCCGGCCACGGCAGCCACGCTGGAATCCGGTCAGATGGTAGGTCGATGTCGCATGATGCCATCATACCAATTGCAAGAGCGCTCACCATTTCCTTCAGATTTGCCGCCGTCACTTCGAGCCTCAGCAAGCCCAGACGACCGTAGGGAAAAGGTCTGTTGGCGTTCCGACCACACTGCTTGACTCACGTGTGACTGTAGGGCAAGTCACAAGCGTGGGTTTGAGGAGCTGGGAATTGTGTTCGCTGCATCATGCTTACGAGCGATGGATAAGAGAGCCTGCAACAGAACAAGGAAGTCGCAAGCCTGCATCGATCACGGACCGCATCACAGAGTACCTCATTGAGAGTCAGTGGCTGCGGGCACAAGAGCACGGAGAGAGCTTCGTTGCCAAAGTCAAAATCTGGTTCCCAGAATTTGACAAATCGTCTATGGGTCCATCATCAGCAAGAGGACTTCAAATAGCACGATTGAACAGCATGAGAGAGATTGCGCGATCGAGATAAAAATTAGAGTTGACTTAGCCGTCATGGAGGAATACGGAGTTGTTGTTGTCATCATGTCGCTGGGTAAAGGGGGAGGAGGCCAGGACAGCAGAACATACCTGTTTAGTGAAAATCGAGCCTCCCGTGCTCTTTCCAGCGAGGATCGAGAACGCCTTCCGCGCAGAGATGAGGGAGTAGCTGCTCGGTCAGTAATTGGGACTGGGCATATTCGAGTTCACGGTTGGTGGATCAAGTGAGATGGAATGGAAGGACGAAATATGGAAACTGTGTTCACGAATCAGCACAAGTCCCTTCCTTTAATCAGGCAATAAGAACATTGGATCATTCGGTGTGTGTCAGGATTGTTTGTTTTAAAGTTGTGTTGCGTGTAAGTTGTCGCCATGGGGTATTGGAGTTAAAAAGGTTCATCATGTAAATCGACTGAAAAAAAAATGGCATGAACTTACCAATTGAGACATCTGGGCAACCGTACGAGGTCAGTGCAAGACAGTGTACAGTGGTGAGACGGTATTTAAGCCGAGTGTAGCCTTGTTCATTCATCGTTGACTCTTCCAAGTCTACAAAAGCACATCTCTTTCCGGACAGCAATCTCTGACTACACTTAGTCGAAGAGACCGAAGCCCATGTCGTCGTCCTCAGACTCCTCCTTCTCCTCCTCCTTAGCAGCGGCAGCTGGAGCATCACCACCAGCGGCTGGGGCGGAAGAAGCAGCTGGGGCAGCGGCGGCGTAGGCGTCTGGGTTGGCGATGCGGTCCTTGAGCTCGTGGATGGCGTCCCACTCGTAGTCGATCTCGATGGCGACCGAGATGGTCTTCTTGTAGGCGTTGACCAAGCTGTGCATGACAGATGGGAGGGTTGGGTAGTTGAGGGCGAGCGAGATGGAGCTGACAGCGGAGATGGCGGAGCTGAAAGCCTTGAGGAGCTGGCTCTCCTCAATGTCGAGCACGGAGGAAGCGAAAGTCTGACCCTGGTCGTAGATCTGAGCAATGCTCATACCGTAGGTGAAGGGAGAGATGTTCAGCATGTTCAGAAGGGTAGCTTCGGAAGCTCCGACCCTGCTGCCAGCCTCGGCGACCTTGACGTCGGCAGTAATTTCAATGGTACCACGAGCGATCTTGGTTGGGACACCGAGAGCCTGGAAGAAAGAGGTCTTTCCTGGTTCCATACCAGTGTTTCCGGCTGGAACGTACACATCGGCGGGAGCGACGGCACCAGCACGGGCAGGAGCGGCGACACGGTTGGCGAGAATCTTGTCGCGGGTGGCCTTGAGGTCACCGTTGGTGAAGATGAAACCGACGTTGCCCTTGACGTGTGGGAGGAGACGCTCGTACTCAGGGAAGTCACCCATGAAGGTCTTGAGCGCACGGCGGACCTGTCCAGCTCATCAGTATCCCATTCCTTCTTTCACGTATATTTGTATGCACCGACCATGGTGTTCTTGCCCATCAGCACGACACCCTCGCCACGGAGAGCCTGACGGATCTCGTGCATCTGCTGCGACGAGACATTGTCGACTTGGACGATGAAGATGGACTTGTACTCCTCGAGCAAGCCCTTGAGCTTGTCGAAGTAGCCAGCCTTGTTTCCAGTCTTGCCCCCCATGTCTTCGGTGAGAAATAGGTTGTTTAAGGACTTGGACTGGTGTTGGTGTGGTATGTGTTGTGCGAGAGCTGTGTCGCGCGCCGCAAAACTTCCCAAAATGTTCGACTGCGGTGCGGAGCTCGGGTGTTTTCTTGGCGTGTGCCTGAGGCTGACATCCAGCTTCCACAACCATCGACGACACCTGCGACGCGTCCAGCTCCTTCATCTCTCGCACCACTTCAGCATCAGAGCTCACTCTACATTCACAGCAAACATGTATTCTGATCATACACTACGACTTGAGTGCATGCTTTCGTACATCCGGGGCCCACAAAACTTGAACACAGCGATTGCAAGCAGCGACATGATCATGCAACGCACTCGCAGGGCGATGTAACCACGCATTGGTAGTGAACTTGATGAGGAGAGAGCGGATATATTCACAAGCACTATGACAAGCTCGACTCGGCACGTTAGAGAGGAGAGACGCCTTGCTTCACGGACTACCATGTCTCGTAACAAGGGATGACAAAGTAGCACAATTTCCTCCCTTCCTTCAGGCCATGCCCATCGCTCCACCCTTCTGCTGTACGCCCTCACCACCCATCTTCTTCGCAATCTCCTCAAAGCACCTCCGGTACGCCACCCTAATCTCCGGAACATCAAGCTCCTTTCTGCCCTCATTTTCTCTGTACTCTCTCACCTTCTCCACCAACTTGCTCGCGTCCAGTGCACAATTACTCCTTTCTGCCACAATCACTTCTCCTTGTTCTTCCAACGAGAAGTTCTGCCACGTGATACTGGAGTCGACGATCTCTTTGTAGAGCTCTAGAACTTCGTTGTGCGAGATCGAGCCAGGATTTGTGAAGTTGTAGACTCCAGTCTCGCGGTGCTCGGACATGGCGATGACGACTGGAAGGAGGTTGGGCAGGATGGAGTGTGAGTTGGGGATATTGACGATGTTCTTGTAGTTCAGAATCTTGGTGACAAAGGAGCGGCGATTCAGGTCTGCAGAGACAGGCATGCGGAGGCGGAGTGTCAAATTGTTGGGGTAGTGAGCGAGGAACGTCTCGATGGGCGCTTTGGTCTTGCTGTAGAAGGAGCCTGTAAAGTTGGGTGGATCGGCCTCGGTGAAGGGTTGGGACGTGACAGTGGAGTTGTCTGGCGTGTACTCGGAGGTGTAGATGCCTGGGCGGAAGAGGTAAGTATCAATACCTGAAGACTATGCAAAGTTGAGTATGCACTTACAACCCGTGGCCAGCACAGTGCAGTGGATGTTCCTCTTCTGACACTCATAGGTCACCATGAAGGCTCCCAATCCATTGCTTTCCATGGTCTCAAGCTTGTGGCTCTCGCACCAATCGACATTCGGAGTGCCAGTCTTGCCCGCACAGTTGATGACATGGGTTGGCCGAATCTCGTCGAGAGTACGACGAACGGCCTCTTGCTCGTGCATGCGGGTGGTCGTCCCATGGACATCTTTGCCTTGCTGTTTGAGCAGCTCAATCAGCATACCACCAATCCAGCCCTGCGCACCCCAGACAAGAAACCGATCTTGCGAAGACATGCTGGCGTTAGTGTTGAAAGGCTGCTGAAGTGTGGTGAGAGTCGAACGAATAGCAGAAAGCATTTGTGGTTTTCGAAAACTGCTTGAAGGAAGCAAACGACGAATGGCGGCCGTGCTAAGATATGTCTCAGGTTAAAAGTACAGATGTCCTGTCTGACTCACGGCAAGCGAGGAGCTCCTGGTGTATCGATCTCAAGCAAGGAGCCAACGTCCCGGTATGCATCCGTGTGCCACTCACTCGCAAGGGCGCTTCTTGGCCAGCTTCATCCTCGCGTCTGCTGCTTCTGCATCACGTAAGAGTACCTGCGTCAACGTGTGAGTCAGCATTTCACAAGCGGCAGAGAACAGGGCACTCACGAGATGATGCCGCCCACAGCCAAAGCAATCCCCAGCAGACTCCCATCAATCAAAGACTTGCCCGAAACCATCCATCCCATAGCAATGACCAAGCAAGTTTTGAAGTGCCCCACAACAGTGCTGCTCACCGGTCCCGCCTCATTGATGATCACAAATTGCGAAAGATTGATCAAACAAGCCAGAAGTCCGCTCTGTTCACAAAGTCAGCTTCATCCTCTCCAAAACCAAAACGGAAGCTGGAACTCACAACTCCAATCAACCCATAAACACCCCCTCCCACATCCCTCCAAACCGTAACATCATCCGCAAAAGGTACAACATACAACATCATCACCACACTAATCGGCGCCTGATTCATCAACAACTGCATACTCGAACACTCCAACTTCCCATGATAAAATTTGATCCAGACCGTATACAACGAACTCGCCACAACACCCGTAATCGCAAAGAAAACACCAAGCGGTCTCGTCGTAGTCTGTATCTGCACCTCTTTCTGTCCCGTCTTCTTCATAGTATCATAATACGAAACAACCGCCACCCCGCAACAAACCGGCACAAGAGTCCAAGCCGCCAACCGCGGTATCCGTTGTTGATACAACACAAAATTCAGTCCCGCGACACAAGGCGTCAAAAGGACGCGAGCGACTTGATAGAATTGTATACTGGAATAGGCGAGCGAAGCGTTTGGTAGAACAACGTTGAAAATCATCGCAGCGGCGAGTGGGAGTAAAGTGTAAATGTCTAGTTTCTTCGCTGGGAAGAGGTTGATCGTCGGCCGGGAGACGAGGTAGAGGAGGAGGAACGTTATGAAGAAGTGGAAGGCTGCGAAGGTGACTTGGGCGTGGCGGAGGGAGGCGGTTTGGAAGATGCGTTTGTTGATGAAGACCTGAGATTTGTGTTAGAAGGGCGATTGGCATTGTTGTGGATTTTTGGAGATGGAAAAGCTCACGATGGCTGCGGTGGACACGGTATTGACGGCCGCACTGATCCAGAAGCGATTGCTAAGTCCTTTTGGCGCAGTCGTGGGAGGATGTCGCGTCGAGTGGTCTTCATCATCTTGTGGTGATTCTGCGAAATGGCCTTCCTCTTCTTGCTTGAGAAAAGCTTGCGCCTCTTCATTCTCGTCAATTGACTCTCTCAACTTCTTTTCCTGCTCCATCTTGAATAACGTAACGAATTATGCTCAATGAAACAGTTGATCGATGTTCTCGAAGGCAGTACTTCCAGCCAGACGCGCATAACTCACGCGTCGAAGAGCGAAAAGTTTTCTAGAACATTTGCATTCCAATTCCTCAGCATATCTCCCTTGCACCACCTATCGACAGCTATGCAATGTGTTCTTCCAACACAGGAGACAGCTTTCACAATGCCATCGAGTTCCCGTTACTTCACGTTCACGCATTGCTTTGCCAATTGAGTCGTTTAATCATTGTTCAAAATCTCCAACACAATGGAAGCAGCAGGAGCAGGCTTCCAAAGCGGCGGTATGGCAGAAGCTCGTCGTCCCAATCACACTTACCGTACTGACAACTTCATATCCAGGCAGTCTCGAATCCCGCTTCTTCATCGACGATGGCTGCTGGCGCGACGCCCCCATCCTAACCGGCCAAACCTCCTTCGAACCACTCCCCGACGTCCACAACATCCTCGTAACCGGCGGCGAAGGCTTCATCGCCTCCTACCTCATCCGCCACCTCGTAACAAAATACCCTTCATCATACAACATAATCTCCTTCGACAAACTCGACTACTGCAGTTCCCTCAACAACTCCCGCCTCCTCGATTCCTTCCCCAACTTCCGCTTCTACCACGGCGACATAATGTCCCAAAGCGACGTCCTCAAATGTCTCCAGACCTACAAAATCGATACGATTTTCCATTTGGCCGCACAGTCTCATGTAGACTTATCTTTTGGGAATTCGTTTACTTTCACGCATAACAATGTCATGGGGACGCATGTTTTGTTGGAGAGTGCCAAAGTTACGGAAAGTGTGAGGAGGTTTTATCATATTAGTACTGATGAGGTGAGTTCAGACCACTCCAAAGTATCAAAGAAAAGAAGAATGGGATGGAGATGGAGGAGCGAGGTACTTACATCTTGATGCAGGTCTACGGCGAAGTCCCCAAAGGCGAAGCAGAATTGCACGAAGAAAGCCCTCTTCATCCAACGAACCCTTACTCAGCAAGTAAAGCCTGTGCCGAGATGATGGTGCGAGCTTATGTGAAGAGCTTCGCGTTGCCGGTCGTCATGATAAGGCTGAACAATGTTTACGGTCCACATCAAGTAAGTGCTCCTTCTGGTGCATCATCTTCTTCTTTTGAAACGAAACGATTGGGTTTCGCCCTTTCGTTGTTCCCTCGCAATCCAATCCGACCAGAAGGGATCCGAGTGACAAGGAAATGCTGACAATGAGTCCTTGCCAGTTTCCAGAAAGTGCGTAAGCAAGCCCTCCAAACTCTAAAAGTCGCAAGAATCCTGGTTGAATCTTACCTTGCCGTCCCCTCGTGCTGTGTTTCACATCCAAAGCAAGCAAAGCAAAGACTAACCTTGTACCCTCCCGCCTCTCCCACAGAAATCATCCCCAAATTCATCAATCTCCTCCAACGAAACAAACCCCTCTTCATCCACGGCAAAGGAGACAATTCGCGACGGTACCTCTACGCAGGAGACGCAGCCGATGCCTTCGACACAATCCTGCACAAAGGAACAATGGGTGAGATCTACAACGTCGATTCCAAAGACGAAATCGAAAACCTCGAACTCGCAAAGAAATTGTGCAAAGCTTTCGGAATAGAAGATTTCGAGAAACATATCCAATACACTCGAGATCGACCGTTCAATGATTGTCGGTATGCAGTGAATGGGGATAAATTGGCGAAATTGGGTTGGAAGCAGAGAGTTTCGTTTGAAGAAGGGCTTGCGCAATGTGTGGAGTGGTATCAGAAGTTTCCGACGTGGTGGGGGGATATTGATAGAATTTTGACGCCGTTTCCTGAATTGAGGAGTACGACTGCGGACGGTCCTGCTGCTGATGGAGTGTGTGAAGTTGGCACAGGGTCTGCGGGTGCGGTTCGGCAGGCTGGGGCTGGCGCTCAACTCTACGATCCTGCCAGTGCGGGAAAGAAGCTAAAGGAGTGGAATGGGGTTGTTAACAAGGTCTCGGCCTGCAGTAATGGTATGGGTGTCAATGGAGGGGCAGTGTTGAAGAAGCGCAAGGCCGATGTCTTGGATGATGCTGAGTGAATCTGCTGTGGTGTGGCGTTTGCATTGGCATTCTGGACCTGGTACTTCGTTTCGTACAATGCGGTTTTGCCGGTCTCGAATGGGCGTTTGCGAAAGTGCCGTGGCAGAGTGCTGATGGTGGTGGCGGCGGCGGAAGGCTGGAATTCCGAATACTGGTGTGCGTTCGCACGGTATCAATATTCAATATTTGCCAAGACGCGACATGTCGCAATGCTTTTGATGGATGTTGTAGTTGTGTAGCGCAGGAGCTAATAATTCGCATGGCGGAAAGAGAATTCGATGGGTGGCGCGTGACTGCCTGAGGATGTGTGCTGTGCGTTATGGCAGGTACCCATGCCACGAAATCCAGACTTTGTCCCTTCCACATCGTCACTTCCTCCACAGTATCTCATACACTACACTTCAGGGTCCATATCTGGGCGATTGCTTGGACAGACAGGAACACGAGAGGCCCATGTCCATGTCCATGTTCGTTGGTTGCCCTCGACAGCGCACGCCTGCATCGTGACCCATGCCGCATGACGTCGCCCACAGTATCACGAAAATGAGAAATGTCGTCAAGCAGCAGCAGCAGCAGAAGAGCCTCTCTGTAGCACGCACCACGCAGCAGCCATGTCGGTGCGTGCCCTTCTTCACGTGGGAAGTGGGCAGTTTGGTGGCACGCGTCTCGCCATCATGACGGCGGCGGTCATGTCCGTGTGCTGCGGTGCATGGGTGTTTACTTGGTGCGTAGAGCGTAGTGCATGCACGATGGAGAGTGAGAATATCGCTCAGCGCCGAACGAACGAACGAACGGACGGTGATCGCAGTAGTCAAGCAGCACACCAAAGCCTTTCACACCGCCGTACGCATCCACCCGACTCATGCTTGACCTCGAACAAGAAGCGCAGCGCGCAGCAGCAGCTTTCGCACTCGCATCAGCAGAGCTGGAACATCTCCATTAGGAAAAGTGATGTTACATCGCCTTTCTTCTCCACTTCCTCCCTCTCCGCTCCCATCATTGGACACCTCAGCCTCGCTTCCTCTGCAGGGCAAAAAGGAGATCTGCAACGCCTCTTACGCTTATGTGCGTAGCTCTGCCTCTATCCCATCGGAAGGCTTCTCAGGCTTCTCAGTGGCTTGCCCATCACCACCGGCAGAGGCGTCACCTAGCGCGAAAAGCATACTCTCCTCCCACATCCTGCGACGCCGGCGCGCTTACTGTGCTGTAATAGCCTCGGCGGGAACGAATTTCGAGAGAAGCGTAGGCGTGATCACAGCTTGCTTGGACGAAAAGGGAAAACGACAGACGATCCGTTTGTTGAGCTTCCCAGGATATGTGAGCACGAACAGGAAAAGAAATGAGATGAACATGTGCAAGTGCAAGTGTGAACAATGCGTGTTGTTGGTACAGCCCCTTCTACTCTGCCGAATAGTGTAATGTACATGGCGAGTTTTTCCGCGCGCTGATAGCGACTGTTCTGAAGACCGCAGCTTTGGACCGTTTTTGCCCCCTTCTCTCTCTTCGTCTCTGGGTAAATTCCCTGTAGTTCAAGTCATCATATGTGCACACAATGGCACAATTCCCTCTATCCCACGGTCGGCCACTTTCTGTCGTCGCCAAGGTCTACTCATACAGGTAGCCTTTCCCAAAACAATATGTCCATCGTGCATGCCATTCTTCCCTGGCAGCATTACAAAAAACAAGTTGAACTCGCACGCCCAAACGCCTTGCCAAAATTCGAGGGTTAAAATATGTTCCTCGTCAGATCGCGCGCGCCGAAGCTTGGGGTATCAAGGTTTGAAAAAGCGAGTGAATCGTCGAAAATTAAAAATCCAGTATCAATGTGTGCGCCTGTGTCCGTTTCGTCGCCATCTGTCGCGGTTCTGTACAGCTGTTCGTTTGTCGTCTATTCTTCGTCTTCGTCTGGCGAATTGTGTTCTTGGCCCTCACCCTTGTGGACCTTGCGATGTCTCCTCAAGTTGGAGACGACGGAGAAGTGACGTCCACATCCTTCGACGTCGCATGCAAACGCTGAGAGGAGTTAGTCAAGAGTGCATGAAAAAGGCACCTGGATCTGCTTACGCTTCTCGCCTGTGTGGCTGTACATATGTGTTTGAAGAGAGCTTGGTCGTGTGAATCGCTTGTCGCAAATCTTGCACTTGTGCTTCTTCTGCGAGCTGGAAGACACCTTGGAGCTGAATTGACCCATCATGGATTGCGGCGCAGGTGGCATGCCTGACAGCCCTTGTGGTCGGGGAAGAGTTCGCGAGTGCGAGAGATCGACGGATTCGCTAGCGGAGCTGTAATCGCCAACGGATGCTTCGCTCACAGAGCTGTTGTAGTAGGTTGGATACGTGCTGGCGGAAGAGATCGAAGAGTGCGATGAGTGCCCAGATGGGAACCCATACGAGTCTGTCGACGAGCGGCTGTTGCTGGTAGATCCGTAGATATTTCGTGGAGTGATATCTGACTGGCTCATGGCAACCATGCCGCGGCTTGCGTCAAGGGCATCACTGAAGCTTTGTCGCTCTGCTTCGGAAGCGTGGTTCAGTCTGGTGTTGAAGTCAATTAACGAACTTTGGCGATATCTCTGGGCCTCGATCGGCTCTCCGAGAAAGATGCTGGAAGCTACTGACGGGTGCGACGAGCGCCTGTCGTATCCATACGCGGTTGCGTACTGGGGCGCTGATGTAGGCGCATATGTGGATTGCGGGTTGGGAGCAGACGTGTACGGTGCACCATACGGCCTGGGAGCGCTCATATCTTCGGCGACTGGTAAGCTTGTCTCCTGGAAGAGCTCCGGGTCCAACTGGGGGTGAATACCTTGTGCAATGGGGCCAGCAGTGAGGCCTCCGGCGTAGGCAGCTGAAACCGAGGGTGTCTGGTCATATCGCGAGTCTCCGCCGACAGTAGTCTGAGGCATCGACGTCGCGTACAGGTGACTCTGATTGGAAGCCGGCGCAGACACCCAGGGATTCGTGAACTGCGGCGCCGCCTGAGGAGGATACCTCATGTTGTCGTAACCCATGCTGCTGAATGGGTGTTGCTGGCGAGAATCAACGGCCATAGCCATGCTGATGATGTGCAGTGGTGATGGCGTAGTGATACAAGAGGAGTGAAGTTGTCGACGTTGAAACACCGGTATTAGCGTGTGCAGCGATCAACTTGTGTAAGACGAGCTTCAGAAACGTGGAGAGGCGATCGGTCACGGAGGATGTGCGGGATCAGCGTGCTTAAGTGCTGCGTTCCTCGAGGCTGGGAGTGGCCGAAAGTGTGTGGTCGAGTAGCCGAATGCTCAAGGTAAATAAGAGCGCCGATCGGTGAGGACCGAGTGGTACTTGGGGAGGCACGTCCAAAAGGCAGTCCGTCAATGGGAAGCGGTGGGACCCCTATGCAACTAGAGCGCCGGTCCTTGGCCCGTTGTCGTTGACGGGAGGTGTTTCAGAAGGGTCGAGTTGTGGCAGAGTGCAGCAGGGCAATGCAGGCGCGCTTTCGGCCAGGCGCGATGATGAGGGTCGAGGACTGCGTCGGGCAATGATGGGCGCGCAGTGTCGTGTTGATCTTTGCCAGGGAGGCGTGGTTTCTTGCAGCCCGAAGTAGCGTAAGGTGTGAGCTTGTATGGCAGTGATGTTTAGTGGAGCTGAGGGATGCTGATCATGGACGAAGAGGGCGATGCGAGGTGTCGCAGTGGTTATGTAGCGACGTTGGCCAGCGTAGCGGCTCCCTTTCACACGGATGATATCAGTGGAGGAGCAAGCCACCCGGCGCAAAGGTCCCCTGCCTCGAGCAGTGACCCTGCTGCGACGCACGCAACAAGATTGTGGTGAGTAGTGTGGGTGGGGGAAGTGCTGAAGCCCGTCGGCATCTCTGGGCACATCGACGCCATCCCTGTCTAGCGGCTGAGCTTAGCGCAGAGGGTCTTCGTCATGAGTGCAGGGATGCGATGCGCATCTCCGCCCGTGCTGTGTTCTCCCTGGTCGATGCTGGTCTATGCTGGCCCGCCTGTGCGCTACGATTCAGGACACGAACCACTCCAGATGCGTTGTACGAGGCCGTAGATGATGACCTCCTGCTCGTGATGATGATACTGGACGAGGGAGGCGCGATGCGAGCATAGCCAGCACCAGCACCACTGCATTCCCCTCCACGCCATCTCATCGCTTGACCCGAACTACGCCAGCTAGCGTGTGCAAGAGGCGCCAATAGCGACGGCTTGCTCACACCCGAGCCACCAGATCTCCTCCTCCTGCTGCTGTTGCTGCTGCTGTACGCAATAATTAAGCAGCGCCGCCGGGAATATTCCTGCTGGCTTGAATGGCGCCCCCTCATCACTATCGTGCTGCTTGCTGTCTGGTATGCTCACACCGTCACGCACGACGACGTCTTCCAAGCTCGGCCCCCATCAGACTCTCTGTATTCTTTCTCCCACCGGGTGATGTCTTGCATGTTCATTTCGCGCGCTGCAAATGATAGCGCACAACGGTGTCGACCACAGCCGAACGAGCGACACCACTGCCACCGCCCTGCCCTGCCCTGCTGTTTTGCCGCAACGGCTGCAATCTTGTCGCGCCTTGTCGTCGGAGTGGTCGGTTGTGACTCCGCTTGCTCCCCTTCCGCGCACACACACAGCAGCAGCAGTACCGGTGCGCGGTGGAGCCTTTGGGTGCGCTCGGCCCAGGTTGAAAGTCGACGCCGCTAGCGAAATCTCCTCCAATCGCTTCCACGGACCATTTACACTTGCACTCACCAGCACACTTCCTACTCGTGCATGCAGCGTGCGTTCGTGCTTGCTCGCCAATTGCACAGGCACGAGTGACCGCAACAACGAGGCATCCATCCACCATCTCCGCCTGCTGCTCCCTCGCCTCGGTCTTTCTCGTCTTTCGACCTTCCCAAACTGTCGCTCGGCCTAGCGCGCCACCTTCACTATGGCTTCACCAAGCACCTATCGCGGCGCTGCTGGCTTCAGCAAAGTGTGCCAGAGGCATCCGCCACCGACTTAAGCTCGATTCCTTCGGCATTGCCTATCCGATGGCCAAGACCACTCCCCAGAGCGACCACTCTGAGTTGGGTCAGCCACGACGTTATGCTTAGAAGTAGTCTGAACCTTAATCGCACAAAAGAGATTGGCGCTGTGACTGCCTGATGCGACGCTGCATCTCTGGCTCCCAACGCTTACTGTTCCTCTCTCCACCAATTCGTGCGTTGGCGAACTCGCTTGACGGCCACAAATGCGCGTTTGCCAGCCTGTCGACCAGCACCGGCAGCAGGTGCACGGCCAGCAGCGGACTGTACTGCGACGCCACTGGACGCGTCCTCCGCTCCGCTGCGCTGCGCTCCCCACCGCGGCTCTTGCGCTGTTGTTTCGGCTCGCTGCTGACGGTGCCTGCAGATGAAATGATGGGATTCGTGGCCCGTGCATGCACGCCAGCCGAGCGACGGCTCTCACGAAGCTCTCCCGGAAACCTTGTGCGCTTTATCGGGTTTGGCGTTCGACACAATCGCGAATGCTTGACTCGGGTGGCCTGGGGCACTGCCTCAATCCTGACTGCTGGCGAGCGAACGTCGTCATATCGTTGCCCGACGTGGGATGGCTGCCACCTCTTCCAGAACCGATCAACAACACGTGCTCGCGATGTGCACTGCACCATCGAGTGTCAAGCACCCGGATGGCCGCTTCACGCATTGCGCTTCGAGACCACTGAACAGCGGTCCAGCATTTCTCGACACCAGAGGATGGTATAACGGATGGCCTTCCTCGCAGATGTGCTGTACTCGATCGACGATCGTAGCCGTCACCCTCAGTGGTCGACGAATTGTCACCTGCAGCAAACTGTGGGAGGTGGCTTGGTCAAAGTGTCGCCAACAGCACCAAAATATCCGCGCATGGACCTCGAGCAAAACAACTGCCAGAACGGCGCACAAATCCACGACGCCACCATTCTGAAGCAGGCCCTTGTGTGGACGGTTCGCCATCCTGCGGAGATCAGGGGCTCTAAACACATCCACCGCGGCTGTTAGGTTCACTGGCCTCTGATGGTGCGACACGTCACGTGCCCTCAAGCACAAGGCGAAGAACATCATTGCTCTATCAGACTTATGCATGGATCGTTCTCACATCAAGAGCCTCATGGATCAATGCGTTGCCGAAGACATCTTGCGCGGCCTTGTTCGGACCACGTGCTAGCGAAATGAACACTGATCTCATCACTTCCTCCGTCAGAGCAGATGCGGTCATCTGACCGCATTGAGGAGAATGGGCGTAGCAGCATTGAGTAAAATGAAGCGACATGGCTACTCACCATAGTGGCCGAATTCAGCTAACAATAGCATACGACTACACACTTACGGATCCCGTGTAACCATAGGCATTTGTGCGACCCAAGGTAAGGCACAGCTATGGCGTTCGAGAGTCAAACGCTGCACTCCGCAGAATCCTGCTGTCAGAAACGCCTAATCTCCTGGACCGGACGTCAGATACGTACCCGGAACACCTGCTCATAGGCCGATTGTGTCCGTGGCTCGGTATGCGCCGAAAACCACCGATGACTTAGTCTGCGCGATCACCTTCCCGACGCCGATTGTCAATGAGACCTCATCGCTTTGAATTGAGCCAGCTTTGAGCTGCAAACACTACCAGGACTCGACGTTTGAAAACTGCCACTGGCACACCGCAATATCGCAATGCCGGGACCCTACAATTCAGAAGCCGAGATGTTGAAGAGGAGTTGATCAACGGCGGGTAATCCTGTGCAAGACCCTCTCTAGGTTGCTGGAATCTTTTGGGGTCATGATACGTATCTGCACGTTTACCCGCCGGGAACGCCTCCGAACTTCCCTCTCGACATGGAGCACCTGTCCTCTTTGCAAGTCAATTGATGTTCCAAACAGTGTTGGAAGAATTCAAATCACGGTATTGGAGTTGTTTCCGCGAGGTTGGGTTCCCTCGCCACGCGTTTGTGAATTCAAGCTGCAGCACATGACTCCAGACACAGCATGTATCCACTTCCTTTTCCTTTGGTGCTGCGTCCATTCTGGAGCATTCAGAGATGGGCTCAGGCATCAATGTGCGTAACTGACTGGCACCACACACACATTCGGCGTTAGCCGGTAACTACTACTCATGAATCACAGCTCTGTGGCAAACATTGAATTGTCCACACATTCAAAGATGAACAATTCTAGGCTTATGTTCACAACCTCGGTCCACGACTCATGGAACAACAACATCTCATGTGGCAAACCACGACAAGAACATCACCTCCGCAGACACCTTGTCATGCCTCAGCAGCAAATGTTCTGGCCACTGCACAGTGACTACATCCTCATTGGGACCAATACCGGAATACCGGTCCTACACGGCAAGAAACGAACCCGAATGATTTGGAAAACAACCCTACCCGTCACACGAAAGCGTAAAAAAAAAGTCCAAGCTGGACATCACATTCGAATTTCGAACAAGAACATTCATCACATCTGCCACGCGGAAAGTCTTGGCAGGGCTTTCGCGAAAGGCATTGCATCCTGGTCCTCCGCCGACGTGACCCGAAGTCGCGCCTCTGGTTTTCCGTGCGTACGGTATGACACCCATGTACGATCCTCTAAGCGCTCGCTCGAGATTCGGAGAGTAGATGTGATCGGAGAGGCGAGGCGAAGAGTGACTGCTGAGAGTTGAAGGTGAGTGCATTTGTTCGGGTCAAGATTCAAGAAGGCTTCATCGTCTTCCATCGTGATGGTCTGCCCATTCGTGAAGTTAAGTGGACCGTACGCACCACAAACAAGCGAAAGCTTTGAAAGTATCATCACAATTCCGTATAGAGCTCTGAGACGACAACCCGAGTTGGAAGTATGATGTTGTTCGCTGACTTGGACGTTGATTTTCATGCCTCAATCATCACAATCGTTTTCGACTTCTGAGGCAACCCATGCCGCTACCATACCCTATCCCACCAATGCATCGCTCTTTTCCACAAAGACACACTTCCAACCCACCAACTCACTGCTGAAAACTCCCCGAACTAGGCAAATGCGGCGAAACCCTCGTCTGTTGCTCCTCCCTCCTCGGCCTCCTCCTCGCCGTCAAAAAATCATGCTCTTCATCCTCCGTATCCTGCTGCTGACTACTGTTAAACCCACTATCAATTTCCGAACTAATCTCATCATCAACATCAGCTTCAATACTAGCATGCTGATGCAAAGCCTTGGAAACACTCGTCAAAGCCCACGAGCAATCATTCAATAACCGCCCCAATTCATTCTCAAGCAACGAATCGTCCACCAATTCAGACAAAGCGTCCGGATGAGGTGGTTGAAGATTGGGAAAATCGATTTCGGGTCCCGGTGGTTCGTTGCTGGGTTCGCGAGAGCGCGAGGACATGCTGGCGGCGTGTGTGCGTAGTCTGTGGTCGATCATGAGACTGTCGCCAAGGCGTGGGAGGTTCCGATCCTCGTTGGGTGTGGGGATGTATTGCGGGCTGCTTTCTAATGTCTCATAGCTACCGAAGCTGGGCCATTGGTTGTCGTCGCTTTCTACGGGTGTTAGACCGAGTCCTTGCTCGAGTGTACTGAAGCTGAGATGATGCGGATTTGCTGCGGCGGCGGGACTTTCGTACGTGCCTGCTGTGGCCAACGCGGGCTCCAGCGTGGGTTCCAGGTCGGGCTCAGTACTGGATAGACTGGCACCGCGGGCGTGCATCGGCATTGTCTTGTGGCTTAGTCTCTTGATGCCGCCGCCTTCCGAAGAGTATGGCTTGTGGTATGAGAATCGGCTTCGGTCGGCGTCCTTTTGAGCGCCATCTTCCTCCAGATCGAATGGATTCCCAGAAGTGGCATCTGTCATGTGCGAGCTCGCAGTGCCTGGCCGATTGATCTCATTGCCTACACGCACTCGCTCTGCCAAGCCTGCGTCAAGATCGATCAATGATGTGACCGAGTCTCTGTCTGGGCCGAATTCAAAGCCGCTCGAGAGTCCTCTCATATGGCCCAGCGGCTCGGTCGCCGAGTGCATCAGCTGCGGACGAAAGCCTGGCTCCAGTGCGCTGTCGCTACTAGCTGTGACGATGTCCTCGCCATCATCGACAGCTGCCGGTCCTGCATTCGCAAACGACCACGCCATGGTCTCTGGTCTTGCCTTTGTGGTCTGCGCGCGCATGGCTGGATGAATAGGCTCGGCTGTTTCGAACTTCCAGTCCCTCGTATCACGTTGTTTGCGTGGCATAGCGGTCGCAAAGTTCCACTCCATGGTTTTGCGCCGCTCGTCATCGTCGTGCTGACCGTACTGGTATCTGTCTTCTTCATCATCGTCATCATGCCGCAGCTTTCGAGCTGCAGGCCTGATGGTGTCCTCATTGATAGCCGCCATCCGCAGATCCAGAGATGTGGTGCCTGGTGTCACAGCTTCGTCTAGGTCCACCATCACTAGAACACTCTCTCTGCTGTTGGTACTCTGTTCATACGCTCGTAATGGCAGGTCGGATGGAGGCGGCATGGGGGGCATCGGCTCCTCGGGAGGCTTCTCGAGCTGGTAGCCCTCGGGATCATTCGTGTCAAAGACTTTATTGAGCAATCTCTCGCCACGATTTGCCGCTTTCTCAATGTGCTCTTGCTTGATGCGCTCGGCCACTGTGAGGTTCTTAGTCTGCAAAGGCGGTAGACTCGAACCGGTCGGAGTGTCAAAGTTCCAATCATCAAACATGGCTCCAGGCGGCAATTGACTGAGACGTCGTCCTAATTCTTGATCGAAGTTTTCAGAGGTGCTGAAGTTCCAGTCCTCAAGATCATCCTCTTCCTCTTCCTGGCCATCGTCACCGCGACGAGAAGCATGAGAGTCAGACGGAGCCCCCATCCACAAGGAAGCACGGGAGCCTCCACCATGCTCCCAGATCTTGAATCTCTCGATCAGTCTGACTAGATTGCGCGTAGGATAGATCCTGCTGGTATCTCTGATGTACGGATGATTCAGCAATGCCGCTGCGCTCGGACGAGCCTCCTTGTCCGTGTTCAGGCAGAATGCAACGAAGTCACGCAGCTCTGGCGAGTAGTCATCCCCTTCGAGGCGTGGAGGTGCTTTCTTGATCATTTCAGGCAGAAAGTGAAGTGCGGTGGTAGCGTAAGGTGGTGAACCAGTAGCCATCTCATAAATCGTGACGCCGTAAGACCAGACATCGATCTCGGCGCCATAGCCCTCCTCGTTCTCATCTATACTCCCATGTTCCAAACGTCCGACCAACTCATGGGGCATCCAGTGCGGCGTTCCTATCACCGTCCTGCGTTTCTGATTGTCGTGATCGATGACTCCTACGATGCCAAAATCTCCGAGCTGGATATCTCCGGTCTCAGTAATATAGACGTTTGCGCACTTGATATCGCGATGTATGATTTGCAGCTCGTGCATTGACTTGATGCCAATAGCAAGCTCCCGAGCAATGGGGATGATGTAATGTTCGGGCAGACCAATGGGCTTGCCATTCTTCTCAAAGGGCCGCATCAGCGTTCGCACACTGCCACCAGTACAGTAATCGGATACTATCCAGAGTTGTGAGTGCCAGTCGAAAGCATCGTGAATGACATTGACGTTCTTAGCATTGTTGTCCTTCAACTGCCGCAGAGTGCTGACCTCCTTCTTGAATTCGCTAATGGTCTGTGTAGGATCGCCATTCATGGAGTTTGACCAATCGGACTCATCAATACTGATTATCTTCACCGCCACAAGGTTGTTTGTCTGCTTGTCTAAGCATTTGAAGACGCGACCGAATGCTCCTTTTCCGATCAACTCCAGAAACTCATATGGCGGAGGTGTTGTGCCTTGTCGCTCGGCGTGGCGCAAGAGCGTCTGAGTCATGCTCTTTGCTTCTTTAACTCTTCTGTCGCGATCATGTTGCTCCGCGATGCTGCGTCCGACTGGCGCAAGGCGTGAGTCGTCCATTATGCTATCCGCGCGAGGCTTGCGCCCAGACGACACGCGTAATGCGTCGTGCTCAGTGCGCGGGCCAAGATGTGCGACTGTTGGCCGCTCTTCAGATGGTGCGAAGAAGTTGGTGACTCCTGGACGTCGGTGTTAGTGTTAGCAAGTCAAATAAGGTTCAACGCAGCTTCAGTTCGCTGCTTCCTCCTCTCATGCGGCTGCTCCCGCAATAGCTGTCTTTCCTTCCCTTCCCTTCCCAGCCTCTTTCGCGGGACTCGTGAGATCCTGAGCATTGGATAGTAGTACTGCGCCACCAGACACCATGCGTTGCAGCATGCCTCTGCAGACGAAAGCTTGGCAGGAATGTTGACGTGCGGACGTCCTGGAGCACGTCTTTCATCACAGCGGCCTCGACTCGACATCTCACTTGCGAAAGGAAGCTCTAGAATAGCAGCGCGCAATCGCAGTGGAACAGCATGCTGCAACTTGCAAATGTAGGCCCGCAAGTACATTGCAGCTGGTGCACAGTCCGGTCGTGAGTTCTCGAAGCGATACGGGACATGCCATCGAAAGTCGGAAAAAGATTGTACACGTGCAGCTGCTTCCGCTCGCGTGGTTGATGTCGTCCGAATTGGTACATTGTCGCGATGTCTTGGTGTCGATCTTCTCATTGGAGAGCCTCGCAGTTTCGTGGTTTTCTCCGTGTGAAGGCAGGCCGTCGCTGCGCCGCTGGTTGTCCCTTCGTGCCGTGGCTGTAATCATGCCTATGGAGACCGGAAATGGAATAGCCTCTTCTTGAGTCGTTCCGCAATACCATGACGCCTTGTCTTTACTTGTAGCCATGGTCCACAGACTGGCAGAGTGTACCGATTCCTCGAGACCGAATGCGATCCAATCCTCTAGCATGCTACTAGTGCAGCCTGACATAAAACCACGCTGATTGCCGTAGACCCAACCCTTTCCGCAGAGATGCTTGCCACCGCCGCCATCGAACGAAAAGACCAAAAAGGGAGAAAAGCACTTACTCTCAAGCGCGGTTGCTGCGCGAGACCTTCCTGTCGGGCGTGTCAGCTTTGGTGCTGGCGAGTCACTTTCTGCCCGTGATCGACCATCGGCCATGCTGGTCGTCCTGATCGTGGTTGCCGCGGTCGATCGACCAAGGCGAAGAGAGAGGGCGGAACAGCCATGATGCGATATGGCATCGATACGAAAGCTCACCTCAGTCAATTACAGCGTCTCTGAATCGTCCGTGACAGCTATGCACAGCACGACCGTTTGGTATGCAAAGTGAAGCGCAGGTGAAGTTTTGCCGCTATGCACTTTAGCGTCGTGATAGTTCTTGTTTTGATTCGTGAACGGATGCTCAATTCGTGGATGTCATGCTTGTGAAGAGGATCGTATACACTCCAGACGCCGAATAATACATTAAGAACCCCAAATCTCACCACAGCGAAGAGTGTGGCGTATACAGAAAAAAGAGACGGTGTGAGCGATAACATGTCGTCCCGCTGGCACACATGGGGAAGTCGCGACCCTGGACCCTTTGGCGCTAGCGTGATTGCCTTAGGCAGTCATCTCTCGCTCCCACACTTCACCTTGAATCCTTGTCGCTTTGACGTATGTGCTCTCGCGTGAAACCTGAATTATGGGCCAACGTACCACAGAAATGGTCACTGGATCGTAATGATACCCAGACGATAGAAGCAGCAAGAACCACTGCATTGCAATCGTAGGTCAAGAGAACTTCCTCTCTACTGACACCACAATCTTCCGCACAATTTCACAGCACCAAGATGTCCAACCCACGAGCGAAGCCGGCAACAACGCTCAACAACAAGAAATCGCCACCAGTCAAAGCCCCGACTTACAAAAATCCCGCCAACAAAGCGCCACCAGCAGTCAAACCAGCCCCCCGATCCCGCTCCGCCCCCTCGAAACCCACCCCTCGCCCAAACGCCCTCAAACCGACCCCATCTCTGAATCCACCCGCTTCCCAAGCCCAACAGCAACCCCGCGCACAGAACTGGATCAATCGCACTGTACAGTCCTACGTCGCCGGCTATGGCAACTACGTAAGCGGCTACATCAACAGCGTCGGCAACGGAGTCAATTCCATCGGCCAAGGCATCAACAACAGTATTTCCAACACGACGCGAGGATGGGGACAAGGTGTTGCGGGCTACGGGAATGAAATTAAAGATCAGGTGGGAGTTGGAGGGAAGAGGGTCTCTACTGCAGGGAACCCGCTAGGTCTGGCGGGCGTAGGAGCGAACAATAAAGGAGGGGTTGTGAAGAAGAGTGGTGCTGCACCGCAGCAGGTGAACAAGAAGGTATCCGGAGCAAATCCGTTGGGTTTGTGATTGATGAACAGCAAGATTGAAATGTCACGATTATGAGAGGAGCACAGTACACACGGGAAATCGGAAATGGCGGGCGTTTGCGGAACTTGATAAATGTACGACAGTTTGGAATGATGAGCCCATGTCGCCATGTATGCCAGAGTCTTTCATTTCGCTATATCTCAAAGTGCTACGCTGATGCTCAAGTCAAGACGCTGCTGTCATCAAAGCGTCCAGTCATCCCTGAACCCCACGCTATGCAAATATGTCCAGGACCAAAACTCCATCGCTAAAACGCTGCACTTTTTCGTCCTGTCGTCCGTAATTTATCCGCTAATCAATGTAACTCCTGGCGAGGAAAGCGGGGGCACCGCAAAATTCTCTTCCGGTATTGAATCGTCGTCACTTTCATACTCCTCAGCTGCCTGATCTTCCTCTTCATCGCTGGCTTCGTCCTCGTCTTCTTCGTCATTCTTCAGTCCTTGCGGAAGCTCCCATTCGTTGAACTCCCCTTCTATCCATCTCTTACTTTGGGGAAGGTGGTATGGGTCGAATGGAAAGTACGCTTCAAGTTGATGATGCGAATCGCCAGTCTTGCGATCCCAAGCAGTTTCTCTTCGGCCAATTTCGATGCCTCCAGTAAGACTGTAAAGTTGAGGTGCTTGACCCAGTCGAATGCGCTTATTACGCTCAATCAAAGAGAAGACGTACAGGAATCGCAAATGCCATGCGATCTTAGCGAATTCGCTCACGATTGCTGGCGAGCAGACCTTCAGTGGGTTGAGGATTGATGTGATGTTGCGGTTGAAAGTCTCCTTGACACCAGGTATCCACGGCAGATCTCGCTGTTCGGCAATCATATCCTCCTCGGTCATGTCTCCCAGCTTGGTGCGATCAATCAAGTCACGCCAGCGGAAGCAGAAGATGTAAAGCAATGCTTGAGCGATAGCATAATACATGCCATACATCTTTCTGTCCGGACCTTGACTATGCGGTTCGTAGATGTATCGCAGTTCGTCCATAACGTAGCCAAGCTCGCTCACGACTCTCTGAACCAAATGCGTTGGTAAATTCGAAGCACGCGCGGTGAAGCTTGCCACATAAGCACATGCCTGCAAGCGCAGCGGGGCTGCGACATCTCGAGCGGTAGTGCGCCTGATGAACCGGTCGATGAAGTCTTCCGAGTATGCTGACGAGTACTGCGAGAAGTGAAACAAAAGGAACTGCGCGTGTCTCGATCGATGTGGCATGATGAAGTTGTTGAAATGCGACAGTAGCTCCTGGTATGCCTCATTGGTCCGCGGGCTAGAATTGGGCGTGAAGGCCGATTGGTAGTGCTCAAACAGCAGATCCTGAGTGCCATCCATCTTTGCGACTTTCAACCGAAGCTCTTTCAACCTCATCTCCTCGTCGGTTGTGGTCATTTCCGATTCAGACACGGATTCGTCGTCGCTGTCCTCATCATCCTCTTGCTCCCCGCCCGGCAGTCTTGGGTCGCGCTGGAGTAAGCTCTCCTCCGCTTCGTCCTCCAAATCCTCGAGATCTTGCTGGATCTGAACATCTATATCGACCAAGCGCTGTATAATCAAGGACATGATCTCGCTTTTGATCTCCGGTGTCGCCTCGGCCAATCGGAGCATATGTCGTTGGTATTGGAGGTAGCCTTTCGCAGTAGAGAGGTCGTTGGGGAACTGATGTCGTAGCGTGCGCAGTAGTGCACTACTGGCTGGAGGGACGTGCGATATGATAGTCTCGATGACACTATGCAGTCGGTCAAACATTGTCGCTCGGTGAATGATATCGTCTCCTGGCAGTCTGCCCATCGAAGCTGGCAGCCTTTCGAAGTTCGCAACAAGTCTCTCCATCAAGGGAAACGTGAATTTGCCATGTGTAGTAGCGAGCACGCGCAGGAACTCTTCGTAGATGCGCACGAATTCCTCGTCTCGTCCGAGCCACGAGAGGTCAAGCACAGCGAGGACCAGCTTGCTGCATTGCCCGAGGACTGTCACATGCGAGCCAATGGCCAGAACGTACTTCTTGAGGAGATTAGAAGTCGGGGCATCATCCGAGTACGCATCTTCCCCCAGCAGTTCCAGTAGTTTCGCATATTCGGCATCGTCTTGGGCGTCACCAGGTGCGAGGTGGCCATGAATTGCTGCGCGCACTTTCTCCTTGACCCATGCGAAGGTCTTCTCCGTGTCTGCGCCAATGATCCTCACCTCCACATCGTCGCTGAATTCGACTTTGAGCCGTTTCGTTGTTTGTGAGAGGCCAGCCTCGTCGTCTGTGTCCAGGTAAGAAGAGTCGCGTTTCAGACCCATCGTAGGGCGCTTGGCGAGCGGAGTAGGTGGCGGCGGCATAGCGCCGGCGGGAGCCGCAAGAGAGACCATGTTGAAGCGTCTCCGGTGGGCATGGAGGGTAGCGGCGGTGGAGGATCGAGATCGGCCGTCGGCGGTGAAGGTGAAGGCAAAGGCGGAGAGCGGAGACCTAAAGAAAATCGCGGTGTCGTGTGAGGAAGTCTGTGCCATCCTTGCAAGACACAAAGCTTAATTGGATCCTTGGCACGTGCGTCACGCTTTTGCTTCACATCCAACGGCACACACAGACAGATCAATGGAGATTCAAGAATATCGCATCGTGTCTGAACGAACGAATTAACACGGCGGTAACTGTTATTCGCAACTTCTAACTGTCAGTAGCAAACGCCCTCACTCATTCAGCGAACATGCATATAGCTTCCCGAGCGATTCCAATCGGGACATGAAGGTGAGTGAGAATGGAAAGTGCTACCATTCTCTCGCATCGAATAAATAGCAGGTGCACACTTCTCTCACTGATCCCCCAACTTCACCCTCATCGAACAAGACAGCCTCCCTCGGCACTTTTGACGACATGGCCGAATTACCATCAAACGGAAACGACGCGCCCACGAGCACAACACCAAGCCACAGCGACGGTGACACCGACGTTTTCCAATTTCTGGATCTACCACGTGAACTCCGCGATGCTGTCTACGACCTGGTTTGCGCAGACGATATAGCTCTGAAGCCCCAAAGGGAGTTCCAATGGGACATTGACGATTACATGGGAATCAAGGTGGAGAAAGCAGCCCTTACGAGCCTACTCTGTACGTGCCGACAAATTGCAGACGAATACAGTCAACGATCGCCGCACTCAAGCCGACCACGCTGGTGCTTTCGGATACGCCACTGTATCACAGGGAATACCCGTTCTTGTTCAGAATAAAGAATGTTCAGGCTGCTCAGCGCTGCAAGATTGTCATGCTCAATCGCTGCAACAAAGATCGCTGTGTAGGCGAGGAAACCGATTGCGTTGAGAATCATTGCATTCTGCTCTACGAATTGGACCGCATGGTAGACACTGTTGAAGCCCTCGCCAAACAACTGCCGCAGTCGACTCCAATCTCTGTGTGTATAGGGATGTGGCGAGACGCAGTTGCTGCAGTATGGCCAAATTGCACGCATGTCAATCAAGGAATGCAAGAGTGGATGGATGTGCTCACTGGCATCAATCGTGTCTCACGTGTCGAGGTATTCAAGTATACTGCGCCGATATGGAGTGCGATGCGCAGTTCGCCGTGGGGCCCGAGCATCTGGAGTGTGACGGAGGAGACTGATCTGGATGACCTTTGGGCAACCTGGACACGGGAAGATGGCTGGATGAGTATCCCAAGCGAGCGTGATGACACTCACTGAGGGATGCATTATGAGATGGAACGATGCGCGCACTCTTAGATACATCCAGAATTCCTGCAGCACTATCCTTGATGGACGTCAGTCACCGACTGAAACAACTCACGTTGCAAGGTCTGGCTTCTGAACCTGTAATCGAATGCGCCATGCTCTGCGACTCTATGGAATACGAACTTACCATAACCGTGGATGCCTCTGAATGCAACAACCTCTGAGTGCAACAAGCGCCTGGCTAGATTGGCTCTCGATCCATGAAAAGCTTTCCTGATTGGCTTAGCGACCTGCGGTTGCACTCAGAGGTAGTTGCATTCAGAGGTAGCCACGGTTAGCACTTTGGCAGCGCGCTTTGGTCTCCTCGGGGGAAGGTCTTGCTGAATCGGGCTGTGGTCCCGCATGAGGAACGAGCATTGGATGGCATACTGGGGAGAGTCGAAGGCCTGGTGACTCTTGGGTCATGTAGACCACGAACAACAATCCTTAAAGAATAGACGGAACTTAATGGAGGCGGCAAATAAGGTTCAGCCACTAACACAGACCAGAACCCCCTTTGGTCTAGATTGAGAAAAAAGACGAATGCACCTCCCCCTCACATGTGCCACGTCCGAATCGAGCACATGCTTTGCTAGAAAACGCCGACTCAAATTTATGACTGGACGCCACATGATCGTGCCGTTCTATTCGAGCAGCACGGCCAGCTCTTCTGGGATTGATCATTCCTCGGCAAAATGGATGCCCGCCCGAATGATCATCTTGAGCGTATACAGTCCTCGGAGAGGTCGCTGATGAGATGGTCCCAGTTGTCTCTGCTGTAAAGCTCACACTGTACGCTGCTCATTTGGAGCGAGATTCCTCAAATCTGCAGTCTGTACTGATATCTCATTTAACCTTTACAGCGTTTTGATCTATAACTAAAGGCCACATGTCTCAGTAGCTCCAAACTATGCCGGTACATACCACGAGGCGTAGCGCTTCTTCTGGTCTCATTTCCTATGCGCACACTGTCGACTTCCGTCTCCATCCTCGACAGGCTACATTCGCTCACTTCAACTTTTATCGCTTCGAAATCGGACTATCATGGTTCGGTTGACTTCGTCCTTCGTTCTTCTCTTCGGAGCCCTTCAGTGGGTCAGCGGCAGCGCTATCGCTGACCCTCACTACAATAAGCAGAATGTGTGCAAATCGAACCAGTACGCCAAATACCAAGAGCTGTCGTCTTATGGCCCCGCGAAAGCATACTGTAAAAGCAAGTTCCCATCCACAGTCACTGTGACCGCAAAGCCTCGTTACTACAAGAGGACTGCAGAGCCGGAACCATACCGACAGACGCCCGCCAACTACGCATCTCCCAAGCCAACCAAGTGTTATGGCAGCAAGAAGGACTGCCTTCTCTCTTCTGTTAAGGCTGGCCCTAACAGCACTGCCAAGATGGTATGCTCTTGCTTCGTTCCACAGAAAACTGTGACCAGGACCGTTTATCCCACAACAAAGACAACTACGTGAGTCTGGAGCGCACACAACCTTCGATGTGATGTTGTGCTGACTTGTATCTCCGCAGGAAATGCACAACAAAGGCTACTGTGAGTACTGTTTCAAGCCTGGGGCGACGGTCTTACTAATTGGAGTCAGACCACGAAGACAACACGCAGCACCACTGAGTCACGCGAAACTACTACCAGCAGCACTACTACTACATCGATCGGTACTACCACTTCTAGGGATACCACGGTACGAATTTCTTCATTTCATTTGGCGTACGGCGAATACTGACCGGCACCCAGACGAGTACCGTACGGATCGCAGCGCTTATCTGTGGCAAATGGCATTTGGCTAACACAAGGCAGACTACAACGTCCCCATCTTCGAATACGACCACCACTGATACAAGCACCACAACGTCCCCGTCTTCGAGCACGACCACCACCACATCGACTACTTCGACAACGACTTCGACTAGTGAGACTACCTCCACCACTAGCGAGACCTCTACAACTACCGAGACCTCTACAACTACCGAAACTTCTACGACTACGTCCACCACTAGTGAGACTTCCTCCACATCGAGCTCAACTACTACTACAGTAAGTGTTTCGTCACTATCTTGTGCTAGAAAGCTCCGCGCTGTCGAACTTTACCCTGCTCATTGTCGTGCATCCGTGGCCGTCGTCTGATGCCCATTGTATGTATGAACGGGCTAACACTTCTCTGTAGACGGGCGTAGCTCCAACATGCACAAACGGGTCACTGGACCCACCCCCGCGCACTTGTGACTGTTCATATACCATCGAATGCGACACGGCCCTCTCCGATGTCGACCCCTTTCCCTTCATGAGCGCCAGCTACGAAGCATGCGCTTCAGAATGCGACCAATACGTTGATTGCTTCCGCTTCGACTACAACCCAAACAACGCTGAGTCGTGCAACCTCTACGCAACTCCCGCAGGCGGTAACAAAGTGGCCGCTCCTGGTTCAGGAAGAGTCAGTGGCACCAGAGATTCAGCCAGTTGCGTGAACCGTTCTTGCGCGCGTTGAGAGGCAATGGGGACATCGTTTTAGGACAATGTTGCGAGGATGCGACCATTTGCGCAAATGCAAAAGCACTGTTCAAATATTCGTTCGACGACAGATTCATATGCTGGAACAGCTTTCCATGTGCTTAGTACCAGCACATTCCGAGCGAGACTTCAGGTACAATACAACAAGGCCAACTTTTCTCGAGAGAATATACCATTGTCGTTCGATCTCATGTACAATGTAGAGATTGAAATTAGGTAAGAGTCCATCGAGCATAGTACCAGATGGCATGATATTCAATTGAAGACAAAAGAACGTGTCAAGTGCTCGTGATTTACAACACTGCTTGCACAAGCTCTGGGGGTACGTGGATGACCAAAGCGCCAATGTTTAATCATTAACGACCCCCGAAGGCATAGAAAGTCTTGAACGTGATAGCAGGAAATAGCAGAACACATTGGATTCATAATTGACACTTCACATGCTTCTCATTTCCTACGATTCTACACAAATCGGACATTTGTACATCTCCCTTCTTCCCACCACCCTACAGGCACAGTTGTCTATTCGACCTTCAGCTAGACACCTTGTGATTATCATCGGCTAAACAGTGCTCGTTTCAAGATCCAACTGGTCGTCTATGTCGGAATGAGCCTTGTACGCCCGTCACAAAAACAGTTTCAGAAGATTGAAAATGAGCTGCTGCGCTTGTTTGAGATTTTACAGTGTATCTGCGCAATGTCATCGCATTGACCATGCCTCGATCTTCTGGCATCAGAGCTCCTAAATTTGGTTCGCTGCGTAACGTATAATACGGAAAGACCAATCTAACGACGTTAGACTGTGCGGTCAAACCTGGCATCCATTCTCTCCAGGTCATATGAGCACCCTGCAGAAGGATTTCGTAACCAGAAAGGGCTGAGGAAAGATGCCCGATGAGTTCATTTTGGGCTGTAATCACCTGATCAGAGCTCTCAGCGAGTAAATGTGGTCTGCCCCAGCCTAGTGCTTGCTTCAACGCCTGGTATTCATCGGCTCCGTCGAGGTAGAAGATACTCGCACGCCAGCGCTGTGCGGTGAGCGGGTGATCCGCGGATCTACCTGCTTGACGTGGCTTGGTCCTCACTTGTAGAGAGCATCTTCGGATTTTACCTTTCTCGAGCAGAAAACCGCATCGTAATGGGTGTATCCAGCGTCTGTCGTTGAACGGCGTCAAGGATCTTGGAAGGCTTAGGGCAAGTTCAAGTCCTTCTTTAGTTTTGTAGTAAAAGGATTTCAGCCCGCGAGTCTCTGCAGCGGTATCGTATGGGATCTCAGACATATTCTGGCAGCCCGCAAACGCCTTTGGGCTGGGAGCCAGGAGGCCACTCCAGGCTTGTAAATGGTCTGCAAGCTTCCATGCAAATATCGACTCGTCTGTAGAGGTGGCGAGGATCTTCATCTGGAGACGCGTGAAAGCCTTCACGGCACCTTCGCCGTACAGCAGGGGCATGTTGACGTCAAAGATTCCCAATAAGCAGTATGCAATGTCTTCGTCTCGCGTGGTGGTGCGGTGGGCTGCCCAGCTCATACGTTTGGCGATACAAGGCTTAGCGATTCGTAATCCGGAGGCAAGAACATCCTCGTCGATACCGGTCCCTTTCATGATCAAATTGCTGATAGTTGGACCATTCCTGATGCTGTGAGGTACTCCTTCAATCATCCTGAATGTCGCCATTTGTGCCTTCTCGCTGCTGTCGCAAAGGATGCGGCCGCCCAAAGGCTCAAATCGAGAGTTGAAGAAGAGTAGCTTCTCCGGAGCCAGGAGCTCCTGCAATGTCCAGCCACGCTTAAACCACCTCGTGTGAATGAATTGTTCTTCAAGAAAAGGCGCGAAGCCATCTATTTGTCGGATGCCTTCCATGTCAGACGCATCTCGTGCGCCAGGCCTCAGCGAGACTGGATCAACGTCCGGGAGGAAGACCAGACAGACTTCCGCACGATCGTAGTATCCATACATCTTGTTGATCGCTTCTGACAGCTCGGCCGAGCTGCGCTTGTCGATACAGATTGTGTCAATCCATACGTATTGCAGAGGGAAAAACCATCCTTGCAATCCGGCACTCGCGATTTCACACAGCCTCTGAATTTTGATATGGCCAGGCGACCGAGTCAAATGTGTGTTACGAAATGCTTCGTGCGAGGCCTCGCTTGGGGACCAGACGTGGGACAGTATGGCGTAGTGAGGTAGGCGTGAGCCAAAGAATTCCTCGAAGGCCTGCGTGTATGTGTTCAGAAGCCTCATCATCCAGATCGAAAGCTGGAGCCCGCGGGCGCTGTAATCCTCACGATAATCTGCGTGACATCAGGCCTAGCTTTAGACAGCCTGTTCCCAGCGCAATGGAGCTGAGAAAAGCTGGTGAGGTGGCAGGTGGGCGATATGCGGGGCAGAGTGAGCTGTGGCGCTGTGCGTGCATGAAGGATGCGGCCATTGCTTTCGCGTCTTCAGCCCGGATCTTGTGCATACTCGTCTGAGCGCAGTACAGCGACTCTGATCCTTGTAGGCTCTAGTATATGCGACTACAGTGATGTGGCTGGCCCAGCGACATGGGGCCGATAACTGCGGCTCTCAATGTAGTCGTGTGCAACGCTGTGCAAGATGCTTCGTGTTCTGCTACCTTCGTCTTCTTCTTCGGGATGCCACAAAGCTTGTGCCTTTGACCTGATACGAGGCCACGATGCCTTGAGAATAGCTGCCACGTTTGGATGTAGTTTCGCAGCTCTGCATTCCCAGAAAGAACCTTGAGCCCTTCGTCGTCTGACCTCTCGCCTCGTCCTACAGAATCGAAGACGAGCAAAAGCCTTATGAGCGCTCCCGTAAATGCCAAATGTAGGCTACCAAGCCAGAAAGTGCCAATGGTATGGAGGTTGCGATTATGATGGAAGTAAAGACCTTGGAGTTCTCAGGCTCGCCTATACTCATACCGAAGAAGCTTGCCGCGAAGCTGGCTGGGATGAAAAGAAAGGCAAGGTAGGTGAGCCACTGAACTTGTCTGGCCTGCCTTAGGGACGTTCGACTTTCTTGAAGCGCAATAGTGTTGAATATAACACTTTCGATACTTCCGATCCGAGCATTGACCTCATTGGCCTGTTGTCGCAGAGTCCTGAAATCGGTCCACAGCTCGAATATGTCAGACTGCTTCTGGTGCGATTTTGAGGTCGTGCTTGGGAAGAGATTGGCAATATTGTCGTCGATCATCGAGAGACAATCGGTTGCGGTCCGGCGCCATGGCAAAAGCTGTCTCAGTATGTTGTTGAGATCCTCTGGCTTTTCACCCCACGAGGGTTTCTCGAATTGCCACTCGAGAGCACTTAATACTCCCATCAACCAATTTAAGACCTGGAACCAATCGGCGATCACTTGATGATACATTGGCATGGCGATGCATCTGGGGTCCCTGTGGATACGCGAAAGGTCCTCCGCGCCGAAGCTAGAGCAGGCGTCCACAATTTTGTCGAAAAGTGAGCCTTTCTGAGCTCTCTCTTTCGACGTCTCGATGTTCACCCGGTGCAATTTCCCAGACGAGCTGGTGAACGGCTGATAATCCGCCCGCAGTTCAGAACCCGATTCGAGAGCAGGGTCCAGGAGGAGGATCCCTAAGTCAATTAGCTAGACTGAGGACGAAGTCGTGCGTAGTCGAATACCTGTCATAGCTCCATTGTCCAGCTTGTCGACCCATAATGAAGTCTTCGCGAGAATGATCGATACTTGAGACTCTGTACTCAGCCAGTCTGTGGGTTGCCAAACTTTGTCCCCCAACATTGGCCTCATTATCGTGAACTGTTCCATTTCTCGCTTTGCTTCCGCGAAATCTGCCGGCGTTGCAAAGTAGCGTGCCCGAGGATAGTGCAGCGTAAGATGGGCAGACGATTCGAGATTCTCCGAGACTGGCAATGGTGGATTGGGGAAGAGTTTCGAAAACCGTGACACGCTCGCATCCATGTGGGCTTGGAAGAATTCCGGGTCAACATTGTAGGAGTTTCCCAGCATTGCAAGAAGATCCGGAGAGACATCCTCACAGATCGCCAGTCGCACTTCAGATGAACGTTGGTCTGGCCTTTCAGCTAACGCTTGCCACAGCGCGCCCGGGTCAGAGTACTCAGTCCTAGATGCACAACCGTCTTCGCCGTATACCAAATTTGCGATTCTGGGGCGCCGAAGACGGTCGTTGCGCAGTTCTGTACGAAATTTAGGGAACTCCCAGTCCGTCTGTGCAGCCTCGCTGGAGAACTCCCGAGCATCGTCGTGATGGTCGGACCTGCTGGGCCGGGACGAAGGAGCCATGTGAGGGAAGACTTCTTGATGATGAGGCTCAAAGATTATCCAACATGATGCGGTGAAGTTCCTCCAGCCTGCACATGTCGTCCACGGCCGAGCAGCGATGCGGCTGGGTAGGCTGGGTAGCTAGGCCGCCACACTGTGCTTCGCCTGCATGAAGGATTGATTGCGGACATGTTTCCCCGCGGCCTCCTGCCCTCTTCGAAAAACCCGCCCGAGCCCAGTCAAATATTGGCACTGCAAGCGTCAAATATTAGCGGTCCATGGAGGTGCTGCGGAATGGCAATACTTCTGTTCACATTGTCCCTACTACGATTCTACACAAATCGGGCATTTATACATCTCTCTTCTTCCCACCGTTGCCGCAGCTGTAAGTCCCAATCTTCCCCCGCCACTGCCTGCCGCCAGGAATCCTGCGCCACCTTCTCTCCCCTCTCCATCGAGACAGACCCGATGAAAAACATGCCTGCAGGCGAAGACCACCAAACTCAGCTTCTTCCTTTCCTCCTCGTCCGGAACAGGTCCAACCCCAGGCGTGGTAGGCACTGACATCTTCCTTTTCCCTCTCGACAGCCTTCTCGCCTGTTCTCCACCGCCTCGTTCCAGGACCTTTCTCGCTTTCTCCACTTCTCGTTCCTGTTCCTTCAGCACCCACTCATCCCAAACGATCTCGCCTGATCCGGGACCCCAAGCGCGACGCTTACAATGTTCGCAGACTTGGGTGCGAGGCCGCCACCCGCGTTGGCGGAGCGTAACAACTTCGTCGATTTCGGCGAAAACGTCTGCGCCCAGGAGGCCGTGTGCAAGTTCGAGGACGCTCTGTTCAAATGTGTAGGCAGAGAAGATGTCGGCGAGAACGGCGCGAAGTTCGGACAGCGACGGTGCGAATCTGGAGGCGCGGCTGAGGAAGGCGCGGAGAATACGAAGAAAGCTGAGGTGATTTGGGGCGGACTGCTTGGTTGAGGTAATGGTGTTGGAGCCTGTTCGGACATCCGGTGTTGCAGTGGCAGCTAACAGAGCTGTGAAGGTCCGCTGCACATTCGATCGTAGTGATGATGCAAGTTTGTTCGTGTCGAAGCTATCCGGCTCATGTGCGGCAGGATGGCGATTGTAATGGCTTGCGGCAGCGCCTACATTCTGGCTCACTTGCACGATGGCATCGACAAGGTTCAACCACAAGAACTCGTCCATGTCAAGGTCGTTTTCGTCGATTTCCCAGGCCAAATTGGTTCTCGGACGTGGCGTACGGATCGCGGTCGATTTTTGCCCTTGGCATAACCAAATGCCCACTTTGGTGTACTTTTCGAGGTCCTCCACAAGTTCGTCGCATGTGTCTTGTGCCGGAGTGATCTGTACATTCGTGGCTGCTGAGTGGAGCAAACTTGCCAAAGCATGCTGCAAACTTTGCATGTGGGAAACGAGTCGGTCCATGGCATCTCGTGCAAGACCATCCCGTGCGAGCAAAGCTACCGCGGCATCAATGACACCCAACTTCTCCATTGCTGGTAGAACCTGCTCGAGGCGGAGATCGCTCGTCGATAAGGTTTTGATGTAATCGGCTACATGTAGCGGCTCGTGCTGACACATGAGGCGTACATACTGCTCAGTAAAAGCAGCTTGCCGGTCCTGAGCCAACGGCGATGTGGTCACACGCTGGTCTCTTTGCAATGCAGGCTCCAAAAGGGTTCGCAGAAACAAGAACTGCTGATACGAGTCGGACAGAGTATCTACACTCGTTTGCAGCAGATCCGCGGCGGTTGTTGCTAAAGTGCGCGATGCCGCCACGATATCGATGTCTGCTAGGTCTTGCACGTGCTCAGCGATGAGCCCTTTGATTGCAGCGCTCTCTTTCGGTGTCAAGCCGGGAACTTCTCGAAGGCAGAAAGTGATGCAATCGAACACATGCTCCTTGTCTTCCGGATCCTCGAAGTAAGTTGATAACAGCTCGGTCAGCATCCTCTCTCCACGATAGACCGTCTTCAACACGCGAAAGAATTTCGCGTGCCGCAATGCTTCGATGAGAGCTGCAGTATTCGCTGGGTGATATACCGACAACAAGTACTCCACACTGAGCTGACAATCATCACGCAGTGACTCAAGAGGTGGCCGGCACAAGCGTTGTAGTGTGCCGTTGAGCAAAGTGCCAGTCAGAATGAGCTGACCTGGATACTTCGACATGCTTCGTGCGACAAACATGTCCAAGTACACGACTTGCTCGGGATCGAATTCACCTTGTCGCATCACGTCCAGCATGATTTCAATGATTTGCTGTCTGCTTTTCTTCTTGCTCAAAACGCCATTTGAATGATTCGTTCCATTCACAGCGGCTTCCTCGTCGTTCTCATTCAGAAAAGGATCCTCAAATGCCTCATTCAGCATGCTCATGAAGCTAGCAGCGTCGAATTGCAGAAGCAGATCCAGGTATGGAAACGCTGGCTCCTCGGATCTGTTTTGCGTGGTGTGAAGGATCTTCTTGGTTCCTGGTGGCCACGCCACAGCTGTCCCAGAAAAAAGATACTCATACAAGTCCATCCTCGCGCGGTAGGCTTCGTCATCGTCCATGAAATCGCCACTCGGATAGCGTCGCCCTGTCAGGGAGTACGCCAAATATGCGTATGTCTTCATCGCTGGGGCATAGAAAGGGTGGTCGAGGCGCACTTCCTCTTCATCCCCTTCTTGGATCATCATCATAAGCGACAACAAGTCGATCAATGGCGAAACATAGTCCCGAATCGCTTGTGTCCATACGTAGATCAATGCATCGTACAGGCTGTGCTGTCGACATAGCATCGTGACTTGGTCCAGGTCGAAAGAATGCGGGTCCAATCGGATGAGCAGCTCCTCCAAACGTGCTGCCTGATTTTCGCCGATGAAGTATGTGACTGTTGCAGCAACGACGGCTGGCGGAAGGCCGGTTAGCTCACCGTCGAGCACATATGGCTCGAGCGTTGCAATAAAGACGTCTTCTTCATCTGACTCCTCGAAGATCTCAAATACCGTGGCGCAGAGATAGTCCAGCTCCTTCATGGCCACGCATGCCTCAAAACACACCTCAGCCAACTCCTTCAGCCTGATATTCCTGTCTTCATCTTGTTGCGCAAAAGTGTAATTAAGCGACGCGGATATCATTGCCAATAAGCGCTCTCTGACGACTTCATGTCTGGCAGCGTCGGCCTCTGGCAGACCGATAACGACATTGTTGGCTCCTCCGGTATAGTATTCTGTCGCGAGTCGAATAGCATTGATGTGGTCGCCGTTTTCCATGAGAGCCATTAGTCTGTCGGCCCAATTCGAAAGTGTGCCTACAGTGAGATCATTGAAGCCAAGAAGGAAAGTGCGCCCTTTGTAGGCCTTGAAGCTCATGTAGAATGCATCCGCAATGACCCCGTGGAGTGACGGGTCTTCTGAGTCGAGTCGTTCTACCACACTCTGTAGCTGATGTGAGAATAAGTCTTGGTGATAGATATGCCTGTGGAGCAGATCGATGGAGTCCGTGACTTGCAAAGTGCCATCTTCAACAATGAGCAGTCTCTGGCTTATGGTTAATACTCCGAGCACGGAACGACTTAGCCATTGAACAGCGACAATGGCTTCATCCGCTCGCCACCGACTTCTAGCATGGAACTCGAGCGTCGGAGGTTTTTGTTTGTCCTCCTCCTTGGCTTCCACGATTTTGACGTCCAGAACCGTCAACACATTCGACCAGCAATATACTAGCTTAGTGTCCGATGTGCCTTTCTCTGCGTCGGCACTGGAGCTTTTGAGCTTGACGGCTGGAAACCAGGCTAGACAGCCGCTCAAAGTGCTGTGTGGAGTGACGTCCTTTGGTCTGGGAGATTTGTGCTGGGTCTGAGCAATCGGCGTAGTCGATACAATGACAAGCAGATAGGGTGTGAGAAGCGCCGTCAGACCCATAGAATCGGTAGCCTGCTCGATATTACCGAGCGGCAGAGGCGAGAAGGCGAGAACGGAACTAGGTTTTCGCGTTCGTTCCTCCTGTGGGCTAGCTGGAGGATAACGTCCTAGGAGCCGCGTCGTTTTGATCGATCTAGTTACTGCACCAAGTCCTCTTGTGGCCAGATGAGAGAAGGCCATGCCGCCCGCATCGGCAGAGGCAAGCGCAGTATGGCGAGTGCCGAGGAAGCCTACGTGCAAGATGGCAGAATCCTCTAAGTGTCCATCGGGATGGGCCCGCTCCCGGAGGACGCTCCTATCGAGAGGTGGTACATGGAGAAACGGCCTCGAAGGTCTGCTAACCTCCCAAGTGAAGATAGACCCGTTCGCATGGCCACTCGCGATCGTCGAATAGTCTGCAGCTATTGCCAGAGATGTGACAGAGCCACATTCCGTTGCCTTAGTGCCAGGACCAATAATGATTTTGAGAGTCTGATGATAGTCGAAACCCAGAACCAGACCCTTAGAAGTGCCTACAGCAATCAGAGCCGACACAGCCGAACACGTCGGACGTCCAAAACTTCGCTTGCCACTTTCAGAGAAGGCTTGGCCCGTAAGTTTGCGCAGCTTCGTCCATCGTATCACATCCCATGGCGCTTGTGGAGTGTCAGTAGCAGAATCACCAGCATCCGAAGAGATACCAGAGAGCTGAGACGAAATGGAGATCTGCCGCGAATGTGGGCTCAAGAATGCTGGGGACTGTGCTCTTGGCGAAGCAGGTGCTGACGATAGCCTGGTCTCGAATCGTCTCTCGAATGGTTGCAACGCGCCTGAAGGGGTCCTTGGCACGACTTTGCGCTGCGACGGCCGTCGTGGCATTGGCGACGCATCGCGTGCGGTAGAAGCAACTGAGCCAGCTCGCGAAGGAGTATCATCGGGTATCGACCCAGAGTCGAGAGGGCTGCCCAACGGACTCCCCTTCGCTATTGGTGTGCTTGGACCAGCATCTGCATCCTCTCCTGCAACACTGCTGTCCTGTCCATTCTCCAGCTGCGCATAGTCTTGATCTCCAGCATCGTCCACAGCTCCCGTAGTGTCCGCGTCCGCATGTTCATCCCCAGGCTCTGGCAGCACACCTTCTTCTACTGCTAGGACCTCTTCACGCGGCAAAGGCTCTTCGAAGTCTCCATACTCCACGTCTTCGTTATCCTCCTCTTGGCCGGTCTCTATCCTTGCCTCGGCGTCTCTGGTCGACTCGTCCGCTTCCACATCCTCATTGCTGCCACCTTCGTGGGCGTCTCCAATCACGGAGCTCATAGGTCTTCTCGTTGGTCGCGCATTGCTTTGTCGTTGTGCAATTCAGAGGTGAAAGAAATTCGCCGCTCCTTTCTAGCCAGACCGCGTGCCACCAAAGAGAGTCTCGACAGCATATATGGAGGTGGGTGGATATGCGGAAGGATCAAGTTGTCGTAATCGCTTCCCACGTGCGGCACAGTCGTCGAGACGGTTCGTCTGGTCGTTATTCAATCTGGACTCCGTCTCCAGTCCCTCACCGAGTCAATAAAACGCTTTGCCAATGTCGTGCGACGCAATGGGTTGGCAGTGAAAGTCGCGAGCTCTGAGGTGGTCGAGCAGCGTGGGCGGGCTTGCCTCCGCTGACGACAGCTCCACCTTCACATGCGCACTTCACCACAACCACCATCCTCGCCAAAGTTACCGTGCAACAAACGACCACGATGTCGGACATGACTCCAGACCTGCCGCCGCACTTACTGGCCAAGAGAAAAAGACAGCAGGAGGAGGAAGCGGGAGAACAAGCTGCCACGACCTCCGGCGCAAAACGGGCTGCAAGTCCAGAAGAGCCAGAAAAGCGAAGAAAGATTGGACCTGCACTGCCTGCAGCACAAGAAGAGCCGGAGTCACAGGGCTCGACTCCTCGAAGAGTAGCTGGTCCAGCTCCCCCTCCAGCACCTCTCGACGAGCGACCTCCCGGGCCACCACCAAACCAACAAGCAGACGACAGCAGCGATGACAGCGACGACGGATATGGCCCAGCCCTACCCAGCGCGGCCGACCCAACACCAAGCACAGCACTCTCACAAGGTTCTTACCATGGAGACCACAACGACGAGCTCACCTCTAGCAAACCCAAACGCGACGACTGGATGATGATGCCCCCCAAACAAGACGACCTCGCCGCACGTCTCGACCCTCTCAAAGCCCGCCCAACCAAATTCGCCGGCAAAGGAGCCCACAAGGGCGAAACAGACAATTCCACATGGCACGAAACACCCGAACAAAAACAAAAGCGATTGCAAGACGAAATGATGGGCATAAGCAGTAGTAGCAATACCAACAAGACCACCAGCGCTGCCACGAACAAAACTTCCGCAGCACAAAGTGCCAAAGCACGGAAAGATGAAGAAGCGCACAGAATCGTGAATGTAAGTTTGACTATAACAAAAGTCTTGAACCATCGCATTACTAACCTCGAATGCAGGAAAAATGCGGCCCCTCACTATTAGAACAACATTCTCAGAAATCCAAAGCAAATGGCTCTACAGAGAAATTAGAAGACGACCCAAGCAAACGCGCCTTTGACCGAGAAAAAGATATAGGCGGAGGCGTGATCTCGGCAACACAGCGCAGAGAAATGTTGAATAAAGCTCAAGGCTTCGCTGGGAAGTTTTCTGGAGGGTCGTATTTGTGATCTCGTGACTATATCAGGAAATGGGTCTGCAGGTAGGTCGAGATATGTAGCAGGCACGAAGATATTCGTTCTTCTGCAATGAGAATTTGTGCCTGTGAAGTTTAATCACTTTTCAGCTGCTTGATTAAATGCACGGGAAAAATCGTCATCCTATTGCGGCACATCTGGCTAAAAAGTAATGCAATCCTCAAATCCATCTTTTATGAAGAACCAGAAAGAAATGCCATAACCTATACACGAAAGACCATTGTCCCTCAAATGAATACATAAAAATTCGACGCTCGCTCATACAATCATCCAATCAATCTAGAGAAATTCTTTCACGAATTAAAAGCGCCCTTCTGAAAGCTCTCAATTCCCATATCTCCCGGCTTGCCCTTGATCGCCGGAGGCAAATCCTTGCTGACATTCTGCACCTCCGCCTTTTCGCGATCTGTAATCTTCATCGAATTCGCTCGGCTGCCCACACTGTGAGAAGTCATCGTATTAACTCGCGAGTTCGTCTCGCTGCCTGGTTGACTTTGCGAGCCCTTGGCCATAATAGCCTGTTGCTGTGGCTTGCGTTGGATGGTCTCTAGATAAGGTGATGGGAGGTAACCGACGCCGCCGTCTCGGGCTCGGCAGCGCCACCATTCGGATGGTTGGCCCATGGGATCGGTCTTGCTGAGGACAGCGACGAGATCGCCTTTCTTGACCGCGAGGTCGATGCCTTCTTGGAAGGCTTGGCCGGGTTGGGCCTGTGGGGTGTAATCGTACAGAACTCGGCAGAAGTCGAGTTTCGAGGGATCGATGGGTTGTGTGGGTTGGCCATTCGCGTCGAGTGGCATCATTTGTTGTTGTTGCGCCTCCTGTGAGGCTGCCAGGGCTCGGATGAGTTTTCCCATGAGCCAAGGGAGGCCGAAGACGGCTACGATGAAGAAGACGAAGGGTTTTCGGCTTGGTTTCGCGACCGGTTGGCCGTCTGGACCAGGCTGGCCGCTAAATTGTGCGAAGTTGGCTGGCGTCAGCTCTTTCGATGATGCCGGAGGCGGTCGGCCGGTCAACTTGGCGATGGCTGTTCGTATCCACCGCATGATTGTGAAGATGCCCAAAACAGAGCCAAGCGTCTGCTTGAGGTTTCCGAACTGCTCTGCCACACTGACCATGGCGAAGAAGGACGAATGCGTGGCCATATATGTGCTCTCCAGCATTTGTGCAAATCCTCCAAAGGCCCCGACTATGCTCTCGATCATCTGGAATGTGGCTTGTGTGCTGTTGCTGTATGCTTGCGTCAAGCTTATCGGCTGGCCGTCGGGTCCAATCTGTCCAGGTTGTCCATACATGCCGCCGTTCATGCCGTAGCCGCCGTATCCGCCCATACCTCCATACATGCCTCCGCCGTACATGCTTCCCATACCGCCCATGCCGCCGAAACGGCTGTACGGCGAGCTGTATGAAGATCCATAACCGCCATACCCTCCCATGGTACCCATTCCTCCCATGCCATAAGGTGATGAATAAGGTGACGCTCTATTCATTGTGGAGTAATTCGCCGCTGTTCGGTTTGCGACGGTGCTGAGTGCGTCTGTTCGCGCAGGTAATGCGGGTGCCGCAGCAGAAGATGCGGCCGTCGTCGTCGCTGTCGGTGTCGCCGCTGTCGAAGTCATTGAGCTGGGTATTGCGGCTACACAAGAGTCAGATTGCAGTCCGTGAGACTTGTTCCCGAAGTGTTGCGACCTACCAGAAGAGCCGCCGGCGCCCGCTCGCTCCCAGGGCTTCGGCGGAGAGGCACCAGACATGTCGCGCGCCGTTCTGACCTCTCCTTCACGCCGTCTGCCGTGTGCGCCCTCGAGTGACGGTGTCTAGGCTGCTCGCTGTACTGTGGGCGGCGGTGTCACAGCGGCGCTATCAGCGCATGTCGCTGAACGGATGGCGTCGTTTGTGCGGAGAAGCGACAGGGATCTCACGAATCGACGTCTGTGCGATCCGGACAATGTTTCTTTCACGAATTTGCGACCTGCAGTATTGGGCCAAATCTGCGTTTCAATGCGGTGTTGTATCTGAAGGATAGTGAAAGAAGTGCGAGGGAAACCACGGGCGAGTGTTGTGAAGGGACTGCAGGATGAGCCAGACTGCCATCACAGCCACGGCAGCAGATTACTCTCGATGCCGAGGCACTGTTTGCGGCCAAGGTGCATCGGCCGTATGCTCGCACCGACCACGCCATTCAGCCATCCACTATCATCACACATTCGAGCATGGCTGACAATGTTGTCAAGCCGCGGACTACGCGATGAACAGGTATCAACGAACAAAGACGCCGAGCACGTTGAAGAACAAAAATCAATCATCTGTACCAGGCTATCTGTGTCCTGCCCAAGGTACAGCGCCGAGGCTGATCTATACTAAACATTGTAGACCCGTCGCACTACTTTCACTCACGAGAGCACAAGCATAGCCAGGAGCATCTGTACATGCCTGACAATGAACAGCCCACCCGAAGTCAATCAAGTCCGTGCAATTCCACGAATCAAGCCGTAGCCAAAGAGGCTTTCATTCAAAATATGAAGGACACGCCGTCAAAAACTCCCGCTGGTTTCCCTATCATGATTGCATGCTGATGATGCGTTCGAAGAGCATATCACAAAATGAACACTCTTGTCCGCTCAACCGCTGAGCTGGAAGAGGGAGACCAGGTTCTGTAGATCTTGGGCAGCGGTGGACTGGACCATCTCATCGACAAATGTGTTGCCCATGGTCTTGCCGAAGCAGTCAGTGTTGTTGTCGAGGATCTTGACGTGGATGTTGTCCTTGTAAAGGAGGAGCGCAGCCTTAATGGTGCCGCTGGTTGGGCGTTCGAAGTAATCGCTGCTGCCGCCGGCAATGTTTCCGTGCAGGGTCGACTTGCAGCGCTTGTCACCAGGAGCGAGGACCTCGAAGATGTCGAATTCACCGCAGCCGCTGGTCCAGCAGGAGCATTCTGGCTTTCCGTACTGCAGAGTACGTGGGATTTGAGCGTTGAGCATCCAGATGGCGGGCATGTTGGTCGGGCTGTAGATGTCAGCAGTGGTGGTTCCGTCATCCGGCATGCCGAACTCGAAGAAGAAAGCCTTGCTGGGTCCGTCGAAACCGTGGTATGCGACAGTACCGTTACGGTAGTAGCCACATCCGTCGTCGCCCTCGGAGCATTTCTTGTCACTCATGACAACCACCTCGTTCTTGGATGGGATGGTACAATCCTTTAGAATTTGTGGTGAGCCTGCACCGCTGCAGCCATCGGCACTGGCGTACGACAGCGAGTTACCGAAGCTGTAGTCGAAGATGCCGGAGCCGGCAGTGCCACCCTCGTGGTTAAGAAACACGAGACCATCAGCGGTCTGCTTCTCTGCATTGTAGTAGGCGACACGATTCCAGCCCTCGCCAGTCGAGGTTTCGTCGTCGTCGTCGTCATCGCTGCTGCTGCTGCTCGAGCTGCTCGATGAGCTGGACTTCGCCCTGCTGGCGCCAGTGGCTGGAGCAGAATTGGTGCTCGCGCTGTTGGCGGCAGGCGCGTTGTTCACTTGCGGGCTAGCGGCAGAAGAACCCGAACTCGCGGCAGGCTCTCCAGAGTAGTTGTTCAGCCATGAGACCGTCTTGCCATCAATGATGGCATTGACGACATCGCCCAGCGCGGCATCCCGTTTCTTGTGAAGGTGGGCATGATGTCCGTGTCCATGTGCACCACCAATGTGACGGCGCTCATGGACTGCTCGTCGCGAATAGCTGGTGGGAGATGAGGAGGAAGAGCTCGGGGTGTATACTGCAAGCTGCTTCAGTATAAGTGGTCCACGGAGATGGAGCGAGACCTCCTCGTCGAATGGAGCAAGAGTTCCGGAGTATCCATTTGGAGAGCTGGAGCATGCGCCAGACGAGCCGTCCATGTTCGTGATCTTGTTGTAGGAACCCGCGCCACCCACACCAGTGTATGTGATGGCCTTGACACACTTGCAATAGTAATTGCCACCATCGTCAACGCTGCCCTCGGAGCAGAAGTCGGCGGTAACTGTCGCTGCGAAGAGCGCTGCGGCTCCCAAAGAATATCGCATGTTGGCGTTTGTTGACAGGTGAGAGGGTCGATGTGAGACTTTTGAATTGTGGTATCGGAGAGATTTGATTCGGAAGTCGTGCGCGGCAGAGGCGTACTGGCGCAACTATTGTGACGTCTGATTGTCTGATTGTCGTGGGTGAAGCTATTGTCGAACCCCTGGGTTGGCTGTTCACAAAAGCCGGTTGCCGTGCAAACGCTCGTGAAGGCGGCGCGTGACTGCTGCTTTCTTGCAATGAGTGACTGTGGTGAGAATGCAGTGCAGGTGAACGAGCGTGAGCGTCACTGCAGGACAGCAACGTATAATGTGTGGTGTCTCCGGATGGGTCGTTGGAGTGAACGGGGGGTCCGCGAGGAGAGGGAGGCTGAAACGACTAATAAGAGGTACGCCCAATCAAGTGGATCCAAGAAATTGCACAACGGTGCGCAACGGGCTGGACCTGCGCGACACAAAGGCTGATCGCTGGGCGCTGGTCGTCTCGCCTGCGCTTTGCAGAAACTGGCGTAGCGAGGCAATTGTTCGTCCACGACCATGTGGGACGTCTACGTGTACTTGTTCACCGTCGTCGCCGTCGCTGGCATGTGTCGCCTGCACGCCGCGCGCGTGACCGGGGCCTGCGGTGTGGCGGGCGGCGA